GAGATCAAGATCCAGGTTTGGACAACAGAGGCGAGTATGTCCACATGCGGGTGCAGCAGCCACACCGACGACACAGTGGGCAGTACGAGGTTTTACCCTATATACACCTTAACAGAATTGGCGCGCCGAACACCTCAACCTGACTTTCTTCAACATGGTCCGAGCATGCATCAGTGTATCGAAGCTAGAAAGGTCACACTTGTGTAATTTGGGCGCTGCAACAGCGTGCATGTGCAATCAGAGCGCATGGATCTTGCGCCGTAATGGTCGCACGATAGCCCAAACTCCAGGAAACGTGTTGCGCAATCGCAATATATCGATCGGCCACCTTTGCACGATAGACTCAATGGCTCACATCGTGCACGATGAAGAGTTGCAAGGCAACAAATTGGACGGGCACGCAGTAAAGCGCATCCATTTTTGCTGGGTATGACGACACTGTGAAGTACCATTTCTAGGTTCCCACATCCTCAGGCAGCGTATCAGACTTCGACACGTCAGGATCATCGAGATATCTGGCAGACCCGCGCATGCTGACAAGGAGCACAAAACTTCGGGCTGCGAAAGCACTGCCAGTGATATTCTTGAGGCCGCCGTGTCGGAAGACACGCCAGCCGAACCTGGTGAGGAGAAGAAACAGCAACTGGTGCTACCGCAGGCACCAATGCAACAAGTCGAGAACAGGCTATCATTACAAGAGCGCTAAGAACCCACTTTGAGACAGCCAAATTGTGCCAGCATGTCACCTGACGAGTTCTGATGCGTAGCACCATCCTATTTATTGGCCATATTTCCTCCAACTCAGCAGAACCTTGCACTTATACAAAGCCTTCAGACGTGATCACTCTGACAAATGAAAGAGACAACAATCAAAAGCGAACTCGACAACTTCAAGAACAATGAAACGCGAGTTAGGGCAATACCTGCTATCGGGCAAACGAGCCATGGGCAAGAAATGGGTATTTAAGTCAAATGTGACAGCAGCAGTAACGTACAATGTTACAAAGCAAGACTAGTAAGTAACCTGGAACTTCTCGCAGTTCAAGGGAAAAGAGAGTATCATGAGACGTACGCGCCCTCTTCCCGACTGAGCACCTCCATACAGTAGTCGTCCGGGCTTCCATGAACAATCCGCATTTCCCTCATTTAGACACCGAGACCAATCTACCTTTACTACAAGTGTGAGGAGGAAGTCTACCTCAAACCACCCGCTAGATTGCAGTGCTCGGTTGGCAAGCAATTGCGTCTGCGCGAGAGCGTTTACTGATTACGGCAAGTACGTCAGGGCTGGCAAAGTACGCTTGACATTACCCTTCAGCCGATCTCCTCCTCACCATTGGTGAAGGCCAACAGAGCACACACACAGGTACGATCAGTAGCAACCTCGCAGTCTTGACGGCTAATGATTACAGTGTCATCACCGCAACCGTGCATCAGGAGCCGGCCCTTCGACTTGAAACCTGCTGATGTGCAGGAGCAGCGGCAGCGCGGACGTGTTGGCCAACAGAGTGGCGCATGGCAACGCATGTTGGAGCCATACAGCCGATAGAATACCATCAACCTTCATAGAATGTTTGAGCGCAAGAAATAGGTTACTGTAACTGCGTGTAAACGCCAGCAACTTGTGGGTACATACGGAGCCGAGCACAGTGTCCAGAGTTAGTGAAGGGTAGAGAGCAACAAGAAGTCAGAGCACCTAATCTTAGTCAAAGCAAGCGATACCTTCGATACGTGTGAGAACTGAAAGTATTAAGACGCAAAGGTAGCAGGCGCGGAGGGGTACATGGGAGGAGTGAGAGAAGAACAATGAACGAGTAGAGTCTCGCGCATGAGCAATGAAACCAAATTGACATCCGACATTTGCAGAGCACCATCGGGGCTCAGATGGCCACTTTGTATCTTGAACGTGCATGTGCGGCCCAAAAAGATTATTTGATAACTCCAACACCATTCATCTGCCATCTGATTAGCCCGAGTTGATCGGGGGACCTAACCGCACTTGTGCCCGTTGCCACTGTGCATAACGAATCACTCAACACCCCTCTTGGCCCGCTCTAGTCTCAACCGCAAACGAGATGCGCTCGCGTTTCGATGCCCGAAACAAAGAAAGTTGCAAAATATCAATTTGCCCCACTATATCAAGTGGCATTTCCCACTACTTATCATCCTTGTGAGGCACCACTAGATCCAGAATAAATGAATTCTCGCAAGGTACCAAGAACATAACTACTGGACGGCTCGCCGACCATATACTCCACACTGATGCGAGGGTCACGAACACAATGTGGGACAAGGTACTATCTATCTCCACGGTTTGGCAGCACAGTACCCGGTCAATATTCCATCACTTGAGACTCTTCAGACGATTTATTCCAATTTTCTGCTCATCAATTTTATCTTAAGTACCGAGTGCAGCCATAATTCGAGTCCGCAAGGAACCGAAGATTCTAATGAGAGGCTATGACCTTGTCCACCAGTGCTAGAGTGAACCAACGCCTTAAGGGAACAATATTGATGTGCAACGGTACGAACACTCATTTAAATATTAGGTCGTAGCTCTCAAGGTGGAATATTTCAGTCTAATTGACGCAACAGCCGTTCATGTCAATCCAACGCGTTGAAACATTTCCTTAACAAAACAACCAATGCGACGGACCCAAATTAACTACTCCTGTCGAACCCTTAGCTAGTTCATCATCACAGCTGACATGAATGCGACAGATAACCCTCACTTGAAACACAAAGGCATTGGCTTTATACGTTGGGCTTAATCCGCTCCAAGACTCCGGACTCACGCTGGGTATGATATTTCCAAATGTTAGATATTCTTCCGAATGTACATTTACCACTGCATACTCGGAGAAATGCTGCTATTACGAGCAGGAGCGACACGTTTCCTGAATGGGATTCGATTCCATTGAAGGTTCGCGAGTCTGTGTATATGACGAACGAGACGGGACCTCTAGGTGTCGGAAGGAGAGTCTGGCTACCTTGGCAGCAAGTCACACTCATTGTACGTTCCCACTCTTTCCCACCTTCCCTTATCACGGCATTCCATTTGTATCTCAGAGCCATCTTCTTCGCCTTGCTGCTGAAGGTCATCCTCCGATTTGCACCTGCTGGAATATGATGGAATGTTTATTACCTTCGTTTTCCTTACTTCCATTTCATCACGCTGCAGAACCGTTGGTGACTTTACCAGAGCTGATGTAAACTAGCTGGCCTTCTGCTTTTGTCGCGCAAGGCCACTGATACCCCTTTCATGATGGACAGGCACGAATACAGTTTTCATTAATGGGGCTTGATAGGTAATGGAAAGGACATAATTTTACCAATGCGTGACAAGAGCAGAAGGCCAAGTAGTCGGTATCAGCTCTAGTGAAGTCAGATAAGGCAAGTGTTTTGTAGGTTTCCCGTCATACACTGAAAAACACCCAATAGCCATCTTACAAGAGTTAACAACGTACTCAATTTTAAGGCACGTTTTTGCGAGCCGATCGGTAGAATTATTGATGGATCGAAAAGAATGGGAGGATGAGCTCTCGTCCTGGATCCAAGATTCTATCAGGTAAATGGGAGGCAACGAGAGCAAAGATGAAGTAATCAAGCTAATATCCAATCTTTGCGGCTTCAAAAAAATTGGCCAAACTAACACCTTCTGCCTCTTGACCACGTGGTCAATTGCAAAGCATTAGGGGCAAATCTGACGAACTTTCTTCAGCATCGACCCGAGTACCGTATTGTAACGCTAAGTCGCGGAAATATCCAATGAACTTGACTCCTTCGAATGTAAGAGCCGAGGCAGTCCGACTCCGAAGAGATCCTAACTTCAACTGAGGTGCTGGAGAAGGGCGTGAAAGATCTGTCTGTGCCATTGAGGCCAATCCTGCCTTTTAAGCCCTACTCCTATATTTTATCTGTTCTCCGACCATGATTGCATGAGGCACAGGCATATGGGACTTCGCCACCTACTTGTTCCAATATGGTAGAGTCATTGTGCTGGTTAAGATCATCATCAACAAGGTTGCTGCCATTCGAGACTCGTTCCTGCAGCGCTAAATGGTGCTTGGCAGCCTTTTCGTTGTCGCATGATGGATTCCACCATCGTCAGCCAGTGCGTCATACCTGCAAAAGAGACCCTGAATGCGTGGTATAAATAACGTGTTTCTATCAGAAGAGCGACGCAAGCCGGATCTGCAACGAACGGGCTTGTTCAGAGTCTTCAGAAGCTCTTCGAATCGTGAGTCATGCACATTGCGTTAAGTAGCCTTCGAGCATGCACATTCGCGAAGAATGGCAGAGGGCGGTCCGAGCTTCACCAGAAGGGCCGATCCGTTCGTCTGTATCACCCATTGGGGATGCTTACCATTATTGGTCAAGCAAGCGCAGGTTAGTTGCTGTCGACGGTGTGGCAGCGCTCTAGCACAGCGTCATCGAATCGTAGTCGATTGTGGGTGCAATGACTTATCAAAGCTCGCGAGTGCACTGCGTGCTTCAAGCGCCCTTGTCGGCCTGGCATCGGGTATGATCGAAACTTCCATTGACGAGATAGTCATCTGCAATGATCTTATGTGCCACTTGGCGCCTTGTCAGATCCTGTTATGGCCCAGAGGATTGCTGTGAGAGCGAGATTAACCAATCTCTTGATCCCGCAAATGCTTTGATCATGTCGCCGAGGTGGCACGAGCGGGGCGTCGGAATCGCCTGGTGTGTCAGAATTTAGCCCATTCGCTTCGTAGAGCGTTGCTGGTACTTCAGGGCCTGGCTATCCTTTGGAATTCAAGTAGGATTTCTACTTGTGCACAAGTAGATGAAGTGAATGGTCTGGGATGGGGTCAATTTTCGATTGCGTCGCCAAAACTAGACAGTCTGAATATAATCTGTAAATGTTTATGTAATCGGCCTTCGGTGTCGTTTACGTCTCGCTTCTGCTCCACTCACGCTACTGAATGATGTTGTCGCACTCTCTGCGCGAAATGTGAATCCACATGACTTGCATTGTCTTGGGCCTTTGGTTATTGGATGGTGTCCTGCAAAGACGCGCATGCATGCTGGCGTCATTGAACGCTGTGCCGTCCGTTGCGCTGAAGTTCTTGGTAACCAAGGGGCTACGCTGAAAATTACGCTCGACAATACTTCTATCATCCAGCGACAACGACAACGGCAACGATACTAGCAACTCCTAGCAACCAGGTGGATTGTGGAAGATGGCCTCGCCACGAGCGATTCCGTCCGCTTCAGCGGCAGACTTTTGGGTCTCATCAGTGCCCACCCTGCCGGATGCTCTGGAGAAATTTCAAATCTATGCGGGCGATCTCCCTGCTCGCCCTCCGGCGCGGGCCGGGGACAATGCGCACATCTACTTCATGCTGCACAAAGCTAAACATACGGCGGACAAGCGGAGACTGCTTTTATGGATGAATGGTGGGCCAGGATGCTCTAGCTTTGATGGAGTTATGATGGAAATCGGTGCCTGGAGGACCAAGGCCGATGGCACAGGCCTGGAATGGGCACAGGAAGGAGGTGCTTGGAATGAATACGTGGACGTGCTCTATCGTGAATCCTTCCGCGCACGAAATGCTTAGTGTTTCTGCTCACGCCAAATTTCTTGCAGTTGATCAACCTGTGGGAACCGGGTTTTCATATGTCTCCACCAATGCATACGCAAGCACATTATCTCAGGCTGCGGACGAAGTCAAATATTTTTTGGAGCGCTTCGTGGAAGTTTTCCCAGAGTACAAACGTGGTAATGGCGCAGATGCCTATATCGTAGGAGAATCTTTGTGAGCATCCATTCTCAAGAGAATTTGCCTTGTTCCGGGTTGTGCCTGATAAAGTTTCCCTCCCCAATATTCGCTAGCGCTGGACAGTAGTGAATAAAGCAGGCCTCACATCCGTCACAAAGCCGTGTGCTGACGTCCTATCCAGCATCCCTTACACTGCAAGATCACTTGTACAAGCCGGGGGCTCATCTCCGGTCGATCTTAAAGGGATCGCGATTGGCAATGGGTTCATTGATCCACGCTCCCAATACGGGTCTGAAATTGACCTGCTCGTTGAAAGGAATGTGTGGCAAAAGGGAGGAAAGGTAATCGTTATGCACATCTGGTGCCTGCTAGCTCAAAATTGACGAAGCCAATTGCTTGACAGGAATACAATGCTGCGATGGCCAGCTTTGTTAAGTGTCAAGAAATGATGCGCAAGACTCCAGGAAATCCAAGGAACATCCCATTTTGCGAAAGCTTACTCCCTCAGGTCATTGATCTCACCAAGGATATGTAAGTTCTTCGTTTTCCTCTATCACTTGCTCCACAGACGTATTGAAACGCCGGACGTTCCAAGGAGCGGTGGTCAAGCAATGTGCATCAACATCTACGACGTACGATTGGCAGATACCATGCCTGAGTGCGGCATGAATTGGCCGCCCAACCTGCACGCAACCTATGATTTTCTTCATCGACAGGACGTCAGGAAAGCATTCAATGTGAACGAAAAACAAAAACCTGAGGCATGGATTGAATGCAATAAACGCGTCGGCTCAGCACTGTCATCAGACACCGAAGATGCTGCTGTCACAATTATTCCTGGACTGCTCGAACACAATATCCAGGTATTGATCTTCGCTGGGGACCAAGATCTAATTTGTAACCACATCGGTTTGGAGCGCATGATCGACAATCTAGAGTGGAATGGTCGGCGTGGCTTCTCGGTGAGAGATTTTCTCTTGACGGCGGAGGGCAAGAGGACTAACAAATTAATTCCTATTACAGTCAGCCGCCTCCACTGCTGCACAGCAGTGGTACGTCAATGAAACTGTAGCAGGGTCGTGGCGCACTGAGCGCAATTTGACTTACGTCTCTGTTGCCGGGGCCTCGCATATGGTCGGCTATGACGTCCCTATCGTGTCTCATGACATGATGCTACGCTGGATGAATGTAGATCTGCTCAGCGCTGCTGGTCCATCCGCTCGCATTCCAAGCCGATTGGGCAATGACGCCGGACGAGAATTGGTCATCGGCGGAGCTGCAGGTCACGATGTGTCTGTCATTCCAGGAAGTAAGTCGACCGAGCAAGCAGCGTTGGATGCAAAGTGGGAAGCGTACTAGTGAGTCAAGCGCAATTTTCCACAAGAGGGGTCCGATCTGCGCCTTTTCCTGACAAATGTCTGCTCGTAGCCAAGCCGGGAGCGCGGCGCTTGTGATCCTCCTTCTCATGCTCGTCATTGGCTCCTGCATCATTCTCCGCCTGCGAAGAGCCGCACGGAAGCAAGGCACATACCAAGCGCCTGGGTCCAGAGGCATAAGCATAGACAGTGGGGCAGACATGGAGCTAGATCGTCTAGTAGAGAATGCAGACGTCGAAGATGAAGCCGATGCACGTCGCAGCCAACAGCTTGGCAAGCTCGAAGAGGAGCGATTTGTCATTCACGACGAGCGGCAAGAGCGATAGCATGTGATTCATAGCAAAATACGATCTATGGTGTAAGGTCCATAGCTAGCTGATGCTTTCGCCGCTGCAGCGCGCTTACTGAGCTTCTCTGAAGCGCCGCGTAGTCCACCGCCCGTCTGTGTAACCGCCGAAGGCACTTTCAAGCTTTGCTTGGATCCGTTCTTGTGAACGCCTGACTCTGCAAGAGCTCTCCGCTTGTCGGTCTCCATTTGTTTAAAGGCAGAAGTTGGGCCCCGAAGAGACTGCAAAGCGATGCTGAGCGAAACCTCGTCACTTATGCGGCGATTGAGCTGAAGTAGACTGCTGGCTGGCATCTGTCCCGAGATGAATGCGGGAAAGAGCACATCTACCACGTCTTGGACGATGGTGGCAAACTGCGGAGACGGCTACAAATAGGCAGTTTGTCAGGAACATCTTACACATTTGGAGAGGAATGGGTCCGTAGGGCTTACCGCATTTGTTGCATTGGCTCGTCCAGTGTTTGCAGATGGGGACGGAGACAAGAGCGCGCCACGAAACGCGTCCGAGAGTGTGGCAATGAGCTTCAGCCTGGACGACCGATCTGCAAATTCAGAGGCGAAAGCAACGCGCAGCTTTGACCGATTGAAGGACGCCTTAGCAATAGCTTCGATAACAAGGAGCGCTTCCTGCGTTCCGCTATCGGCTCCATCTGTGGTAGAACTGTTATGACGCAGTATTTCGCCCAGCGAGCGAACTGCGTCTGCCTCAGAGAGATCTAGCACGTCGCGAATCGCCTGACAGGTCGTTGGAGTTGTACATCGCTCTGCGAGGAGAGGTAGCACGTGAACTTTATCGCCTGACAACGGCATAATTCCACGGACTACGCGAAAGGCAAGCAAAGCGCGAATAGTCCTCTCCGCCGGCGGTTCTGACTGAAGCGAAGCGTGGAGACAGGCAGCTGCAAATCCAGGGTGCAGTAGGGCCGGTGGGACCTGCAATCGTGCTGTCAGCCTTCATGTCCCCCATGGTCATGGTTTCGGGACCAAGACTGCACTCACAGGACCCTTATCACGCTTGGCAGATTGGACGATTGCAGCCGAAATTCCTTGTTCTGTCAGCCATCGGCTGAACGCATCGTCCAGACCGGTAGCGTCCTTCGCCTCCGCAAAGCCTAAAAGAGTGGTTAAAATAGCACTTTGCTTACCGTCTAAGGGTGCCTCGCCCGCACTGGCTGTCTCGATGACCAGATCACCAACAGCAATCGCGTCGAGAGCCGTCTTTATACTACTCTCTTCTGGCACCCTGGTCGCAAGCAGCTGAATTGCAGACTCCAGCCCTGTAGTGTCAATTTCTTTACTGCATTCCACCAACACCTTGTCTCCCGGCAAGCGAAGTGCGGAGAGACGGCATTGATGAGGGCCCGCTGAATTTGCCGAGGAAGAGCCCATCAGCGGCCAAGTTGTACTTGCGACAAGTATTCCCAGCTCCACGTCCCAAACGGAAGAGCACGCCTGACCTCCCGGCGCCCATGTGTTGCACAGCAGAAAAGAAGCATTGAGTGATAGTAGGCTCGCTCCTCTTTGAGGTTTTGCATCCAGTTTCTCTGACCACCGGATAGCCTGCCAATCCAAGCGCAGCTCGTCATTGTCATCGAGCTGAAGTCGCGCAGTGTGAATGCTGCTTTGGCCTGAAAGGGTATGCAAGATTGTAAGGAACATGGCCGAACCCCTCGCGTTCTTCCAAGCTGCTACTCACTCAGGATGCTGATAACCCCAGACCTGTGAACTGATGCCGCAACCGCCACTTCAGAAAGGTTGCATGCTACTTGGCGGGAGTTGACGATGGTCAGTCCTATCGAGCATTCATTCTCTGGCGGTTGATGCAAGGTCCGAATTTGAATGGCGGCATTTTGCAGACCACCGCTTGTATGGCAATCTTTGGTCACCCGATCAGCCCTGCCTCGCTTTTGACGACTTTTGGTGTTCAAGCGAAAGTCGCTTTGCGCCACAATGGTAATCAAGTGCATGGAGGAGTCGACATCTCCAAGCACCACGATGGACTCTTCCAGCACGACAGTTTCTCCACTGAGAGGCTCTTGGTTCTCCAGATCGGAGGGGGGCCTGGAGGGCTGATCGATATCGAAAAGCTTGTACACGGCTTGATCGGTGCGACACAGCACATGCCTTGCGCTCAGCAGTAGCAAGGAAGAAATGCGCTCAGCGCTGACGACACTTTGCGTGCTGTAGTCATGGCTCGCATGGTCCAGATTTTCGGTTTCAGCCAGGGTCTTCCCCAAGAATGTGAAAGAATGTATGCGAATTTGCACCCGGGAGCCGTCATCAACACACAGCACGACCTTGACTCGTTGCTGCTTTCCTTTTCGAGCAGGACTCTTTTCTGGCGCCAGATCGCCTGCCTGTGTCGACCCTGCTGCCTGTTTCCCATGAGAGGTGATGAGAACTAGTGGTGCTGCAGTCAATGTTTCGGAAGAATCAAGTGGAAACGTTCGCAGAGGGCTGAAGCGGCTGTCCTCGGGATTGAACAGGGTAACAGCCTGCCCTTGGACGGCGTAGCAACCCAAACTACGAGCCCTCTTGGGAGTTGCCCGCGTTGATGAGCGGTGTAAAGATGAGCTGTCAGTCTCTTCGCAGCGAAAACATGCCCCACAAAGGAGCTGGGCTGCTCCTTGGTGACGGCGGTGGAGGACCAAGCTTGGCGGTGCGACGCTGACACTGGACATTTTTGCCTCCCTCCACGAGCTCCAGACCACTTCGAGCAGCAGGAGGTGCCTGAAGTGTCACTGAAGTCGCAGTTGTATCTAAGGTCGCAATCAATGGCAGGGGACGATACCAATGGACGTTGAATAGGCAATAGTCGGTCAGCCCATTGGGCGAGTGAAGGTAGCTGTTGTCCACGAAGAGCCCTCCTTGATTGATTCGATTCTCTGCCAGAAAAAATTGTTCGCCAACTTTCTACTAGCATCGGTCTCTTCCAGAATCGAAAAGTCGCCGAACATACATTGTGGGTTGATGACCGATATGCATCCTCATAACACCGTAAGCATCTATCTGCGTCAAACCTATCAGGTGTCGTATCGGCCAAAGAGCCAAAGACTAGAATTGATGTATTGGCTGCAATGATGGAATGGCTCGTTATTAAACAGTTACTCCTTGTCGGGCTGGAAGGAATCATGCATACGCGGGATAGCGGCCATCGTCAGAGTCGACCAAAGAGCAGATAGGTAAACCTCTCTGGTTAATAGCAGCAAGATAAGGACGAAACGATGGCCCCTGTCTCCACCCCTTGCAACAAGACTTAAAACCTCCAGGACGCGAGATATAGCCTTCTCTGGTGGCATTTCTCAGTATGGCGGGCCACGCGGTCCTAGAGGCTACGCCTTTGCTTCAGAGTCTAACATCTCATGATGATAGGGACACGGCGACGGGTTTGTCTGGCCAGTCCTTGCCAGCCATCGAGCAAGCTTACGATGCAAATGCAGGGACAATCCCACTTCTGGGTTTCTGGAGCGCTACCGCACTCGTCGTCGGGCGGATAGTAGGTGCAGGTATCTTCTCGACGCCTGGCGTCATTGCCGACTCTGTCGGATCCGTTGGCGCATCTCTTCTCTGCTGGTGCATCGGCGCGCTGGCTGCCTTTTGCGGCGTGAGTTCGTCACAGGCAACCCCGTCCTCCCGATGTGTGATACTTACTCTTGAGCTGTATATACTACAGCTTTTTGTTTGGTTGGAGTGGGCAACGCACTATCCTATGAATGGTGGCGACAAGGTGTACCTTGAAGTACGTGTTCAGTCAATGACCAAAATCCGAGGCAGTAAGGTGACCGTTCCAACCACACTTTCAGAAAGCATATCCTCAGCCACCTGGTCTCACTGCCTACGTCTTTGCCGCACGGGCCCTATTGCTCGGCGCGACACCGTCAGCATGCGTCATTTTCAGTAGCAATATGCAAGATGCGTTTGCTTTGGACGCGGGGCCAGCGCTCCAAAAAGGCATTGCAGTGGCGGCATTGACGTAAGGATCTAGCAACTATATATCATCGCCCTGCGAAAGCTGATTTTTTCCCATCTCATTGGAACAACAGCACCATTTGCCTGATGCATGGCCTCTTTCCACAACTTGGACTGCATATCATGTGAGCGCCTCATCTGAGCAGTGAGATTCGTTCTACACTTGAAGTTTGACGCTCGACCACTGGTTGTCTTCGTCCAGGAACACCGTCACGGCGCTCAAGGTGGTCATATTGACCATTGTGGTGCTCGTAGGCGTGGCCGTGTTAACAGGACACACAAGAATACAGAACCCAGGCACAAATTTGCAGCCCAACAAGCTGTTTGAAGGTACACACATGAGTGGAGCTCTTTGGGCGTCTGCGCTTTTCAAGACATTTAACAGCTTCAGTGGATGGACCAATGCGTCTTTCGTACTGGGCGAGGTCAGGGACGCCCGTCGCACAATGGTCCGCAGCTCTCTTCTAGGTCTCTCTCTCTGCACTGTGCTTTATCTGCTTGTCAACGTCGCTTACTTTAGCGCCATACCAAAAGACGAGCTCACCAAGACGATCGCAGTGGCTGGCCTTTTTGCAAAGAAAGTTTTCGGCTCCTTGGCGGAGAAAGTCGCATGCCTTTGCATAGCGATGAGCGCGCTCGGTAACGTTATTACCATCACCTACACCGCGTCAAGGGTCCTCGTCGAGATCGCACGCGAAGGAATTCTTCCTGCGCAGGTCGCGTCTAAGTGGCCGCGCAATTCGCCGCTAATTGCTCTGTGTGTGCATTGGCTTCCAGCAATGCTGACCATTGTCTTGCCGCCGCCGGGGAAGATCGCGTACGGGCTCATTCTCGACATTGAAGGCTACACCGTAGAGGTCTTCTATTTGGCCATCACGCTCGGTCTTTTTGCCATGAGGGCGCGAGCTTGGGAAACGGCGAGCATTTCGAAGGAGGTGTTCCGCTGCTGGAACCCGTTTGCATTCATTTTCGCGGCGATTGCAGTCTGGATGGTTATCATTCCTTGGGCGCCGCCATCTCACACAACGTCGTCACTTCCATACTGGGCCGCGCCGGCATGTGGCTTGTGCATCCTTCTCATCGGCGCAGGTACATGTCCCTTTCCACGCGTTGATATTCTTGTTGTGTTGACAATGCGCCTGCCTCCTCCGCAGCTGCTTGGCGACTTCTTGGACCACCTCTACCTCGTAGCATTAGGATCGCAGTCGACCCACATGAGTAGAGATAGATCACAAGCAAGTATTTCATCTCCCTTGGATCGCCATGTGCCCCCAGCATACCGGAGGCGATCCACATTAAATGCATCCGAATGCCGCACCTGATTCAAAATGTAGTCTACATGATCTCCTAAACCTGGGCATTCCTACGCGCTGATGGCTGGATTGTGACGAGTTCCTCTGCGCTGGAAGGGTGGACAGCGACGGTATCGCTGCGCGCAAGCAAGAGCCGCACGCGGTTAGCAATGGCGCGGAATATGATCTCTACGCAGGAACTCACTCGAAATCTTTTTTGGTAGCACCCATCTTGACTGTGATGCCGAGCGGCTGGATCATTTCGTCACTGCCAACGCCGACGATGTGGATGCCGACGATTTTTTCCTCCTTCCCGGTGACGACCAGCTTGAAGACGGTCGGCTCTTTGTGCTCTAGCATGCCAAAGTACATGTTGGTGAAGCGTGTCTGATAGACAAAGACGTTGTCCTTGCCGTACTTTTCTACTGCCTGGGCCTCCGACAGGCCGACAGTCCCGCAAGGTGGATGAGAGAAAATGGCAGTGGGGATATTTTCGTACTCCAGATGATCGTCTTTCATTTCTGGCTTGCCGAGCAGTCGATTCGAGAGACGTCGACCGGCAGCGATGGCGACCGGCGTGAGGAGCGCCTTGCCTATGACATCACCGACGGCGTAGATACCCGGCACATTGGTGTTCTGGTACTTGTCGACGACGATGGATCCATCCTTGGCTGTCTTGATGCCTTCGGCGTCGAGGCCGAGGCCTTCGGTGTTCGCGTAACGCCCGATGGCCCAGAGCAGGCAATCGACCTCGAGCATCTTTCCTGTGTCAAGCTCCAGTGTAAGAGGGCCGCCTTTTGTGCCGGTGACCTTCTTCACATTGGTCTTCTGGTGCACATTGAGCCCAGTCTGGGCCATGTACTCTTGAAGGGTATCACTTAGGACTGGGTCGAAGGCACGTAAGAACTTTTCCCCGCGGATAAGCAAATGGGTCTCACTACCGAGCGTGTTGAAGACTCCGGCAAGCTCGACAGCAATGTATCCTGCACCGACGACGGCGACGCGCTTCGGCTGCTCGCGCAGGGCAAAGAAGCCGTCCGAGTCGATGCCCAAGCTCGCGCCAGGAATGTCTTTTTCCGAAGGAATAGTCGGCCTCCCGCCAACGGCAATGGCGATGTGGTCCGCCGAGATGGTGTGCTTGCCCGCATTGAATTCGCCGTCTTCGCCACGCAAGGAAATCTCGACCTTCTTGTTACCAATCAATTTGGCGTATCCTGAAATATACTCGACCTTGTCATTTTCAAGGTTGCGATCGTAGATACCGTTGAGACGCTTGACGTATGCATCTCGCTTTTCAGCAAAGTAGTTCCAGTCGAACTTTGGGGACTCCATCTTGGGGACTGTCTCGCCAAAGCCATATTCGCTGGCGCTCTTGATGGCCTCTGCCGTGTCGGCAGCGTGCCACATGAGCTTCTTGGGCACGCATCCTGGCGCAAGATTGTGGTGGGTCAGCTCGAACAGGCCTGATCAGACATGTGTTCTGTAACTCACCGACATTGACACAGGTGCCACCGAGGCGACCATCCATCTCAATGAGAGCCACCTTGGCGCCGTACGAAGCAGCCCTGCGACCCATACCCATGGCGCCAGAGCCACCTCCGATGACGATGACATCGTAGTGCTCTGATTTAGGTTGTGGTACAGGCGGCATATTGGCTCTTGAGGTGGAAGAGATATTACGGGAGAGGCCGGAGAGATGCGCAACAGCGAGGGAGATCCGCTGGGCTGGCTGGGCCTTGTTAGCTGTGCGGTCGATCGACACCTTGGCAGCAGGCGGTTGGGCTGCGCTCGAGAGGGCTGCTGTTGTACCGATGGATCGCCTGGCAGCAGCTCGTCGCAGCTGCAGCTGAGGGAACACGCGGGAAATTGCGCGAGACGACGTGCGCGTTGTAGTTTGGAGGGTCGCCAGCTTGACGATGGAGTGAAGGCGGACTTCCACGAAGAGCAAGACCGGAATAGTAGCTGTATGCTTGCCGGCAAATGTGACGTTCGTGCGCTTCGACGTTCGAGGGGTCCGTGTGTATTCAAGTCAACCGGACGTCCGAAGGAGGAAGTGCATAGATCGATGAGGAACTATATATATCATCACAGCAAGGAAGCGCAGCCTCGAATGACGATGGCGCGACGATATAAAGACGGGCGGATGCCATCAAAGGCCGAGCGGAGGGATCCGAATTGAGAAAATCGCCGGGGACTGGTGGGCGACGCGGCGGCGCCAGCTAAAGTCCGGATCTCGAAGCACGCCTTGACCGACGCACAACACAACGCAATTCATCACCTTCTCCTTTGCCGCAGTGCGCAACCTCACCCATCCTTTCCAATTGCTCTGGACAAAGGGTTCGCACGTCTGCCACAAGCAGAAGAAGGCAGCTGGTGGTGCAAAAACATACATGGGCCTCTTAAGTCGATGAGGGCGTGCCGCACGGAACCGAGGTGGACCGCTGCCGGAGCTTAGACGAGAAACTCCGCTCGGGGTTTCCTTTTTGAAACGGCTTCAGCGCTCATACACAAGGACACTCAATCTGGCAGCAGCGGTGGCATGGCACAAGGATCAAGTACAATATACATTTTGGGGAGACAAGGTAAAAGCAAGGGCGATAAGTAGGCACGCGCGCGCGGCGCGTTACGGATACAGTAGTGTCGAATGAATCTCAAGAAACGATGCGCCAATTACATTTTTTCCGCAGAGTGAGCGCAGGCGAGAGGAAAAGTGGGAGATACGGCATCCGAGTCTTGGCGCTTTGCGCGCCAAGTGTAGGGCGAAAAAGCGTCCAGCAACGACGCGGGTGGAGGCTCCAAATGGCTGAAGGAACTAGCAGACACGACGAGCGGACGCCGAGCGCCAGGTGTCGCCAAAGTAATCCGGCATGACGCTTCGATTGCGCCCAGCACCAATCATGACACCGACGCCGACACCGACACCGCAGCTCCCGCTGACTGAGAATGGCGTGCCGAGGCGCGCGCGCGAGCTGGAGGGCGACAGTGAGAAGGACATGGACCGTCGCGTGGGTGAGTGCAAATGCGAGGAGGACGAGGCGCTGGATCCGCTGCACGACCTGTCGACACTGCTCATGGTAAAAACGCCAAAGCTGCTGCTCGCGCCCGCGGCGGAGATGCCGTCGGAGTGTCTCACATGGGCGCTCGTGTTGGGGCTCGAGTAGGCGCGGCCGCGTTTCGCAGGCGACATCTGTTCTTGTGTCGGAGTCTGCACACCAGAGGAGAGCAGTTGCTTGCTGCTGCTGTGTGGCTTCGGGTGGAAGGGGGTTCCAGCGGAGCCACCGGTCATGTTGATACCGAGTCCGATGGGCCCGCCAAACGCGAGCAAAGAAGGGGGGCATGGCGATAGAGCCGAGGGGGCGGACCCGTGATCCCGCGCTTTCGGAATGCGATCGGAGGAAGCACTGGCACAGTTCGTACGAAGGGAAGCGGCGCGGGATGCCGAGGCCGCAGCTTCCGCGGCACGAACATTGATGCTGCTCTTGGAGCCTAGCTGCCACGGCAGAGAGGGTCGAACAGTGTGATTGGCGCTCGCGCTGCAGCAGCTGCCGCCGCCGCTGCTGCTGCTGCTGCTCGCGTTGGCTGTGTTGGCGGCGCCGTAGCAGCTCGAAGCGACGCTGCTGTCTGCGTCGCTTGTGGTGCTTGCAGCGTCCCCATCCGCCGGGGGGCGGTTCGTCGTTGTCGATCGGGCGAGCGTCAGGACGGACGGGATGTAGATCGCGGCGTCGTGCGGCTGCAGCGGGCGGGTCGCCTGCGCCGCCGCCGCTGCGCGTTTGGCTTTGGAGCGGGTGCAGGACGCGGGAGAATGTGAGGAATTTGTGATATGCGGCGTGCTAGAGCGCTCGACGGTGCTCGGGGGCGACATGGTCGGGTCTGCCAGGAAGGACGGAGGGGAAGAAGCGCTAAGCGAGTCGGCCAGCGACGGCGTCCAGGGCGATGGCGACCTGGTAGAGAATGAAGCCCAGTGGGATGGCTGCTGCGAGGAAGATGGCGCTCGGATTATCTGCGAGAGCGCGGCGGAGCATTGTGCGAGCCACGCCCTGGACTTGCTTTCCGGGTCTCGGCCGCCAGTAGCAGGCAAGAAGCGCGTCTCCTCGGCGGCGGCGCCCTGCTGTGTGTGCATTTGGACGACAGCCTGTGCGTCCGCAGGATTCACCATGGTATTGAAAGCGGTGAGATGTTTGCGAGAGAGGGAGTGCCCGTTGCCGACGCTCGAGGTGGACTCAACGGGTGAAGGAAGCGGGAAGCTCTCGAAGCGGTCGCTCTGCTGCAGCAGCGGCGCAGCGGGTGACAGCAGTGAGCTGCGATCCTCGGACGAGGTGACGCTGCTTGCGCGTGGTAGAGTGCGGCTGGGAATTTTGCATCGCAGAGTATTTGCGCGGCGACCGTGAGAGACCGAGTTGTCTGTATCGCTGCTGCTCGGCTCTGCGCTCTCAGCAGCAGCAGCAGCGGCGCCATGTTGGCTCGACTTCTTGCGCTTGTGATTCTGCTCGCCTCTCTGGCGTTTTGGTGCGGGTGGTACGCCGCCGGTGGCGGCCCATGGATGATTCTGACAGGCATTGGCCTCGGGGGTCCTGGGCAGTGCTTGCTGCAGGCTGAGGGTGCTGAAGGCGTCTGCTGCGCATGCATCCACTTCGGCCGTCGGCGTGACATGCCTACCGCTGCGGAAGCCGAGGTGCAGCTGCGGCAAGCGGTCGACGAAGCTGGCGCGGGCCATGGTGGCCGAGCTGCTTGTGTGCGGAGACTCGAGCTGCTGCTGCTGTTGCTTGGGGCGAGTTGCAGATGTCATGAGGGTGAATGTGGGTGTATATGTTTGCGGAGAGTCGTGGTTGGTGTTTAGAGAACCGGAAGAGGTGGTGGATGCATCGAAAGTTGCCAGTCTCGTTGGTATGTGCAAGCTTTTAAAGTATCTCGACCTCAGCCAACGCAAAGGGGAGCACAAAGGGATGTCCTGCACGCGTCCATATCCATGCCCCTCGCCCCCTCAATGGCGGCCATATCCACAAAGCGAACCATTTGTGATGTGGATGCTAATGCCGATGCGGATGGATTTGTTTGCTTGTTCTGGCCTGTGCCTCGAGGATGCATCCAGCTCGGATGAACCTCTAATTCCCTCTCTGTGGCTGTGACTGTGGCTGTGGCTGCTGCACGATTCACCCTGTTCGACGGACACAGTGTCTTTGGCGGCATAGTAAGCCGGGACAGGATTGACCGTGCTGCCGCTGCACCGTAGATCAGCCTGCACGAGCCGGCATTCTCTGATGCCCTGAACCAGCACGCAGAACGCGTCGCGGCCCGCGCGACAAAACGCGTGTCTTACCCCGCTCCCCGATCGAGCGATCGAGCGATTGCGCGTCGCCCCCGATCACCCACACCCCCAAAGCCAGACCCCAGACATAACCCACTGCTTGGCTGCTGCTTGGCTGCGTCTGGCTCGCACGTTTGCCCGCTTTCGCGTCTTGTCCCCTTTGTAGCCTGGATTCGCACACACCGCCGCATGGCAGACACGGTGTGTACACGTAAATTGTCCATCACACACGCACTCTGATCGCAGGTGTCATAGAAGCATCCGCTCGACGCAGAGCTTCGACGACCGCCGCAGGGCCTGCGCCAAGAAACGAGCTCTAGTTGGTCATCCATGATCTGTCGCCTTCCTCCAACCGCACCGCACATCATCACCTTCTTCATCAAAGTCGGCAGCGGAGAGTCGGCAAGGCGGAAATTGCTAGGGAGCATAGGCGCATTGAGGCGCGAAATAGACGCGCAACCAAGCGATCACAGAACTAGGCCAAAGGCTTAGGGTTGCCGGTAGAGACGGGGATGCAAGGCTAGGCAGAGTGAAGTCCGCCTGGGGCTTCACACTACGAATCTTGGAATAGATGCCAGTTTAAATCCATGCACCGCCACGCCACCCGGCAATTGACAACACACACCGCTGCTCAAAGCAAGTCTGCTGATGATGACTTGCAGCGAACGCCGAGGAAGCTGCCGAGGCTCGAGTGGACCTTGTCACTGAATGTGACAGGAATGCGCCAATGCCTCCATCACGATGCTATCATCAACATCACTACCGAAAGCGCCTGGTTCGGCCTAGCTGCGAACAGGGTAGCGTGCTAGACTATTTCACAGACGCACACTCCATACGACATGACATACATAGATCGCCTGTTGAGGCTCAACTAGGATATGCTGATGTCTTTCGTGAACAAACACACTCGAGACCGAGCTGGAGAGACTCGCCCCTCGCGTGGAATTGGAGCGGCAGAACAACAGTTGTCCTTTGTCGATCGTCACGTCCATCTTCACTCGACTCTATAAAAGTAACTTTCAACAGGACAGAATGTTCATCCAGCTTGGTCTTCATCGGCTCTCTTCAAATCAGCGTCCTTTGTGACGCAAGAGAGGTAAAAGCGTGTAACGCTCTGAGAAGGAGATGCTTTGGTTATGGTATTCAGTGCCGACGACGCGCTCTCCAGCGCTGCACTCAGACGACATTTCGCTTGCTGCCATCATAATGCGAAGCACGCTTTGCAATGCACTGGAGCAGAATCTGGGGGAGACAGGTTTACAGTAGACACGCGCATATCTTCGTATGCTTGTCTTCGAATGGATGGATTGCACACGCGCAAGGGAAAGGGATACATGCTCCGCTCGCACCGTGCTGCCGCCATTCCGTTCGACAGACAGCCGCATGCGAAAGCGAAAAGATGATCAATTTTGGACCTCTACAGTGGCGAGCAACTGCTTGACCTCCTCGCGCACATCTGCATTGCCGCTCTTGCGCAGCACCTCGATCTCCCACGCGCTCACGCCGCACGCGAGCGGCCGCACGGCGTCGACATTGTCGCCGACGCCGTCGAAGCGTCCGTCGCGCGCGCGGTCTTCGCCATCGAACAGGGCGCCGAGGCGAGCGTCGCGCGCGAGCATTACCTTGATCATCCGCAGCGCCCGGATCACGCTCGTCGGCGATGACCAGTGCAGGCTGCAGCCGAGCAACCGTTTGGCAAACGCCGCGGCACGCTCTGATGGCACGCTGCTCGCGCGCGGGCGCAGTAGCAGCAGCTCCAACGCCCGGAAGAGCAGATCGGCGCTGCTGCGCAGATGTTGCTGCTGCTCTTGTTGCTTCTTGCCGGAGGCGCCACGCGGTATCGGCGCTTCGTCCACGCCGGTCGTCATGCTGACCTGCAGCATCACACCGTACAGGTGCGACGCAAAGTCTGACAGGTCGATGTTGAGCGCTTCACCCTGGCCGGACAGGAGTTCGAAAGCAGTGACGAGGCACAGCAGAGAGTCGCGCAGGCCCCTTCGGGCGCCACTCAGCTGTGCGTCCCCATCGCCATCCCCAGCATCGGCCGCAGCAGCCTCGCGTGGGTCCTGCCGACTGACTGCAGCCTTGCGCGCCCGTGCGACGTGCTCGCGTAGCACGGCGAGCAGGTCGCGGAAAAAGTCGACGTTGATACGGTGCGCATACAGCGCCAGGCCCTCCATCGCAGATCCGAGTAAGGTGGACGAGACAGTCGGCGACTTGAGGATGGCAAAGTAGAGGACAAAGAGGAGCTTGAGGGTCTCCGTTTGCTGTACAAAGAGGGATAGGATCGTGAGCAGGGGCAGGAGTTTGGGCGCTTGCTTGAGAGTGAATGAGCATGCTACAACTCACATTGCGCTCGCGCTCTTCCAAATCGATTGTCGCGTCAGCCTCGCGCATCTCCTTTTCGATCTCGCGAATCTCGCGCATCTTCTTGACATCCTTCTTGCTCAAGTGCTGAGCGGTACCTTTGCGCACATCTGCAGCCTTGGTCTTGCGCCCGCGAGACTGGCTTCCCTTCCCACCGGCGTCTTCGCCGCCGCCGCCACCGCCTCGGTCGGCAGTGGTGGTGGATGCGCGCTTGCGGCCGAGTTCATCCTTCAGCCGCAGATGAAGGAGGATGTCGAGGACGTTGGCGTGCACATTGTACCTGCGCTCCTTGATCATGCGGTGCAGCAGCCGGACTACCTCGAGGCTGACGTCTCCCGCCGCGTCCTGGCGCAGCAGCTGCGTCAGCGTCGATGCGCACAGCACGCAATCTGCGTCCCATGCCGTAGATAGCGAGGAAGGGGGTCGTGAAAGGCGCGAGACGATCGTGCGAATGATGTTGGTACGGTAGTTGAAGTGCGGCGCACGCAGCAGCAGCATCGTCATCGCCTTCAGCGCGATTGACGAGAGCTCATGCTTGCCTGTAAGCGAAAAAAAAATCGTCGTTTTGCCTCAGCCTCCCCTTCAGCAAAGCCTGGCGTTTTCGTCAGTCGTGCACTCACTCTTGATGAGCCGTTCACACGCCTCGAGGAACGCGCGATATACTTCAATGATCCCCTGTTCGAATTCACGGCGCCGCTTGATGTCCTGACTGACTTTTTCTTCCTTTTCAGCGTCCGTCAGCGGACGGATGCGGTACCCAGGTAGGATGTCCGAGTACACAGCCATCAAGGAAAAGATGGCTGCTGCGCGTATACCCAGGTCTACGGGCAGCGCAGACGTGGAGGAAGACTCTTCGCTGTCAGAGCCGCTCGTCTCTTCACCTTTTCCCTTGCCCGCCTTGGCGCTGCTTTTGCTGTTCGCTTTGACCTCGTTCATCGTATCCGGCGCGCTTTGCAAATGGGGAGGCCGCTTGATCCTGACGCTCATAAAGACGGCCATGCGCTTCAAGAACCCCAGGCCGGCAACCTCGGGGTCGGCGATGACGTTCTGCGCGAGGTGTGCAATCTGCTCGCGTGCCGCTGTGACGCGCCTGCTGCGCGGCTGCAACTGCATGACGGCGTATGGCGCGAGAAGGCCGAAGCGGTTGCTCGTTGTAATGTCCGACGTCGGTGGCAGCGCTTGCCGCTGTGCATTGGACGATGACTTTCCTCGGACGTCGCTCTCCGATTCCGACTCGGAGTCCTCATCGTCATCCTTTGACGCCCGAACAACGCGACTCGCGCCTGTTGCACTGACCTTGCTCCCATCCTGATCATCGTCGTCGCAATCTTCGTCACCACCGCCAGCAATCCATCCATCGTCGCCTCGAACGGGCAGCCGCACCTTTTTGGCCCGCTTGGCCTTCTCGAGCTCCTCTTCCTTGCGCTTGCGTTTGCTTTGCGCCGCGACTCTGCGCGCGAACTCATCTTCGCGCTGGTCGTCGTCCGTAGAGGGATCCGAGTCGCCATCCTCTACACTCGATTGCGAATCAGATTCTTCATCTTCCTCTGAGCCGCTCAAAAGATCTTCGTCACCAGAAACGTCGTCATCCTCCATTTCGTCCAGTTCACTGAGACTACCCATGCTCAGATCGTCATTTTCATCCTCAAAGTCGTCATAGTCCTCCGATCCTGACTCTTGCTCCTTGACCTTGGCAACAGTGGCGGTTCCATTGAGCTTAGCCATCTGCTTCATCTCCTCCCTCTGTCGCTTTTTCTCTTCTTTCTTGAGTCGTGCTTGTTCGGAGCGGGATCTGCGGCATGGCAGGACAAAGCACAACATGACGTGACGTGTCAGTACCCAGCGCAAACTCCTGTCTAGGATCAAGGCCCAAAAAAGGCATATGACTCACGTGCCGATCGCGTTGGCATCGAGGGAAGTGAGGAAGGATAGGTTGGGAACTGTTTTGGGTGTTCGGGCAGTAGATGGACCCGCTGTCCCGGATGGGCCATCCTGGTCCATCTCGCTGCTGCTCTCGTCTTCGCTGGCACTTTCGCTGCCGCTACTTTCCCCATCGCCAATCATGTCTTGAGCATCGAGCAAGTCCCCGTCGCTACTGTCCTCATCGTCTTCGTCATCATCTCCGGCTGCCCTTCCGTCGCCGTTGGCGCTGCCGAACTCCGCGTCTGTAGCCCTGGCCTTGCCCTTTTCCATCTTTGGAAGCTTGGGCATCGGGATGATCGGAGCCGGTCCGCGCATTTTCTTCTTAGGCTTCTGGCTCTTCTTCTGAATCTGGTCAGCGGCCCCGCCATGCGCCTTGCTGGGATCGCCACGGTAGCCTCTGCGAGGTGCTGATCGCGCCATGGTGGTTGCACAGTCGCGCCGCTTGCAGGCTGCCGGTTGTCAAGGGAGTAGAGCAAATTAGCGCACCGCGCTGTCAAGGGTTTGCCGCGCCGCCGGAGTTAGTCGGAAACGAATGCACTCTGTCTTGAGTCCCTGATACTAGTAAGCAGCACGAGGAGAGGAAACCATGCACTGTGCCGCCGCCTAACAGTTGGTGGGAGAGTTCAAGCGAGAAGAGAATTAAGGCAGAAGGAGCTCATTCAATTGCCTTAGGGAGAAGAGAGAGAAAAGCAGAGCGCACCAGCGATAAAGCAACCCTAGCAAACACGGAACACGGGACACGGAACAATGTTGATTCTTTCTTTTGCAATGCTTCCAAAAAGAAAAGACGAGTCTAAACGGGGTGACTTCGCGCGACGCGCAACGACCAGTTCCGCCCACTGTTCCAGTTCGCTTCATGCTCTTGAGTGGGCTTGGCAGTGGGGCACTGCAGGGCAGTATGTTTGCGTGTTGGCAAAGGGCTGGACTGGCTGCGTGCCTGCCAAAGTGCTTGGCAAATCTTCTAGCCAGTGCTTACTGCAGTGAGAGCCCAGCCCGCTCGTGTCTCTTCTTCCACTCGACTCAATCTCATTCTTGCATGGCGCACCTGCCCAGTTACCAGATTGCAATCACATGGGCGTCACCGCTCGCAACCAGCCAGGTAGCTCAAGAGGAGACCTGCCTGCTGGGGCTGCTGGCGTCATCAGTATGATGACCACAACACCGCACTGGTTACAGCGGACAGGCGTTGGACCATGTGCTTGCGCCCTCCTGTTCAGCCTGTACAATGTGTTCTCCGTGTCCTCTCTCGCGCTCTCGTTTTCCTATGGCCCTTTCTCCTCCCACCATCAGCCTCCTCCCCTAAGCGGCTTGCCTCTTTGTCCTTCCAAGTCCATCCATCACCTTGATTCGAGACGCTCAGCATTATCCTTCCTTTCCTTTGCTCCCCTATGCACCCAACTTCGTCCGGCTTCATATCCTTCACATCCCTTCCATCGCCTTGCCCAAACCTGAATTTCGAATCGTCACGCTCCCTTCCATTATCGCTCCTTGACGAGCACATTTGATCGTATTGCTCCCGCCGGCCGAAGATCTCGCACGGTTCACAACCATGGTCAAGTTCAGCACCGGCTTCGCCCTCCTCACCGTCGTCTCGGGCGTCGCAGCGTCCTCGTCCTCCACTAAGCAGCCCTTCAACGCTATAGCAGAGGACTTAAGCTACCTCTTCGACACCCAAGTTCCCGGGCCTGACAGCGCCAGGAGCGTTGTCCAGCGGCACAGGGCGTTCCAACAACGAAATAAGCAAGCTCGCACCAGGAACGACCATCTCGCCAAGCGGCAATCGGTCAACCCGCTCCCGCACTCTGGCACCATTCCAGCAGCCGGAGGAACATCCAAGAATGGCAAGCCGTACCCTCCAGCAGGCGCGATTGCGCCCAAACGTAGCACGTTGCCCACGGCCTGGGTTACCAGGTACCAGGCCAAAAAGGAGGCAGGCCTGATCCCAGACATTCCGCAGTCCAAGCTGGACGAAAAGACGTGAGTGGTCTACCCTAGTTGATCGTTGCAACTGATGAAGTTGTGAACGGGACAGAACTGATCGGGCCTGTATACATCCAAACAGCGGAACGCTGAAGTATCCTTCCAGCGTCGACGTGTCCAAGGTATGCAGCTGGACCTTGACCAACTGCAACGACGGCGACATTTGGCTCTCGCCTCAGGGCAAAACAGCCATTACGTTCGATGATGGTCCGACGCAATATTCGGCCGACTTGATCAATTTCCTCACACAGGAGAAGCAAGCCACGACACATTTTTTGATCGGAAGCTCGATCCTGAACCAGCCGGATGGTATGCACGCGCTTGCTAGCCATGACCTCGCACAGTGAGTTGTAGAGTGACAAAATAGGTCGAGCCCGAGGATGCTAGTGCTGACGAGCCGACCATCCCAGGCTCGGAGTGCATACATTCAGCCACACACTGCAGACGACGAAGTCGGACTTGCAGATCGTCGGTGACCTCGGCTGGACAATGCAGCTGATCTACGAGTGGACGGGAAAGGTGCCGATGTACTGGCGCGCGCCGGAGGGCGATCTGGATGCGCGCGTGCGCGCGATCGCCAAGCAAGTCTTTGGCCTGCAGAGCGTCATGTGGAACCGTGACGCGGATGATTGGTGCCTCAAGGATGGCGGCGGTAGCGAGAACAGCATTCACAAGTGCAGGACAGTCACGTATGACGACGTCGTCGCCGAGTACAAAGCCTGGGCGCACAATTCGTCACTCGAGGGCACCAACACGCTCATGCACGAGACCAAGGACCAGACCATCAAGGCGTTCAAGGAGTACTATGGCTTCCTCAAAGCGTCGAAGTACAAGATGGGCGCCGTCGCTTCAATCATCGGCGCGCCGTGGTACCAGAATCAGGTGAGCGGCTATGTATGCTCTTCGCGCAACATTAGCCTCCCTTGGGCTTACTTTCCAACGCTACAATCGCTTTTGTGCATTGCAGATGGGTCCGACGGACCCGGTAGAAGAAGCAAATTCGATCATCCCGCAGCGGGAGGCGATGAACTACACCGATGGCGGTCTGCACACCGTCGGCTCCGCGGGCGGAGCGGCCCTCGGCGACTTTAGCCAACTCAAAACTACCACCATCTCTCCCTCGTCTGGCTCGGGCTCCAGTGCCGCCGGGCTCAACAGCGGTGCAGCTGCCGACGGCACGAGTAGCAATGGCAGCAGTGGCTCAGCGTCTACCTCGGCTGCTGGGCGTGCAAATGGCTGGATGACCGTGCAGGTGTATGCTCTGGCTGGCCTCAGCGTTGGCACGGCTTCTGCTGCACTCATCTTCGGTCTCTGATTGGAGAGCATGTCGACCACGGCCCTCAGTCTCTATTCCTTCTCTGTCCGAGCGGAGGACCCTATTTCGGCTTCATTAACCGACGTACATGTTTCCTCGACGGTTTCCAACACATGTCGCACATGCACTGGCTTGCATGACCGCATTCGCTTATTCACAACGAACAATCTTTATCACGCACGCATACATGAAATTAGACCGTGGAATGTCAGAAGGGCCATGGCCTTCGCAAGCATTTGATTCGTCTCTCGTTCATATAAATACATTCGCTCGCTGTTCGATCACAGTCATCACTCCAATGTCACACTCTCAAGAAAAGTATCCTGCCACCATCTGTCGTGGTTGATGATCAGGTTGGGAAAAGTTTGCCAGTGCATTACACTGTGACCTCCGTTCCGCCAAGGGCGCAACCGACGCACCCATGGATAAAAAAGAAAGTAGTAGAAAAAAGAAAGAAAATGCAAGTCTCCTCGACTCGCTCTGACACCCACTTCGCGTTTCTGTTCCTGGCTCCATGTTCTTTTGAGAATAGCATTCACCCTAACTCAACTGCAACCACGGGCATCTATCACTCCTCAGAAGAGGGAGAGACAGGGGCGCATGGTTCTCAAGCATATGCTACCCATCATTCCAATGATTTGAGCCTGAATGTGAGCGACAAACGAGTTGCTTTCTTGTCCACCCTGAGAATGAGGACTTAGCGCCTCTACCATTCCCTTTCTTTCGTTCAAGCAACTGAAAGACGAAGGGGCATGCCGGCCGAAATTGCACGATTTTCTTTCACGTCACGAGCCTCCCTGATAGAATTCGCTTTTCATTGACAAGTACCCACGGCAAATCGTCGCCAATCACGAGGTTATGACTGTGCAAACAAACAACGGACGCTGGAGCACCGAAGGGCAAAAGCCCTTGACACCCACGAGCCCTGCTTGTCTTCCTCCCTGGCTCGCGTATTGACGTTCTTTGAGCCCCTTGCTATCGAGTACTCGATCGCTTTTTGCAACTCATTCTGAACTCCCCTTCCGTGCTTAAGAGCTTCTTAAAAGGCTCGCTCACGAAAATAATGTCCTTAGTCCCGCCCGGATTTCCCACTCTGTCGCCCGCTATGCGCCCTTCTCTTTCCTGTCCGAAAAATGCACGAGATCAACGTTTGGGCTGCGCTTCTGCTCGCCGTGCTGGCGACTGCCAGGGCCCTCCCTTCTCTCGATGGCGACAGAACGGCTCCTTTCCGGAGTAGGAAGGAGGCCATCGACCTGTTTCACCCCAGCTTATCCGCAACGCAAGCAACGTCATTCCGCAACCACAAGCGACAGACCTTGGGGTCGATCCCACTCAGTGGCTTCGTCCCTTCCAGTGGTGGGACATCCGCAAACGGCCAGCCGTAGCCAAATGTGGGCGAAGTACCTGAGGAGACTACGTTGCCTCAAGCTTGGATTGACAGGTAGGGTTAATATCTTCAGGAAGGGCGATACGTGGCAAGCACATCTGACCTGGTGGATGCCGTGCCCAAAAGATACAATGAGAAGAAGAACGCTGGACTGATTCCTGACATTGCTTCCGCAGAGGAGAACTCCAAGTTCGTGTGCATTCGGCGGTGAAGTACCTGAGACATGTCCATGCTGAAGCATGATTTCGTGTGCGCCTTGCAGCGGTCTCCCGGTTTACCCGTCCACCGTAGACGTTTTCACCATTTGCAGCTGGACCTATACGAAGTGCAATGAGGGTGACATCTGGCTCACTCCCAACGACACGACCGCCATCACGTTTGATGATGGTCCAACGGCATACTTGGCCGACCTGGCAGAGTTTCTCTCGAACGAGACCCAGCCGGCGACGCACTTCCTGATTGGTTCGGCGATTATCAATGCGCCTGAAGGTATGTTGGCGCTTGCGAGTCATAACCTTGCGCAGTGAGTCATGACTGTCTACGATTCAGAATCGCGCTCTCTTGATACGAGTCGGGCTCACCAATCGCTCCAAACAATCGCTTGCTCAGCCTCGGCGTCCATACATTTAGCCACAGCCTACAAAGCACCCAAGTCGGACCTCGCAATCGTCGGCGAGCTCGGCTGGACGATGCAGCTGATCTATGAGTGGACGGGTAAGGTGCCGATGTACTGGCGCGCGCCGCAAGGCGACGTCGACGACCGGGTGCGAGCGATCACACGGGAAGTGTGGGGGCTGCAGAGCGTCATGTGGAACCGCGATGCGAACGACTGGTGCCTGCAAGTGGGCTAAGGCAGCGAGACGGGCTTGGAGAGCTACAGCAACGTCACGTACGCCAGTGTCGTTGAGGCGTACAAGTCTTGGACGGGTGCAGCGCTTGGCAATACTTCCATCGTGGGTACCAACAAGCTCATGCACGAGTTGACCGATCAAAGCATGGCGGCTTTCAAGGAGTATTATGCTTACTTGCAAGGGACAGATTACAAAGCAGGCTCGGTCGCGTCCATCATCGACGCGCCGTGGTACCAAAATCAGGTGAGCCGGAAGCGGGCTTGGAAATGCTAAGAAAGCCCCGCGTTGAACTCTCTTACATTTTCAATGCTTGCGTGCTACTCTTTCTAGATGACTCCAGACGACCCTACCGAAGCAGCGAGCAGCATCATTCCGACACGCGAAGCGATGAACACTGCCGATGGGGGCTTACACAGCGTAGGCTCTGCGAAAGGGACCGCGCTCGGCCCTTTCGCCACGCTTGATAGGACCACTACGGTCGACTCATCCTCTACACAGGTTGACTCCAGTGCGGATGGCAGTGGCAGTACCGGTGACGAGCGGCTGAGCGGCAGCGGCGCAATACTTGCGAGGCCGTGCCAGCAGCTTTCGCCGTCGGTGTCCTGGTCGCGTCGACCTTGACCGTCCTGGCCATGTAGATCGAGGCCGCGCCGGGAAACACGATGGCGCGTGACTCGTCAATTGATACTTGAGAGCGGTCAGATCTGCAATATAGACTCTGACCACATGTCAGCATCTCGGAGTTTGGAATCATGTGGTAAGAAGTAAATAAGCGAGGAGTCAAAATACTCCAGTCTAATCACGATAGAAATGTCTCTAAGTTGTCTGATGCCCTCATGCGCTGTGGTGCCGGTTCTGGTTCAGTTGGCGCGTAATTATGGTGCGGGGGGAGGCAGGGCGTGCGGCGTGGCACTGGCGGAGAGGTCACAGCATGCCCACACCACAGACGAGACACATCCTCCATAGCCAGCAACACGACAGCTCGTTCCAACCTCGTCTGGAGAGCTGATCCAGCGGAAAAGCATGGGTGCAGGTAAAAAGACCCGGCACGCTTGCTCCAGACTGCAGACCCGGTCAGGACTCTAGACGAGAGCACCCTGCGCTTGTTGCCAGCCGCTACCTCCTGCTTCCTGTCCGTCCACTCGAACCGATAGACATCGCATCCTCCAGACATCGTCTCACTCATCACACACCCACGCAGACTTGTCACTTGGTCCGGTGCGGTGGCGCGCATGTCCTACGCCATTCTACCTTCAAAGAAGAAGCTAGGCAGTGAAGGATCCTGGCTGGCGTCCTCTTCGCCTCGACTCGACGCTCCCCCACCTTCAACGTCACTGCGTGCGCCAGCTCACGCTACTCTTGCTCCCAGCTGGCCGACGGATACTGCTGCCTCCCAGTTTCAAGAGCCTACGGACACGGGCACGAGTCGCGCTCGACTCTCGGCAGGAACAGCGAGTGGGAGCGAGGCTGTATCCTTTTCCGCACCGCTGCACGGAGCAGCTGTCACTGCCAGTCTAAGCGAAAGTGCAGGCGCGAGGCTTGTGCCAGCACCAAGCTCTCAATCGTCTCCCATCGACTACGGGTCCACACACCTCTTACGAGCTCCGTCGCTGGATCAGCGCTCAGACGGAGCGTACTCGTTCGAGACCGCCGAAGAGGCTTTTGGATCCTCAATATCCTCTTCATCTTCTGCCGCTCCTGCTACTGTCTCAAGTACTTCAACTGCAAAGGCTCGAATACTACCACATCTGCTGGACGGTCGGCAGGAACAAGAGCCTCCGTTGTCGCCTTCAGCTCGCTCTCCGCATCAACATTCGCGTACGGCTACTGTCACTTCCATCACACCCGTCAAAGCGGGCCCACCCTTCGGCATTGGGGCGGACACGATTGGGGCCATCCGCGCTATGGAATCACCGAGGCTGCTGCAACAAGGAGACGCTTCCCCCATGCATTGTAGTGGGGCGAATGTACCTGGGCACGCACCAGGGCAAGGGCAAGGAGCTGGACCAGGGGTAGGGATAGGTATCGGGATAGGTGGTGAAGCGATGCAAGTAGGCGGAGGCGGCTCCAGTGGGAGCGGAGAAACCTACTTCATCATTCCCGCAACGAGCGCGGGCGGGTCGCCCACAGAGTCGCGGCCCTCCTTCCAATCTCGGCGGTCTAGCGTGGATATTTCTAGCTCGGGAGGAGCTGGTGGCGGACGACCTAGCATGTCGCTTGACGCGCTCGAACGCATCAAAATCGACACTAACAGCGGCGGCAGCGGCACTACCAACGGCGTCAGCGGTACAAATGCAGGCGGCATGGGTGCTGCTGGCCCAATTTCAGGGTTCGCTGCAATGGGAAGCACGACTGCTTTGCAGAAAACATATGCCTCGGGCATAGTGTCGCCCACTACTCCGTACAGTGCAAGGCCTGGGTCTGCACAGGGGCAAGGATCTGGCGCGGGCTCCGGCGTGACGCCGTCCACCACGGGGGCGAGCACAGCCGCTAGCGCAAGTGTTGGCGCCAGTTCCCCGTATCCTTCCTCGGGCATCAGCCCGAGTATGAGCGGTTTCTCCACCACCGCTACGACCGCGGTGCACGAGGAGGCTGTGCCGACCAGCTTTGATGAGGCGACCCTTCGCGCGTTGTGCGACCTTGATGTGAGTTTGCGAAGCATTTTTTCGCGCAAGCGGATTCTTGGTAATTGACCTAATGGGTGGAAATATTCTACAGTGCGCTATGCCCTTACTTTTTGATCGCATCAAGCAGAGCATGGTTTCCGCGCGCGAAGCAGCGAGCTTCCTCAAAAAGCGAGCAGCCATTGAGGAGGACTATGCGCGTAGCATGTTAAAGCTCTCCCGTTCCTCTGCCGAGGCATACAGCAATGGCGATGGAAAGGCGGGCACGTACGTCGGCTCATGGATGGGCCTGATGAAGGTGCACGACCAGCTGGCCGATGCGCGTCTACGCTTTTCGCAAAAGCTCGCCGAGATGAGCGACGAGTTGGCCAATTTGGCCAAAGAAGTGGACAAGCAGCGCCGTTTTGCACGTGAGACAGGTCAGAAGCTCGAGAAGAACTTGCAAGATGCAGAGCAGGGCGTAGAGAAGGCTCGCAGTCGGTTCGACAGCTCGGCGGAGGATCTGGAGCGGTTGCTGCTCGTCAAACAAGGCGAGTCAGCTAAAGGGGGCGAGCTGCAGAGTACCGGCGGCAACAGCGGCGGCAAGCGCACGCTCGGCAAGGCGATGGGCAAGACAGGCTTGCTGTTCAAGCAGAAGAATCCGCAGCAGATGTTGCGGCAGGAAGAGGAGATCCGCGTCAAGACGTCTAATGCGTCCGACGCCTTCCGCAAGGAAGTGCATCAGACGCAGCAGATGCGCCAAGAGTACTTTAACATGCAACTCCCACGGATCCTGCGCTCGCTCAAAGAGAGCGCGGAGGAGATTGATAACGGCACTCAGTACCATCTGATGCGCTACGCGTTTCTCTACGAGAGTCTCATCCTCAGCGACGGAATGGCGATCAGTCCGCACAGCTCGGCCGCCATCGGGGCCGCAGGCGCGCCGGAGAGCAGCGCCGGTGGGTTGAAACGGTACATCGAGAGCATGGACAACCGAGGCGACTTCAAATTGTTTATGCAGAACTACCTCGTCGCGCACGGCCGCGATTACAGGGGTCCAAAGCGCGAAGGGCAGTACGACGACGGCTTCGTCCCGCCCAGTCCCGGAACGATCAGCAAAGCGCTTTCGGCGCCCCACCAGCAACATCAAGTGAGCCAGTACCCCATCTTCGGCGTCGACCTCGTGACGCAGATGGCAAGGGACAACGTCGAGGTGCCGCCTATACTCGAAAAGTGTGCTGCGGCCATCGAGGCGGTTGGCATTCAGAGCATGGGCATCTACCGTCTTTCTGGCACCACATCCAAGGTACAGAGGCTCAAACAGAAGTTCGACCAGGGTGAGTAGCAGATCAACCATTTAGCCTGTGGCATGATTGCTCGCTTGCGCATCTATGAGTCTGATGCACGGCTGTCTTATCCGTTTCCTTTCGGGCGAACTGCAGATTGGTCACAAGTGGACCTGATGAACGATGAGGCGATCAACGATATCAACATCGTTGCTGGCTGTCTCAAGCTCTGGTTCCGAGAGCTGCCTGAGCCTTTGCTCACATACGAGCTATATCCAGGATTTATAGAGGCAGCGAGTGAGTACAGTCTCGGGATAAGACGCGCAGATGCAGGTGCATGAATTTCTAATCTGATGCTCGGATCTTAACTAACGAAGAAATATCCAATTACCGCCTTCGACATATTCGGCTACACGAGCGAGTCAACGAGCTACCTGATTCCAACTATGCGACGCTCAAAGCCCTCATGAAACATCTTGACGCGTGCGTCTTCACTTGAGCCTAGGCTTGCCTTTGACCCTATTGCTGATGCATCCTCTTTTATGAACCTTCGATAACAGAATTCGATCACACGAAGCATCCAACCAGATGAGCGCATCTAACCTTGCCATCGTTTTCGGGCCAACGCTTCTCAGCCCGCCGATATCTGCCGGCGACATGAATGGCGGAGCCGGCGCCATGCAGCTGCAGGACATGAGCTTCCAGTGCAAGGCGATCGAAACTATCTTGGAAAAGTACAAGGTCTGTCCTCTGCGCGTTTGACCTGTTCGTGCGGTCGCGATGCTGAAGCCGAGCGATTTTTACATTCACTCCTTGCAGGAAATCTTTGTCGAAGACCCGGAAGAATGACGCATAGCTTGCGGGGTCTCTATACTTCCAAGTCCGCGCATCCCCAGGCATCTAGTCGCGCGCGACTTCTCTTCTTTCATCAACTGAGAGTCACCCGATCGTCCACCCAACACTCTCGTTGCACTCTCCGCCTGTAAAATATCCAAAGCATTACTGATTGACGAAAAGCACGCAAACAGTCGCCTTTCGTACTAACAAGCAGTTGGGTGAATAAGGGGAGAAATACAGAAATGCGTGAAAAAGGGAAGCTTGAGCGCCGCTGTTCAGTGAGATGGCGCGACTGTTCATGCTCGCCAGAGGAGGAAGGCGATCTGCCCCAGGTCTGTGGATGTACGATGCAGCTGTGTAAGTAATATACTTTCTTAAGAGCCGGCAAATGCAGATATGGTCTCACAGAAGTAGATGAAGTGCTTAGTTTCTGAGGGGTGAAAGTAAATGACGGAGGATGTAACAGAGTCAGTCGCCTTTCAGTAACCATACGAGGGCCACCCGAAGCCGCTCTACACCAGGTTTTACGACAGCTAAGACGAGCTCACCATGTGTCACGTAGCTACCGTAATTCTTGCCTACTACAGTATGCCAGGTCGGCCCGAACTTTGCGTCCATCGCCTTTTTGACGTACGCGGCGATGTCCTTTTCGACGCTGAAATTCTGCAATGCCTCGGTTGCGATGTCTACTGAGGCTTGCTGCATCTCTTCGGACATGTCCACATTCTTGATAACCGCTTGTGGAATGCTATGTTGTGTGCCGGTTTCTGCTGCAGACGACGCCGCGCCCTTCGCGCCGCCGCTTGCATCTGTCGGTGCCACGCTGCCCTTGGCCAGCTCGGATTCCTTTGGGTCCACCATGGCTACTCTGATTCCAAAGAAAGAGAAGCAAGTTCAAGAAAGCGCGTTAGTAGGTCAGGAAAAAGAGAAGAGGAAGTGGCTGAGCCCGCTAAAGCCGCCTCGGTGCCAGCAACGTCGGTTGATTATTGAAAGCCCTCCTGCAGTCTCGCTTCTCTCTTGTTTCCCCGGCACCCTCCTCGATTCCTTGTGCATTCCGTCCGCTTAAATGAGCGTGCTGAGCAGACGAACACCGGGGGGTGCGCATACACGCGACCCCACGGACCGAGCAGCGCGGTACATTCTGCACAACACTCACTCTGCAATCAATAGTCGCGGTAAGCGCACAATTCACAGCGAGCTTAGCTGCTTGCAGGTCTTATAGCTCAGACTGCTTGACGCTGCAGAAAAAGACACGGAATATGTTGCAGCAGTACATAAGATCCCAAGTCGAGATTGAATCAGTACAGGAGAGACCAACACTAATGATTTGCTTCCCCGTTCCCACCGACAGTCGCGTCTCGCTCTCCGGACTCCGCGCCGCCTCGCGTCCCGCCTCCTCTTGCCACAACAGAGCACAAATGCAGGATCAACACCCGATCGAATCTTGACTATGGTAGGTATCAGGTATGCAATCAACAGGCCAGTACGACTTCAACAGCTGCGCAGCACATGAGGTAGCCTGAACTCTCTTCCCTAAAGCATGCATGATCTTCCTTTCTAATGTTACACATGGTGGTCTAGAAATACAATGGCAAACTGGCGATGCACTGCACAGATTACCGCACGGAAACAGGAGCCAATCGGCCGGACGATGCTTAGAAGAGACAGCGAGGCAGCTATCTCAACCTCTGAGTAGCCCTTCCAGCGCAGCCTGCATGCGCTCCAAATCCTTCTTCTCTTCCTCCTCGTCGCGCACAGGCTCTGGCGCTGCCAAGTCCGGCAGCGCATCCGTTGTGCTCGCTTGACCGAGCTTGCCTGTAGGTAAGGGTTGTTTTGTAGATGGATTCACTCAGCGGCGCAACCAAAGGATGAGAGAGTCTCGGCCTGCAGCATGACGTACCGTCTGTGAGCTCGAACAGCACCTTTTCGACTTCTCCTTCTGCCTCCTCCTCCAGCTCGTCCTCGTCCTCGCCTAGCACGCCCGAGTCTAGCGTCTCGTCCATCATCTCTTCCAGGATACCTGCCTACCAAAGTACAACGAGCCGTAACCTCCTTGGTCAGCAAATCGGAAACAACCGGAAGTGAGGCTCCTTACCTTCATCATCTCTGTGCTCATTTCTCGCATTGTCTCTTGCATTTGCGGCAGCTTGATGAGCTGATTTGATAATTTCATCACTTCTGTCGACTTTTGCATGGACCCCGTGACCTTGTACATCGCTGACGAAGCCAAGTGCTGGAGTCAGCAACATAGCAAGGTGGCCATGCACATGCCTGACAAGGAGGACGCTCACCCAGTTGATGTTGCAATTGCATCCCGATGCTGTTCAGCCTGGCTTTACTAACAGCCAGTCGATCTCTCTGCTTGTGCGTCCGGACGATTTCTCTAGCCAATATCCGAGCGCTCTTGACGTCTCCCTTTTTGGCCAGCCGCTTCACCTCAGCTTTTGCTTTGCTTGATGCCGCATCGATCTGTCGCATCTCTCGTTCTAGTGCGCGCTGCTCGGAGCGCAGTTGCGATTGCACTTTCTTGACACGCTCTGTAAACACATTCGGTTTATGGCCAAAAGTGTGTCAGCAACTTTCGATGTCCATGTAGCTTTCAAATTCCTCTGCACTTACCCTCCTGGCTCGGCCCAAACAAGAATCGCTGCACAGACTGCATCTTGTGTTGACTTTGGCACTTCGGAGGCCCGTATCGATGCCGTGCACTTGGAAATTGATGGAGCCTTGGCGAGCTCCTTTCAGCGCTGCACCGACGCAGATCCCACGAGACCAAGTCCGGTCCAATATTTTGACAGAGCTTAAATCGGGGCAGAGAGGCATGTGATCAAATCATCTGCTTTATAATCAACGAAGCCGTTGAGGTCGAGGTAGTGGGACAGGATGGATCCAGACCGTGATCGGCAACAGAGAGACGCCCTAATCCCATGATGTCGTCGATGGGGACTCTCGATGTCATCGTGTTCTCATTCCGCGCCACAGTTTGTTGTTACGCCTTTGCTTAATGCTTCATTCGCGAAGTCTTGGTTTCTTTGACACTGGGCATTATATCACTGCATACTCTGTGCTTCCTCAAAACGACCAATTACGGCGCAACAGAAAGCGTGTTGTCAACGAGAGCGTATCATTTAGCTTGCGCGCCCGGCCTTACTGCTTCCTGCGACCCCGATTTCCAAAGTAACCATGGCAGATTCGCATCCGGGCTCAGGTTCGGTGATCCTCCAAACATCTCAAGGCTCAATCCACTTAGAGCTGTATTGGCAACATGCTCCGAAGACTTGCAATAATTTTTTCCAGCTGGCTCGAAGAGGGTATTACAACGGTGTGTCGTTCCACCGTATTATTGATGGGTTCATGATACAAGGAGGAGATCCTACAGGGACAGGGCGAGGAGGCAGCTCGATTTACGGTTCCAAGGTAAGCTCGAGCTAGCTCGTCCGCATAGCCAAAGGATCGGCTAACTCGGGAGCTTACACTATATGCACATTAAATATTTGCATCTCAGTTTCAAGATGAAATATCTCCCGAGCTACGGTTCGTCGGAGCTGGAATTCTGGCGATGGCCAACAGCGGTCCAAATACGAACGGGAGTCAATTCGTGAGTAAGGTATTGCGACAAGAATCCCGGAAGCGAATGCTTGATGGATCCGATTTCTTCGCTCTGCATTGTCACATGTTGCAGTTCATTTCATTAGCACCGACGCCGCATCTAGACCGCAAGCATACCATCTTTGGGAGAGTAAAAGATGGGATGCGCGTAGTACAAAGGATGGGGCTTGTCGCCGTGGACGCTGATGATCGGTAAGTGTTTGCCAAATATCAGTCTCAAGTCACAATGACAGTCTCAATCCTGATTCTGCGAATCGCAGGCCGCGAGAAGAGGTCAAGATCATACGAGCGACCGCTGTATCAGACGAATAAACTGCTCAAAATGACCACATATGGTTCTGTGTCCGCCGTGCACAACGGATGCATTGCTATTGCTTTGATATGTGGATTCAACAGTGCCTTCATTGAGAACATGGAACTAGAACTCTTCGAGAACACTCGCCGCCGAAGGAAAAGTCAAAATCTGGCGAAACGTCGTCCTCTTCCATGCTCGTGAGAGAAATCGCTCGTATGTCCTCATTGAAGGTCGGCAATGGTGCGATGGAGACATGGCCGCTACACCGACTTGAAGCAACATCCATTTCTGCTCCTAGACTCGGGCCTGACACAGTGTACAGCTGCAGGTCGTCCGTGGTGTGATATTTTGCGATAGCAGAGGGTGCGCGCGGCAGAGCGGACACAGAAGCAGCATGAGTGATTGCTCTAGTCGAGCACTGAGGCAAGGTCTGTGCGCGAATAGCAAGTTTCGTCGTCGCTAAAGCCGGTGCATTTGCCATTGGCGCCTCCGCGGCGCTTTGGTTGCTGGCGTTGGCAAGCTGGCCGAGACCAAGCCCGAGTCTTCGCCGCGCTGATAATTGCCTCGTTGCGAGTTTCGAGGCGCCAAATGGCTGTGTACAGTTCTGTGGCGCCGAAGCCGGTGCAGAAGCGGAAGGGTCGGTAGTATCAATTAAAGCGTGACTTCTTTGCGTGTCGTCAGCGGGGATAAGAGGTGCTCCGACTTGTAGGCCGCCATAGTAGGCGCCTTCGTCATAGTCAAAATCATACATAGAATATACGGCTTTGCTTGAGGGAGGCAAAAATGATTTACGGTTGTCTGGCCCACAGTCGCTTGGCCCTTCCTTCGCAACACGTGCATCGTGCGGCATGGATCCGAGGTCTTCCGCATTCATTTCCTCGTTCACTCTTGAGATTTCACACAGATCATTGAGTAGTGGTGATGCAAACAGTTTCGCCATTGCCAACTGAGCCTGAGCATGCCCTACTTTCGCTTCCTTCAGCGTGGTGAAAATCCCGTTCGTGCTTTTCTCCATCCTTGTGGCGCGAGACGGCCGAGATCGAGGTTGCATGAGCCGTTGGTATACCGTCAGCTTCGCCTCCTTTTCGAGTTGCCTCTTGGCCTCAACTTTGCGCAGGCGATCGTGCTCCTGCTCCACCAACCCTTGCACAACATCAACGCTGCCACAAGCGTGCTCAGCCGCGCAGCTGCCGATATGCTTGCGGCGCACGGGCCCTTTGTGGCTCTGAGGGAAAGAGCGTAAGCAAATGGGGCATTTAGGGAGAGATTTGATAGAGCTGGACGGGATGCTGGACAGGTCCAATGCCAGTGGATGAATTGGCTCGTTAGCTCGTACTTGATGTGAGCGTTTCAAAGGCGAGGTTGCGGCGACCTTAGAAGAAGCCTTGAAGATGCTTGCACCTTTGGTCGACGGCGTGTTCACCGCTGCTGCTGAGTTTTCCATGTGCAGTGAGAGGGCCATTGAATGGTTTCGAATAGGAACCCCAGAGGAAGGCGTATGTCGACGCTTAGCTTCCGGAAAAGAGAACTTCGAAAGGTCGAACACAGGCCTCTTGGGCGATTCATCGGTGGTGTGATCCGAATATTGTCCTTCATCCTGGCTGCAAGTTGATTTTTCCGTTCCTTGGGCTGATGTTACGCTTGCCGCAAGTGGGATCACCAACTCAGCGAAATTGGGCCTGTCAGAAAGAGACGAAAATTGCTGGCCCCATGTCGAACTTGCCGTATCAGCAGACATGCGTTCCAGTCGCAAACCCGACTTTGATACGGATGCGCGGAATATATCGGCGTCGTATGATCTTCGCGAGCTTTCTGGCGCTGAGGCCTGTCCTCGGCAAGGGGCAGTTGCTCGCGCACGAGTTGCCCGGAGGCGCGATAGCGACGCACTGTCCACCCCATCGCTGCTTCGCCAATGCCTCCAGGCGAAATTTGCAAGCAAGCACACAGAGGACGGCTCTCCCTCGGACTCTGTCTCTGAGATATGTTCGTGGGCCTCCACGGACACCGCTGTTTTAGCGTGTTTACCGCTACTTCGAACGGCGCGCTTTTCATGTACAGAATCGGCTGCCATTTGTGCCTGCAACGGCGAAACCGGCAAGCTGTTTCGATCTCGAGAACAGACATACTGGCATTTCCGTGCACTTTCGTCTTCGACGGCCCTCTGCTTCTCCATTTGACGGGCAGATAATGGTTTCAGATGGACGTCTGAGTCATCGATCGGAGATGGCATGCCACCGGTTGATAAGTTAGCTGGTTTGACGCGCAAGGGCGAGCACCGGCCCACATTTTCTGACATTTTGGTGGAAGGCGCTGACCTCGATGACAATATCGGGTGCCGCTGGCACGACTATCGAGACTTATCATCCCTGCAGCTTTGTCAATGCCGTTGCTCAAATAAGGCAGCGCTCTCGAAACGGTTCATGGTGCGGATGACCAGAACGCGGTGTTGGTTGGCTCTCGTACGAGAGAGTCGAGTGATTTTCCACGTCCTTGACGCGCGTGAGAGAATCGCGTCGCCGCTGGGAGAGACAACAACACTTTCATTTACTTTGTTGCTCACGGGTACCTAATGAGGTTTCACCACTCCGCCTCCATCTCTCACCTTTACCATGATTCGAGCTACGTTGATTGCACGTCTATCATCCCACGTTCTCTGCAGTTCATTGAGCGCACGCAGTTTTGTTAGCACGGCGGTTGCCCAGCTTGCAGAGCGAAAGCATCCGCAATCATGGCCGGTAAGACACGCGGCAGGACGTCAACTCGGGCGGTGAACAGAGCACAATCTTCGGCTGCTCACCCCCAGACCGCAGCAGATCCAAAAGCCTCAACATCGATGGTGGGAAAAGAAGCATCAGGATCCAGACCTACAACAGACATCATTGCAGATACCCGACGCGTCCTTGCCAGCATCGACCCTTATGCTTCTCCGTATCACCCTCGACATCGGCGGGAAGACCATCAAGTGGTCGATGGCGTCACCCAAGAGGGTATCGACGAGATCGTCCAGACCTCGTTGTCGCTGGCTGCATTCAAGGCGGAGATCCTCTCGCGAAGTGGAGAGAGCGCAAATCGCGAAAGTCGGCGGAGAAGCAGCAGTGACAATAGGCAGGGCACCACTGCTGTGCTAGAGAGGGGCAATGGCGGCGAGCGGAAGGGCGATTCGGCCGAGGTGGACTGGCAGATGTACAGAGATTGGCCAGAAGGGGTCATGGTGGAAGAGGAGGCAATGAAAGTGAGTTGATGTGGCGTGGCACACTTACTCACTGCGCAAGCTCAAGCGTCAATCTTCGATCCTTGCTAGACATACTTTCAACGATTAAAGTTCATCTATCTCGAGACCGCGACAAAGCTTACATTTCTCAACGACTGTACACAAGAGATGATTCACGATCACCAATCATTGGCAAAGTTAGGTGGGTGCACTTCGGTTTGACTAATTTGGCAAAGTTGATGAATAGGTCTAATACGATCGATTACTATTCTCCACATTTGCAGAGCAAGACGCTGCGCGAGCAAAAGCAGACCTCAAGGCAGGCAAAGATACGATCCGCAAGCTTCGCACTGGCATCGATGAGGTTTCTGATAGCATGGTACATCCGTATGCCGAGCTGGAAGAGCAGAGTGATGAAGCGAAAGCATTGATATCCAACATCAGAGACATGGAGCTCGAGTTGGCCAAGATTCGCGCTACGACAGGCAGCAGCAAGACGCGCTTTGATATCAACAGCAATGTGGCGCCAAAAATGGGTACCATGACGCTCGAGGAAGCTGAAGCGTTCAACGAAGAGCAGGTTAGCATTATGACAAGTGGTACCAAGCCTGATCTCTGCGATGTGTGCTCCAGAACACTGACACGCTGATAAACTGCACGCGGTGTTTCGCAGCTTATGCAAATGCAAATCCTGCAAGAGTCCACAACAACTGCACAGGCACTGACGAAAGAGAAACAGAAAGAGCTCGCGTCGACCATGCGGGCAGTGGAGCGCCTGAACGTAGAACGAAAGCGCGAGGAAAAATACGCAGAAGAAGTTAAGGAGAGCAATCGGGATCGAGAAGTGGAAGAGCTATGCGAGAAGTGAGCACTTGAGGAGCGGGGTGGACGCCAGGAAAAACTCGGTGAAGCTCACGCCTTCGATTTGCCCACCTCGACCAGTCGTGTCGCCACTTTAAATCTCCTTAAAGGAACTCTAGGTATATCCACCATTGAAGCGCATTCGGATACGGAGCTTCGCATCACTTTTCTTCCGCAAGCATCAGCGGCAGCAGAAACAGAGCCGATCAAACTGGTGCTTCAATACGATGTTGCAGGCGGTAAGCTGCAATCATATTGCGTGAGTGTGGTACAATTACGTTATATTGGTGCGCAGACAATTCTCTGATAGAATTAAAGAAATTGGCTTCACGATAGGTTGTCAAGCTGGATGACAGCGACGCAGACGTGCCAGAAGAGAACGTTCCGTTGCTCGAAGCAGCATTCGCAGCCAATGACGCCCCACAGCTGATACAAGAGTTGTGGCGTGCGATGGCTGCGCCCGCGGTTGAATCCCGCTGATGAGTTTGTGCTCTCACCATTGCCCGGACCTCCTTTTGTCTTGGTCTTCACATATGTATGCTACTCATCTGGCGCGCGTCTGCCTTTTTCATTGCGTTTTTCCATCTGTATTGCATTGTGAGGTATAATGCTGGGACAGCGAAAAAAAATGTGATGTGGGAAAGAAAGTGGGCTTTAGGTGATTATATTGACATGGATTCCGGCTTTACTTCTTTGGGAGCTTTGCACTGGATAAGGGAAGCAGGAAATAGCGAATTGCGTTTGTGAGAGAAACAAGTGTGCGATGGAAGCGGTAGAATGAGCGCAGCCCATGCAAATCGGCTCCACAAAACAAGGGGTATCCGCAACGAGAATTTGCGTGATATTAGGCAGGCTGCATGCTCCAGCAACGACTCTAATCGAGCGACTCGCCGGGTGGAATACTTGCGCTGACCTCGAGGCGGTTCTTCTCATCGTACTTCGTGTCGACGTTGGTGGTGGAAAGCTGGTGTTTCTGCGCCGCTTTGACAGCCGCTAAGCCCATGCCAAGGCGGTCGTTGGGGAACCAGAGTGTCCTCTGGTCCTCCTTGACGGCCGGGTGGTCGAACGCGGACATGATCCCCTCGTTGAGTGTGTCAATGGCCTTGCTGCCATGCGCATCGAGCGCGCCGTTGATGTGCGAGGGAACGACTTCCTTGACTGGCGAGTCATGCGACACGTTCTTCTCGACATCCGAGCCAGTTAGAGCGTACAGGCTCTCTTCCAGCTTGGCGGCCGTAGCGCCAGATTGGGGCGCGTTGGCGTTGGTGGAAAGTACAAGCGTCAAAGGCAGGCTGTTGTATAGCGGTCCGTAGGAGTTGTTAAGGAAGTAGTGGAAGCCGGCAACGAGGACGATAAGCACAACAGTGAACGCGCCTGAAAATGTGGAGAACAAAGCATTCGACCCAGTCAGCCTTCGTGTCTTCCAGCTGACTATGGCCCATATTTCAGTAAAAACCCACCTTCTGGAATGGCGGTCTGCTTGGTTCCGCCATTCGAGTCGGGCGCGTTGACGAGGAAGAATAGAGCGGCGAGCATGACGAGCTCGAGGTACAGGCCGGCAAAGATCTGGTTAATCGCCTTGGGGAAGAACAAGCCGCTCGTCTCCGTCTCTGGCTTTTGATCGTAGACCTGCAGAGCAAAGGGGAGATTGGTCGGCGCGTCAATACATCAGACTTTTCATTGATTGGGTCACTGAGAGCCTAGCACTTACGTAGGTAAAGTTGTACCTGTAGAGCGCATAGTAGAGGATAAAAGTGACGAGTGCGAAGCCAACAACGATGGGCGCAATGACCATGTAGCCGATGGCGATGACGGTGATCAAAGAGGTGACCGGGAAAAGCGTGCCCCACGAGACGGACCCCATGTCGTTGTCAATGTGCCATAGCTTTCGTGGGGTGCTACCGAGCAGGAACTTTTTAATGTAGTACACGACGAGCGGGACGAGCTGGACGAAGCCGGACCCGGCACCAGCGAGGCCCTGCAGGGCGATGTAGGAAAGGAAGAAGGTAGAGCCTTTAGGGACGGCAGTGGCGATGAGACCGGGGAAGGCAGATGGGTTCTTCCTAAGACTGTCCAGGAAGTCAGACACGCTGCGTATACTTCCGGAGACGATGGTCAGGAAGAGAAAGTTTTGGATAATCTGGAAGAGGAAGAAGCGATCCATGAGGGAGAGCTCGATCCCGGTCCTCGTCGGCACGCCGGAGAGTTGCGTGAAGAGACGGAGGAAGATTGGTAGAAGCATGTTGAGCACCGCCAGCAGGACCGTCGGCAGGATGCCCTGGATGATGCCAGTGACAGGGCCAATGTGGTCGAGCCAGCTTAGCCAATGCACCTTCTCAGCGAGACCTTGGATGTTGGAGATGATGGCGACGAATCCTACAGGGACAGTCCAGAAGAAAACGAGGGCGAGTGTTATGAGCCAGAAGACCAGCGTGCGGATCTTCTTCTCGTAAGGGTTCATGTTGAGCGTGGACCAGACGACATTGTTGGGGTGTGCTTCGATGTAACGGTCTACCATCCTGTACGGTAGGTGATGCGTCTGAGCCTTTTGCGCCATATGTGCGGCGATCTGTTGGTTGAAGAGCAGGAAAGCACTGTTATCGGCTGGGTACTTTTCAAAGTCGGTGGCAACCTCATGGCGCTTGGCTTCAATGTCATGGTTGAGCTTGGCAATCTCTTCGCGGCACCATTCAATCGTGTCAACCTCTGTCCCCATGCAGGGGATCTTGCTTCCGACCTTGTGGGTTGGACGCTCCTTCTTTGCAATGTACTTCTCAGCAAGATCGAGAGGGATGGCACCATCGAGGTAGGAAGAGGCATCGACACCCTCAACCTTTCCCTTCTTGATCTTCGTGAATGCCGTCTTGATGATGCTGGCTTCAGCACCTTCGAGCTTGTTGCACCATTTGAGACGCTCATCGCACATGCCGGGAAGATCCTTGAGGTTGCGGTTGATCCACACATGTGCAACTCCACCGGGGAGATGGCTGTACAGTGCCTTGAGTTTGTCCTCGGTGAGCAAATTGTTCGGCACTCCAGTGACGAGTAGCGTCTTCGCCTGCGCGGTGGTTGCGTGCTTCTCGGAAACGATGAACTCTTGGCGAAGCTTCACAAACTTGCTGACTTTGACTTGGATGTTGTAAAGAAGCCAAAGGGTGCAGACCCACTGAACGAGCAGCGTGCCAATGTAGCGCAACTGAGCAGTCGTGTTCGACCCCACGTTGCCAAAAGTGAATTGATTGAAGCCAGTGGAGCCCCGAGTGACGCCTGTGGCGTAGAGGGGCATCAAGACTGCCCAGGTTAGAAAGAAGATCGGGCCAAAGGTGATGATCTGTTTGCCCGTCAAAGGGGTGCATACAGTCAGCTTACAGAGCGAGCCGCCTTGCAAAAGCGAGCTGTGAACAAACCATCAGTTCAAGATACTCGAGGTACATGTACGCGTCAAGACCCTGTCTGTGTAGAATGTCGCTCTTGTCCATCTTGATGAAGGGCGTGATCCAGCCGAACAAACTTGGCGACTGAGGCGGTACACGCTCATCCTCAGGGCCAAGATAAGACTTTGGCTGGTACACCTTGCGGAACTTGGGTCGTAGGATGAAGAAGACGACGATTTCGACGAGGAAGATGGCGCCGTTCAGGATGATGGAAGAGAGCACGGTCTGTGTGCTCTGCTGCTGTGTAGCGGACTGCGCGGCGACATGCTGGGGCGCACTCGCCGCGAGAAGCAGAGGCAACAGTCCCAATAAAGTGGTGTCTTTCATCCTGGATGATGCGGCAGGCATGTTTCTTTGCTTGCTAAATGCGCCGCAAGTGGATAAAGTAAGATTCGTAGACGCGTGCACGCACTTTGAAATATGCTTGAGACCTCGCAGAGGTCAGACTGTAGGCGCGGGGGCGGTGCTTCTAGCCTTTGACGGATGCCGCGAGGAGATTGAGGCGTGCTGGAGAGGAATACTTAAAACGACTCGAACAGGTAGTTCTGGAAATGCATTCGCCCTCAACAGCTTGCTATGAAAACCCCATCAACGAAGCTGGACGGCGCGGAAGGAGGGAAGGATATAACCACAGTAACCACGACCAACCTCTTTATTCTCTCTGATGGCTCTTGCGTGTTGAAAGGAGTTTTTTTTTCACAACCAAGAATAGAGGTGGCTTGCGACACGATGACGATGTGTTGTTTGCTGTGAAGCCTGTGCAAAAAAGTGTGCAATGTTTTGGTGTTGTTTTCACTCTTCTGTCGCCCACTGTCATTGGGCGCCAGTGCATGGCAATGCCAGCATTCAGCGCCCTTCCATTTTGTCCCGACAATCGAGTGCGTTTCCGCACGTGTAGTAGCAAATGGCTTGTGTAAGGAGCTTTACGTACGTAGCACAGGAGAACGCTGGAGGAGGTATCATGTAGCCCCTTTCCGCGTGCTTGATTTGTTTTCGGAGAATTGAGTTCGGGGAAGTAAGCCTAAATATACAGAACAGGCACATACCCCGAGAGCCAGCTAGCATCACCCTGAGAAGAGCTGGAGAAGCCTGGGCGGGTGTCCACACATAGCAAGCCTCCCTCTATTATGCGAAATCTACAGGTACAGACTGATTTCAGAGGATGTCCAAAGCGGGGACAGAAGTCGCAGTGCGCCGCGCTCGGCAGTGGCGCAACAAAGCACTATGATGTGGCCGCCCTGGGACTCGGGGACTTGATCTCTTACAGACGTTTGCAAGCGCCAACATGCCGACACCTGCCGAGAGCCGACACACGATTCGCGCGATACTCGACAGAGAGCAGATTGAGCGGATGTCTTGACGCGCTGTTGACACTGAACGCAAAGCATCCAGATCCGCTTTTCGGTCGCATTCACCCTTGCTTCCTAAAAGGCAAAAGTGAGATGTGGGTGGGTGGACGGTCAGCTGAAAGAGTCAGTGGGAGAGCGACGTCTGTTGAACATCAAAGGCGTGATTGTCCGAGCCCCACAGCTCTTGTTTCGGGCCCATCGCACTAATGCAGCAGCGGTTTAAATAATCCAGACTTCCAATTTGATCAATTATTTACCACATGTGAACTGTTGTTGTCTTCTGGACCCCAATCCCGCATCACCCAAGGGACAGAAGGGGCAAAAATCTTGAACGAACAATACGGCATACCATCTACCATATTATGGGAGATTTTGGATCTATTTCCGATGACTGGACTCATATACCCGTACGCAATTCAACTGAAACCAGTTTGGCGAAGAGAAAGCGCACTGCATTTCCGCTTGCTCCATGATGATGCTTCACAGGTTGCGGTGTCGTCATTGCATCGAACATCTACGAACATTCAATCGAGTGCTGTCCCGACTCTCGTCTTCCTTGCATCGTGTTAGAATTCAGAAGCACACCTCACATCGGAAAAGGAATGGCTCTGCGAGCATCTTGATTTGATATCCCACATGAAAAGGCGCGTCTCATCCCCCAAGTTGCGGGTTTCTCGGGAACGCAAAGCTCCCAAGAACAGATCCTGCATCTGAGACCTCGAAGCCTGAGAGATGCTAATTCTGATTATGCATGGGCTGCCATGCTGTCACGTTTGTGGACAGTGAGGCAGCAAGGGTCGCCGATGGAACGCGATGCGATGCAGATGCCATTTCCGATGCCGATTCCCTGAGAATTCTTGCGATATGATGCGATGCGAATGATACAGCAAGGGAAAGTGCAACGGGCGAGTTGCAATGCGATGCGTACTCCAAGTCAAGCGAGTACAGGCCAAAGGACAGGCGGTTCCGACCACCGGCGCCCTTCTCAATCGACAGTCAAGATTGTCTCCTGCCAGCACCGGATATCGTTGAGAGGTCCACGAGCCGACTCATGGCGCACATGTCCAGGCCCCTGCACATCCAATGCACTGTGCTGATGCCGACGCTCATCCGCGCCATCCAAGGAGTTTGGCGTCGGAGCAAGGATTGGAGCCGTCGCACCTGTTGCAGCACCGTATTCTGCATGATGAGCATGCAGCAGCGGCATCGGATGATGGTAGTACATCGGACGAGGCATGGCAGTAGTAGGCGCAGATGCAGCTTGCACACGATTTTCGAAGCGAGGATAGCGGTAGACTTGTTCTTGATCGGGAGAGCGGTGCGCTTCCAGGAACTGGTTCCGCCACGTTGGCACTGGCGCAAGGACGCTGTGCTGCTGCTGAGACTGGCGTGGGCACGATAGGAAGGTGGACTCTGGTAGGCTTCCATGCTGAGCTGAAGGAAGAGCAACAACGCCGTCCGATTGAGGATACGCAGTCGAGGACGAGTGGGGAGGGGGAGGCTCTTGGCATTTGGCTGCGCAGCTAATGCTGGCGCGTCGGCTTTGCAAGGGTTGGCCATTAGACGCAATGCCATCATCCTTGCAAGTTGAAGATGATGCGGATGCTTTCTGATTGAGGGATAGACCGAGGCTTGAATTCTCGGCTGTCTCCAGCTCTAAAGTATTCTCTTGCTTCCATTCTTGAATAGCGGCGATCGCATCATCGGATGATCCTCGGTTGTGTCCATGTGCGGCACCACTTCCGTTTGAACCAGTGGGAAATGCAAGCGGCCCATCGTCCATCGTTCCATCTGGTGTATCAGAAGCTTCACCAGCAGTTTCCCAATCTTCATCGCTCTGGCGCATCGAGTTGCGACTCGCACTAGTAAGCGTTGGCAGCGGGTATTTGTGAAGAACCGTGGGCCTGGTGCCGGTGCTTGTCATACCGGCTGGTTCAACTGAAAGAGATCCCGAGGAAAGCGAGCGAAATCGGTAGCTGGGATGTTCAGGAATGAGATCGCCCTGGACAACAGATGCGCGATTCTCGGACCGTGTGCCGCTCGTCGCATGGAAGGAGGCTGGCCGTGCATTCGAGTCCCAAATACTGTTGTGGTTTAAGAGCGTGGCTGATGAAGCGCGCCGCTCCTGTTGTTGACGACGCTTCTCGTTGGCATCGCATTCCAGCTGCTCCATTTGCAATGAGCCCCGTGGAGTTGGGGTACCATTCATGATCCGCAATGCAGGCGCCATTGACGGCTCAGACGCTGGCGAGCCGTTGTAGCTTTCATGAAGCATTGGCGGAGGGCGCAACATGTCAGGGGATATCTGTGTCTCCAGAAAAGACACTGGCCGCAAGGGGGAAGAGGCGCGACGCGATTGCCTCCTATCGCGTGTCCAAGGGCGCGAGCGCCATGCGGCGCTTTTGATTGAGTCTATGGTAAGGCGGCGCTGCAGGCCAGGATCCTCAGGATCCGCAAGACGGGTATTGTAGCTGTGTGGGAGGAAAGGAGCGGTGTTCACCATTTCGAACCCATTCGTTGAGAAAGGCCGATCTCGTGCGCTTTCGTTGAGATCAAACGACCCAGGTGCCTGCCGTCTCTTCATCGAGGCAGAAAGTGGGCGGATACTCAGAGGAACGTGTTGATTTTGGGAACTTGCGTGATCACTTCTGCCACAACACCAGAAGTGAGCAAACGAACTTTCGATGTAGCGGACAGAGACTCACAACATGAGCAGTTGAACCGCACTAACGCAGCCAGGGGTCAGTATCTTTTGGTGAGTTTTGAGAGTAAAACACGAGCTCCTCTCTCACATGCAAATGACCGCGGGTATAAATGGAAGAAAGTAGGTTGCGTAAACGGTATTGACAGAGCTGACATCGAGACGTAGAAGTGAGCATAGATGTGGAGAGGTTTTCCCGTGAGTGCGCTTACAAGAGGACTGTAGCCGTAAGGTATACGCTGACAGTCTGTGGGGCACGAAGCTAAATCAAGGGTTCGAAACACGATCGCCCCGAAAAAATGACTCACGATCGAAATGTATCCCACTTGCCCAGACTTGAGCGCATCGATGAAATGCGTGCTGCCTCCAGCGAGCTGAGTACTCGAGAGCGAGTGCAATACCATGGCGAGCACTGTGGCATCATACAAACAACTGATCCCGCTCCATACCGCCACGATCCACGGCCTGGGCATGGCTGCTCCGCAAAAGGGACCATCAGGCAGATGTGAGGCAACCGCTCTGCCGTTTGTCAAGTAGTATGGCTGAAAGCCAATGATGACCAGACAAGCTGTGCCGGTTTGAAGGAGAAGGATAGCAGCCAAGACCGCAGCGACCATCCGGTTGCGGTAACAGATGGCGTAGGTGCGCACCAAGAACTTTATCGAGGATATGTCAACGCTCGAGTATAGCCCGAACAGATCCCGTGAAATCTCACAATCAAGCTTGCAATAGCCTGTGAGTCAAATGAGTCAGTGCGGATCCAAATTGCTCTCGCGTGTATGTGAGCTCACCATTGCCACCATCTCAGCTGTGACCGCAGCGCGCACCGTGGCGTAACACTGCAATCTGCTCGCCGCGGCGTACTGCCAAGATGTCCGTAACAACAAGATCAAGCACAACAGTGACAAGTAGCGAACAAGGAAAAACTGAAATAATAGCGCCTCTGGTCAGCAGCATACCATGCGCTAGCCGGTTTCAGTTTCTGTCCCATACCAAGATCTTAGCAAGGTTCCGGCCTTTGCACGCATAGAGTGCTATTTCAGCCGGAAAGGTGAGAATGTACTCTGTACAAGGATGACAGGGGTCAGAACCCTACGGCAGCATGCTATTCCGCTTCTTTGCTCACCGATCCCAAAGACCGCCAGGCCAGCTGCCGACGTTGCCTTGGAGATGTACTCCGCGGTCGAAACTATGTTCACAACGCTGAATGTATTGTTGATGTCCATGGCGAACAAGGCGCCCGCACATGCGAGTGGCGACGAGTGAAGGCGGAGGGAAACGCTGGAGAAGGTGAGCAGACGGTGTTGGAGAGTTGAAGAATTGCTGTCGGAGGATCATATAGTCAACGTGGTCGAGAGACTTGTTTGACGATTTTGTTTGGGGATTCCAAGGATGCTGAACAAATACAAGGACACTTCTCCCTAATGAAGGCGATCCCTCATTCATGCCGTAAGCTGCATTAGCGTGTTTGAGCGCATATAGACGGAGAAGATGATGTAGAGATACCGGAACCAGACAAGCTGAGTTTGATGCTTGCGCATTGCCTGAAGTGCAGTCCAGTAGTGGCTCGGCGCTCCCAAGACATGGAACGAGCCCTGCGCCAAGCCGTATCGATGCTTCGCCCTTAACGTCACATTGTCAAGCAGGGCCTTTGGTAGACCCAGGAACTTCCAGAGCGGTGAGACAGTGGCCAGAGTCAATATACGGAGTGTGTGGGATGGTGAGGTTTGTCCGAGGGAAGCACGCGCCTTGTCGTTGCCAGCCGCCAAACGCACTGCTTCAAAGCATGCATGATGATTTGCGTGCCGTGTGACTCCCTCGCTGTCAAATGTGAGAATCACATCAATGTCGAGCTGTTCTATGAACCGTTCCAACAGGCTGGAAATGTAAGATGCGTTCCATTGCACTTCCATGCCATCTTGCAGGCTGTTGTCGTCTAGGGAGGCGATCCGCATGGCTGGCACCCCGAGGATGTCGTACGATTCGGCCAACTCCAGAGCTCGGTGTTTGCCAAGACCGGTTGCATTACCCGTACTGAGGCAGAGTCCAAACACCGTGGTACCAGCTGCTTGCATGGCCATGATAGTAGGCGCGAAGAACATGACTTCATCGTCAGGGTGTGCCGTGAGAATGAGCGCGCGCTCACCAGGCGAGAATGGGGGCGAGTGCTGTGGAAACACCCCGGAGAGGAAACGTTGCAGAACCAAGCAAGCAATCCAAGCGATCAAAACGAGTCGCGAGATCCTCCACACGTCGAACGGCTTCGTAGCCCTAGAAAACCGCCTTACCCGGCGAGCAGAAACGACGACCATGGCAGTACTGGACGCGAAGGCTACCAGATGATCGCCCGCTGCAGCTCGTCCGCGGGAAACAAAAAGTCGCTGGTTTGTTGTAATCAACGATCATGCGATCACGAAGCGACGGCTATCAGCGTGTGAGCCAGCGTGACTGTTCTGTGCGCGAACAAGAATGTATAGCCATGCTTCTTGTTTGCCGCGAAGTTTGAAGAATAAGAAATCGAGAAAGACGGTGCATATTGTGCAGTCTGCACGAGTTCACAGCGCGCAGAAGCCGCCTGAGTAAAGCAATGTTCAAGAGTGGCGGGATCGGGATTTCAGGATTCAGGAAGAGCGTCAGTACTCCGAAGACATCGCTCCATCACTTCGTCTTGTGCATCAAGGCTTCGCACATTTATTGAACATCCCAACCGTAGACTACATGCAATTAGCCAAGAGGTCATCGGGGTTGCCTGCATGTATGGGCATGTCTGAGCTCGGCGAAGGATGGCAAAATGTCGAGCCTGGATCGCCCGGCACGAAGGCACATCCGCGCAAAAGCTGTTCTGACATCGTCCACCTCGCAGGATGGCATCGCCAACTGTGCACCGGCCATCAGTAGTGCTGAAGCGGCCGCCATCGCTTCCTCCTCTGCTATGGCATCCAGGCCACCTGCAAGCAGCACTGCATTCATGGGCCTCGATCCGCTCTCCGCCGAGCCGGACGCGGTCTTCGAGAAGCTGCATGTAAAAGCCGCTGAAGAATTCGAGCAGTCTGTCAGGTAGGTCCCGAACGGAGGGTGGATTTTCCAGATGTGTTTTGCTGGATTGCTCATAAACTGTGCTAATTATACAGGGATGCGTACCAAGAGTCGCAGGCCGCGCTGCGATCACTTGTATCGACTCAGTACCCAGAAATGCTTGGGACAGCTTCAAGTGTAATCGAAATGGCAGGCTCATCTCGCCGCCTGTTGCAGCATATCACGACATTCCGTGACACAGCTCTTGCTCCAGAGCCCCTGGGACCGTCCAAGCTGGAAAAGGGGAAAGCGCGCGAAGATGACATCGCAGCGGAGACGGAGATTTACCGGTTGGCAGCTGCAACAAAGGTGGTGGATGAGCTGCCAGCGTTCGGGAGAGACTTTCTTTCGCGGAGAAGAGCCCATCCCTTTACTCTACATGCTGCTTGGGCGTACATGGTCGGGCGTACTGCATGGGGGTACCTTTCGGAGCGGACCAAAATGCTCGCGGGGAGCGAAGCAGCCGTCTTGTTCCCGAGTCTTGTAAACAAGAGGGAGGAGCTGGCGGCTTTACGGACAGAAGTCATCCAAACCTGTACCAAGCAGCTGGAGCAAGATCTTATCAGCTACACAGTATGTGAAAGGTTCTTCCGCGTATCTTCTACTCTTTCCTCACCAAGCGCCTTTCTACACTCCTAGGCCATGATGTCGCATTCAATTGCTATGGTATTACTCGACCATGCACGACCTAGCGAGATGTTGCAATTTGTTCTTGGCCTTCGGAAACGTGCTCTGGCTGCCATGAGCTACGCCGGGGATACCATTGACGCTGTGGAGGTATGCTGTGTAGCCGTTGCCAGGCTGATGCGCATATACAGCACTTCCATCAGATTTAGCGCAAACGCATACATCCTTTCGCCACTGCCAGGTACCCCCCCGGAATTTGTTCACATCCTCGAGCACATTTGTCAGGCTCGGCACGGTACCGAAGTGCCCCCGCATGCTCGCCTCTCTGCACGCACCATCATCGACAAGATCTCCACAAAGGCTTCCTTGATGAACTTCCTCCCGGATGAGATTGTCAAGTACTGCCCATTTGTCGACTTCAGCGGAGCTGGCACTAGTCAGGAGGAATTTGATCGAGCACTGAGTCAGATTTGCACCTGGAGCGAGGACGTTATCAGTACTTGCTGGCAGGAGCAAGGCTTGCAAAGCATGTTTGCCGGTCTAGCCACAGTTGCAGACATATCGAGCGTGGCAGCAGCAATCTTTTCGTACACTTCCGAAGTCAAGCAAATTCTACGCACAAGTCTTCACGCCGGTGGCGACCGCACAGATGCAATACACCATACCGTGGATCAGAGCGTGGACGCTTTCCGCTCTGCAGCGCAGAGAGTTCTCGACGAGCGCCTCGTCGGCCTCTACCGCGAGCGTTTGGACGATATCGCGCGGTCCTTTACCTACGAATGCGATGCCCTTACCCTGGAGGAACCACCCGATCTCATTCAGTGGCTTCTTGCCGATGGACAGGGAGCCAGTCTTGACGATCGGTTATGCGGCCATACGCCAGCTGTGCGGCGGGTACTCGCGCACGCCGAGCAGCAGGCAAGCGATGTTGCACAACAGATGCAGCGCTTTTGGGAGGACGCTCCTCGGTCGAAGGAGCATTCAGGCCATCTCGAGCATCTTCGGAAACAATTTGCAAACAGTGTCACTGCGCTTTTTGATAGCCTTGCCTCCGCTTTACAGAAAATTCCTCGATCTGCCAACAACATCCTCTTCGCGCACGTTGCAGCTGCCATTCCGCTCAGCACGCCGTTGCATCAATTGGCGCAGGCAGCGCAGCTTGACGATATGCGCGAACGTTTCTTCTCGATAGCGGGCGCTAGTGTTGGCCCGTGGGTGGATGCCCAGGTGAAGGACATGCTTGCATTGTATGCAGACAGAGTCAAGTGGGACGACTTGCAGTCTAATGTGTCCATCGGTATGCTTGACGCGCTTTGCCATCTGTCCTCGGCGATCCGACACGCGGGTCCTGCGCTCACAACGCTCGGCCTCAAGGACAAGGTACTTGAAGCATTCGCAGCGAATGTGGCGGCCAAGGGCTTCAAGGAACCTGTTCCGGTCGTCGATGCCACTTTATTGATTGAATGCCTTGCCGACAAAGTCGAAGGGGAAGCAGCAATTCAACTGAAAAAGTACATCTCCATGCAAAAGGCAGAGGAGCAGGTAGTCGCCGGCATTCAGCATAAGTTCTGGGCGCAGCACTCGTTGCTGCTAGAGCCATTATTGCCAAGTGCTAGGAGCCAGGCTGTGTCCTTACCACACCACACACAGGACACGATGCTTGCACCGCTGTCTGAGCCTAGCATCAGAGTGTTCCGGAAAATCGCAGTGTAGCATATGATTGCCCGTTGGCAGCAAGCAGTCGTTTTGTGGACATTAATATATCGCTGCTGAAACGCAGGATAGGACATAGAGAAGGGTTACGTATGCCCTACACGAGCATGCCCTGGTATTATAAAGCAATACACACGCAAGTGGCGCTCGTGATCCAAATAATCTGAGGACATTTTGAGAATATGACACTACAGATAGTTCAAGGCATGAGAAGCGCTCATGGCAGGAAGCTCCGTGCCTGCGCATTTGTCCTTTGCATCTGCTTGAGTTCTGCGCGTGTGAATTGCGGACTGGAGCTGGCAAGGATGACGCTGCTGAGACTGGAGACGGAGCCGACACCGCCACGATGCGTGGGAGAACTTCCCCCCGAGGCGGAGCTCGCGCCGCTGGCACTTCCGCTTCCGCTTCCATCTGCACTGGCGCTCAAGTTGTCGCTGCCCGGCCGACCATAATAGGCACCTTTGTCTGCCTCACTCCTTGCGCGGTGCGATCTGCCATGACCAGGAATCGGCCGGGCGGAGGATGAGGTCGGAGACGCATCGAGCGTGGCCAATCGTGCTGAACGCGGACTAGAGAGGGCAGAGTGGTGGCCATGACCGTACGCTTCGGCTTTGCGATGATAGTCCGCACTGGGTGCCTGCTTGCGCCATGATTTGCGGCGTCCTATCGCTGCTCCAGGCTGAGGAGCTTGAGCAGCATCAAGGCCTTCATCATCCGAATCGTCATCGTCGTCGACAACCCCCTCTCCATCAGAAGACTCGTCATCACCTTCATCATCCTGCCCTTCAGCAGTGTCCAAGTCCGCGTATGACGGGCTCGTTGCCGCAGTCGTCGTGGAACGCGAGCGCATCAAGTTGGTGCTATTGCGCTGCCGATCACTGCCACTTGTACTCCCGCCCAGCCCAGTCGATCCAGCGTTAGCGCTGCTGGCGGCCGGAGAGGCGCCTCGAGTACGCTGGCGCACGTGCTCAGCGTACCTGCCAATGGAAGGATCCTCATCCCATGCATTGGCGAACATGATGTTGGCAGGCAAACCGCGATGGAAGCCTAGCGCCCCGGTCGGCGGCGAACTGGCGGGCAGTTGCTGCTGTTGCTGCGGCTGAGAGCCAGATGGCGCGACTGAACTATTCGACGCGGAAGACCAGGACGAGAAGTGCGGCTCGTCGGGGAAGACGCGCGACGGAGCATGGCTCGCATGACCCGCTTCCTCCCATGGAAAAACAGGTTTGACGCGCGTCGGGTCCGGCCGATCGTTGCCAAGATGCTGGAACAAGCCTTGACGCTGCAACAGATCTGGGATGCGCTCATCAGCCACTCGACGCGTCGGGAAGAAATCATCTTTGCTTGTCGCTGATCCGCCCGAAGAAGATTGGGTATGTGAGCGAGAGTGCGGCTCATCCCAGACATTGGAGTAGTATGCGTCGGGAGGGTGACGCATCTGATAAGACTCTTCGCCAGACGTGGCCGGCGGCGGCGCCAGCGCCGGGTTCCACGTGGACTGAGGCGGAGACCATAACGGCGGCGTGGCATCGTCTTGCACCTCGTTCGGAGACTGCTGCTTTCGCTCCATCTCACTCTCCACACGCCCTGTAGCCAAAGCGCGCTCCTGCTCCGGCGTGAGACAGCGCTGCATCGCAAAGTCTTGCACCCTCTGCGCCTCTTCGCTGTCCATCGCTCGTTTCTCCTCTTCAATCCACGGCAAAGCCGGCGGCGGAATAAGGCTGAGTCTTCCTTGGACCGGCATGGAGAAGTAAAAGGCTTCGCCCGCAGCTCGCGCAGAATATGCAGCAACATCGTTGCCGAGGTAAATGACGGACATGCCGCCCCATTTTTGCTCCTGTGTCCCTCCTTGCGCAGCTCCTGCAGCGAAGATAGTCTTCAGGTCGTCGAGGCTGCGTGCACCAGCACTAGCTCCATCTCTTGGGCCTTCTCGGTCGCAAGAATCCCGAACACCCAACGAATCCCATACAGCCTCATAGGTAGGAACCACAAAGCGCGTAGCGGTGGTCCTACGCACTGCGCGCTCGACGACTTCTACGCCCTTGTCAGTGTGCATGACATCGTATGTGCTTTCCCAGCTCTCCTTCTCCTGGCCATTATTGGCACCGCCATAGTGCTCTTCGAAGACGTCATGCCATTGCGTTAAAAGCGAGTTGTAGTCGTTCGTAGGGGGCGCTCTCTGTTGCTGTCCATCTGATATCGCCGGCTGCCGCGCTGCAGCACGCACTTGCGACCAGGGTTTGTGCGAACCGATGAAATGTGCAGCTAGAATGGATTTTCCGTAGCGTTGATAGGCAGGCGCATACCTTCGCGAGAACACCACGAATATTGAACAACGAATGTGCAAGAATGTGAGTTCCACTCGAACGGGCAGGATCCCCTGCGCACATGCGATCACTCACGTGTAGCCACCGTTAGGAGTTACGTTGTACTTGAAACTGAGCCTTTTCCACCCAGGCCCGCTCCACCCATCTAGGCCATTCGTCCAACTCCCCCACTCGCGCCGAGCACCTGCCTCTTCCCCATTACATGTGCTGTTGCTGTTGCTTCCATCTAGCGCCTCCCCGAAGAAATCGTTGAGCAAGCCCTGATCCGCACCGTCCCAGCTGCCGTTGTCGACGGCAAAGTCTATGAGCGCAGCGAACGTATCGAGGCTCGGCTGCAGAGCCAGCAGGCCGCTATTAAAGGCATCAGGCCAGCCAATATCAGGTGCGGCAGCTAAGATTGGTGCGCAACGGCTCGAACTTGCGGTTCCATTTGAACCAGAGTCAGAGGGGTAAGCTGACGATAATGAGTTCGAGTTCGAGGAAGATAAATCGAAGAAAAGCGCAGAGAGATTGCCAAGAACAAGCATATCGGCATCGAGGTACACCACCCGGCGATACGCAGTCAGCCGCCATAGGTGGAGCTTCGTCAGAGCAGACCCGCGTGATTCGCCAAGATCCGGTCGGCCTACAAAGGGATGCAAGAAGAGCAGGAAGGGCCGTGTCAGAGTATGAACAGTGGGTTGCTCGGTGAATTTGACAGGAAAAGGCACACAAATACGTACCGAGTAGAGCGAGATTCTGCTCTGCCAGCTCCCTCACTCTCCGTTTCGACCTGGCGCTCTCTTCATACTTCCAAGCGTCTGCATCTTTCTCAGTACCCGGCGATCCTCTACTCGCTGATGCGGCAGCCGCTGTGGTCCGTTCCTCTTCGACGCGATCCCGCACGATACCAGCAAAGGAGAGCGGTTCAACGCCAATGACGACGTCAAATGCCTGGCGGAGCGCTTTTATCGTCTGTACGCGCAGCGTGGCGGGTGTGCATAGGCATACCAGGTGGTACGGCTGAGAACGTGGCGGTGGCAATTGCGATTTTGATGACGTTGATGCCAACGTAGCAGGAGCAGAGGCGTCAGGCCATGGATGGTGCTTGCGCAATGAGTGTGCGAGAACGAGAGCGCCGGGAAGGTACGCGTCGGTGGTGAGTAGCGTTACGAACGCATGAGGTGGTATGCTAGTGTTTGAGCTCTTCGCAAAAGCCGATGCAAAAGAGGTGACGGTCATCTTTTTGATTGTACCCTGCCTATTTAATGCAAGCAATTCCGAGGACATGTACTTGAGGTTTCCAGCTTGAAGGAAGGAGCTGATGGATACCTTGGGAAAGACAGCGAAAGGATGTTACGGATGTGCCTTATGGCTGGCTGATGGCGGCTGTGAGACAACGTCTTCTGGAAATTCCGTTCAGATTTGAGCCTTATGCCGCTGCTACTGACTGCTCGGCTGCGCCCTTGATCTTCCCTTGTTGCACTTACCACGTAGACTTACGGCGCTCGAGCCTCTTCGCACGACGCCCTTTTAAGCCGCCGACACTGGCGAATAGCGATGCTGGTGGTGTCGCGATCAAGTAGAAAGATAACGGCAAAGTACATATAAACAGCTCACAGCAATCTAGCTATATACGAATCTGCTGCCTGATCAGCCAAATCTAGAATGTGTCGACCCCAACAGATTTGACGATCTGCGCCAGGGCACTTGATTACCGGAGGTGCATGGTCGTCATGAATGAGCCAGTCTGCCTGTCTCAGGATAATTTGTGTTTAAAACAATCCAAAACTTTTAGCCCTCCACTTTTGTTTGGAAACCCCAGTGTCGCGTTGTGCTGCTCCCCATCGGCATCATTGCCCTCTGCGGTCTGGCAGCATCCCTCACATCTTGCTATTGGCAGTGAACACGCAAGACCATCTTAAGAAGGGCTCCGACCAAATAGGTGTTCAATATTGCCTAATACATGTGAGGTATATGTACATCTTAGCTTGTAAAAAAAAGCTCGTTAAGAGGCTGTTCCAGCAAAATATTAGGTCCTAGGGGGACTCGAACCCCCGTCTCGGGAAATGTGAGACTCATTAAGGAATAATGCGATAATCAAAATCCCACGTGCTAAACCTCTACACTATAGGGCCATCCACTGGCGAACTTTCGCCATTGATATAATGAATTCTCTCTGTTACTCTCTACACGGCATTCATTCCTCCCCATATCCCGCGGACATCAACCCTCATCGCCAGATTTGCCTCTTCGCGGCGTTAAACAAGTTGACCATTGGAGGGGTTCCGGATTCCGCGTTGTGCGTTCTTGCCACCAGTGGACGCCGCTTGGTGATTGTGTATTGAGGACGTGGAACAACACAATGCACCACATTAGGCCACTAGGCGTATTGGACACGATTACAGCTCATCGTGCCGTGTATGTACATCGGATCATTATTGCGCGATCGCTTGTCAGAGCACGCTTCCCGTTCCAACGTCAGAAGCGCAGCAGCCTTCCCTGCATTTTCCCTGCCCGACCGGACCACCCAGAATGAGCACCATCTCCAAAGACGCATCGCAGCTGACGGCGCTCGTTGCTGCCCTGTCCGCGAACGCACGACCCATTGCGCAGCGCAAGCATCCCCGAACACTGTGCCTCTTCGACGTAGACGACACACTGACGCCTGCACGCCAACAAGCCTCGCTGGAGGTGCTGAGCTTGCTCGTCGAGCTCAAATGCGAACACTGCGCCGTTGGCTTCGTAGGCGGCAGCGATCTCGGGAAAATCACAGAGCAGTTAGAGGTGCCTGGTGGACCGGAGGGTGAGCGTCGCGGACAGAAAGCGCCATTGGGGCTCGTTCGGATGCTGATCAGTGCACTGCGAATTTCTCCGCTCTCCCCCTCCCTTGTGGCTGCGTAGTACGGAGTCTGTTTGACTATGGCTTCGCCGAAAACGGACTCACTGCATTCGCCCACGGTAAAGATCTACCGCCTCAAAGTTTCATCCGCTGGATCGGAGAAGACAAGTATCAGAAACTGGCCAAATTCTGCCTGAGATACATCTCAGAGCTCGATATCCCCATCATGAGGTCAGGGTTTTCCTTGGTTTTCGATGGGCAGTGCTTACCATTGTGGCTGACCGTGCGCCTTCACTTTGCACCTTGCAGAGGAACCTTCATCGAGTTCCGAAATGGAATGATCAACGTCAGCCCAATCGGGCGTAATGCCACGTGAGCGAATGAACCCGAGGAGAGCGCGCATCGTTCATCTGATCGCAAGCTAACCAAAACGCTATTACGCCCATCATATGGGTCCAGCATCGCCGAGCGCCATGCATTCCAGGAGTACGACAAGCAAGCGGGTGTGCGGAGCAAATTTGTTACCGCGCTCCAGCGCGAATTTGGAGACTGGGGGTTGCGCTTCAGCGTCGGCGGGCAGATCAGCTTTGACGTTTTCCCGCAAGGCTGGGACAAGACGTATGCTCTGCGCCGCTTAACGGAAGAGACGCAGGCCAAAGGAGCGAACGCGGCTGCTTCGGCAGGGAAGGCGAGCGTGGACGACAGCGTGCCTGGCTGGGACGAAGTGCATTTCTTTGGCGACAAGGCGTTCGAGGTGAGCAGCGCTGCTCACGGGCGATGAGCAGCTTTCCATGCGCATACATTTTGCTGATCGCTCCCTCGCTCACGCTCGCACGCAGGGTGGGAACGACTTTGAGATCTACTCGGACAAGCGGACGATTGGACACCGCGTAACCAGCCCTGTAGACACGATGCGACAGGTGAAGGAGATCTTTAGCTTATGATAAGGGAACAGACACCTTCGTACACACAACCACGCTCTGGCGCGCCCATCCTTTGCAAGTGATTTTAGAAACTGGCATCGGGAGCACATATACACCCCGCGGAGCTCGGAAGAAATCTGATCGTGCGGCCCTGCTGGACACGGCGGCATGTAGAGATGAATGCTGGATATACAGTGAGAAGAACAAGTGGATGCGGATCCTGTGCATGTATTCTATTATGGTGAAACTGCTTGCAGATAAATCAAACCGCTGGCCTTTGCCCGTCCAGGAGTAGGCGACGGGCGGATCCGGCTGGGAGATGCGAGTGAGCAATATAAGCTGGTGGGTAGCGAGGGCGGACGCGGGCGCCTCTGCGTCTTTGCATCAAGGAGCGGGGCTGTTGTCGAGTTTGTCCCGATCCTCAAAGAGGAAGTTGGATCCGAGCTCAGACCCGTACACCTCCTTGACTTGGTGCCCGGCGCCGCTGACGAGCGCAAACTTGTGCGCAACTTTTGTGCCCTTGAAGGGCGACGCGGCGCGCTCGGTGCTGGCGCTAATGTTGCGCGAATGCGCACTGCGCTGCGCCGTGTCCTTGTCGAGCGCGGGGAAGTCGCCGAAGAAGTGCGCGACCTCGGCGTTGGCGCGTGAGTCGCCGAGTAGGTTGATGTACTTCCAGTACGCCTGGTTGCGCTTGGTGCGCTCCGGCCCGCCAAGAGCCTGCGCCATGCAGGATTGGTCGCCGTTCCTATGGGATCAACCAGCGACATTTTGGAGGAGGAGAGGAATATGAGTGGCACTGCTGGTATGGAAAGGCGACGAGGAAAGCAGGCAGAACTCACGGCTTGACGTCGTCCTCGCCCACAACGTAGCGGACGTCTCGCTTGGCATAGCGCTTGAACAGCTTGACCGGAGAGCCACCCTCGGGGAGTGGGTAGGTGCGACTGAGGCTGTAGTCGCGCAGTGCGTAGCGCCACGAGTTCCAGCCTTTGCACGATTCGCGGTCAAAGGGCACTGGGCGGTCTTGTGTAAAGTAGACGTGGGACGACGGGTCACTGATCACCATACGCAGCGAGATGCCCGCCTTGTCCGCCGGCTGCGTGTGGCCGACGACCGCGTAGCGCGCGAGCAGCTGACCACCGGCGCCGTGCCCAGCAAGTGTGATGTACCTTGGTCAGGGCGTTGCGGTAAAGCAACCACAACAGTCAGCAAGAGGATGTACGAGGAACACAAGAACAGGCGCCCGTCCCCCGCGCTCACTTCATCTTGGGAAATTTTTTGCGATCGCTGAACAGCTCGACAAAGTAATCGAGTACGGTGAAAGAGCTGATCGTCGCGCCGAGCGGGTGGGAACTGGCGTCGCCGGTCTGCCAGCCGTTGGAGTTGCCCCACGCGAGCGAGCTGTCGTTGTATGCTTGGGCGTCGTGGATGGAGAAGAAGAGCGGCGCGACACGGACGGTGTTGGAACGCGCGCTGCCGATGCCGACATGGTCGCTCCAGATCTTGTTGAACACGCTCCAGTAGTGGCCCGCGTTGCGCCGCTTGCCGTGCACGACGATCAGCGCCGCCTCGGCGTCCGCCTCGGCATGCGGCGTCTTGCTGTACCATGTGAAGACATCGCCGCCGCGAAGGCTGTGCGGCGACGTGACATGGAAGTTGCGCGCGTATGCGCCTGCGGGACGGTCGCCGACGGTGGTGAGGTCCTTGGACTTGTGCTTCTTCTGCGACAGGGCAGCGGGTAGCGGCAGGGGCAGAAAGGCGGCCGATGCGTCGTTGCGCTCGCGCGTGCCTCCCAGCAGCGGGTGCCGCCGTGACGGCCGCAGAAAAGCCCGGTCGGACCTCCTCGAGAGCGAGGCGAGGGCGAGCGATGCAATGTAGGCAACGACGACGAGCGCAGCGAGACTCGCTCGCAAACAGCGAACGGCGGGCATGGTCGTCCCGAGTCGAATGAGAGGAAGCTCCTTCTCGCTCTCGAGGCTGATCAGCGTACGCTGGCGCCTGTTCGACGAGAGAGCCAGCCGTGACCGAGGTTGCGAAAGGTGTCCATGGGACGAGCAAGTGGTCAGGTAGTAAACGTTTCAGGGGCGATCCAGTATGGATATCTCGAGATACAATCCGAGAGGTGTGTCTCATCACAAACGAGCGATGTAGGATGACGACGAGGCAAATCAGCGCCAATTCCCCCCGGATCTTCCATTCCAACCAGAATCTTGGCAAACGCCCGCACACCACTCGACTGCTGCTGCCCCCGGCCACGGGCTCTGGCACGGGCCGAAATTTGGCACTGTGAAAGTGCCGCCATCCCGTGGCGATCGAACAGATTCCTCTGGAATCTGAGCAAGCCACATCCAACATCACCCTCCCCCCGCACCCACACACAGTCGGCCCAGGCAAGATAGACGAACAGGCAGTCACGTTGATCGACACTCACCCGCATACTGGCCTATGGTCCAGACCGAGTGCTGGCTGGCAGAAAGCTGTATGTGCCCCAACAACGAGGTTGTGGAGACCAGAAAAGCACTCTGGGGCACACAGCGCAATAGATAGGAAGCCGCGGTGCCCTTGCACTGCTTTGAACGAAAAGAGGCAGAGGCAGAGAAGGTGGCTGTGAGACGTGTGAAGCAGCGAACAGCGCAGAACATGAATATGTCATCATCAAGCCTTTGGCCAGAGAGACAGGCGATTGACGGCGAAAACAGATTAGCCGCCTTGCTTAACAGCCTTGCCCTTCTCGACGTTGTCCGCATCCCTCACCAACTTGCCCACGGTAATCTTCGCCGATCCCTCGACCTTTGCTTTCAAAGTCGCTCCAGCGTCGCTCGCCGCGGCTACCTGGCCCGCGGCCGCGTCTCCGTCTGGATGCAGTGGCTGCTTCGCGCCGCCGCCGCTATCGCGAGGAGTCAAAATAAGCAGCAGGTCATTGTGGTAGTCCTCTGAGACGTTGATCCGGCGATCGGCGCGTCCTGCAGGCTGGCACTGCGCTACACATCGCTACCCTGCCCCGAGAGCGTCGTGCCGTAGCCTGTGTGTGTGGGGATCGTGTGCTCCGTCCGGATCTCCTGCGGCGACTTGTTCAGGCGCCATTTGTCCGCCGCTGTGATGATGTCGGTCAGCGTGATAGTGCGCTCGCACCCGAGAGGCGAGGCACCTCACTCATGACCGGCATCCCGACTCTGCTGTTACTGGCGTGCCCACAAATCACCACTTTATTGCCGCTCGATTCTGTTCTCGCCATCCGACGGCGCAGGCGCCACGGTGTCACTGGCAGCATTCTCGCCCGCAGCCTTCCCACAATTGCTCCCCCATCACCACCATCGATCAAGAGCGCGCTCGCATTACTGAGCATCTGGCCCACGCCGAGGTCCGGCGCATGCACTTAGGCGCGCTGCCCTGCTTTGGACGCAATTCCGAGAACTGGCTCACCGTCGACTGTGCTTGCTCCAGCATCCCTTATGCACCACCACCCGCGCAGCCTTCCTTGCCGCTGCCCTGAGCTGCTGCGCTCTCCGACTTGACCATACTGCTGTTGTTTGATGGTTGAAGATAAAAGTTTGCTCTGTTGTATCTACTCTTTGAGATGGACAGTGTCAAATCGAGCTACATACGTGAAATCACCGGCAGATATGTGAGAGACGGGAGGGAAAGTGGAGGAGACGGGTTGAAAAGCAAGACAGCCACTGCGAGTGTAAATGTAGCAGATTGGGTCCTTTTGAATACTTTATAGACGCCTCTCATGATTCTATGCCCATCGGTGTCATTTTGCGGCTGTTCTCGAGGAGTCATCATATGCAGTGCGACAGACGAAGCTGTGCCAGGCGGTGCAGCGGAGGGCAAACATGGCACGTCGTTGCTCTCTTAAGCATTCACGGTACTTTGCAGTCAGCACAGAGAAGCCTCCCCACCACCTGCAGGCAGAGAGCAATATATATGGGTTGCCAGCCCGGCCAGCATATGCATCCTGCCAAGCGCTAACTAAACGACAGAGATGAGACGGTCCGCGAATTGCGCTCTCTTCCCAACACCTCGGCCTTTCTGATGCGGGAGGAGATTGGGGAGAAATCAAAAGGATGCATGAGTTGCACCGATGACAAGCAGTCCTCCCTTCCGTCGCCGTTCTTTATTTTTGTGTTCCTATACTCGAATATTGTCAGAAGTTCTTTAAAAAAAGAAATCGCTTGAAAGAATCAGAAGGGCTACTAGCGGCAGCGTCAAAACTGACGAAGACACCGCATGGTCCCATGACCGATGCTGTAACACCCGCGCCAAGTCTACCGTCTAATCTGTACATGCGGCCATCGCGCTGCGCAGCGAATGGGTAGCCGGCGGGCCGTATATGTCTCATCTCGGATGGGAGATGCGGCACCGCGATGAGAGACCTGGCAGAGGCGCTGGCACACGCTCGTCTGCTGACCGGGGAGCGGGACGGAAGGACAGATGTAGGCGAGCCAGTCGATGATTGCGACGAGCTTTCCGTAGCCCCTACCAGAAAAGCGGGAAAGAAAAAGGCACCGAGCAAGAAATCCCTCCTCGAGAAAGCTCAACAACGTGAGTGGTCGCCGAAAGCGCGTGGCACGGTGCGGAGATGATCATGCTCAATTCAAGCGGCTCACTGCTCGACAGATGGTCTGCAACGGCTGCAACTGCGCCTTAAAGCTTACCAGAAGGCGTCAGGATGGGATCCAGGCTCGTCTACGGCAACACTCGCCAACACGCTCTGTGCCCCCGAAAGCGCTCAGTACTCGACTGCCAGCGCCTCTTTGCACGCCCTGCAGGAGATCCATCTCGCCTTGCTCGATGCTCCTTCTTCCTCGCGGCTCCCCCCGTCGCGGGCAACGTCGAGCTGCGCGCGTCATGAGTCCACCACCCGTGCCGCTCCGCACTTGAGCGTACGAGATCACGCGACCATCGGCACGCTGCTGAGCATCTTCAATACCTGGTGCATGGACTTGTTGACGGCTAGATACGATGCTGCGCACCACCAGCTAGTACGTGCGCAAGGTGGGATCACCTCGGTTGCACAGACCTCCGAGCTGCGGAATAGGCTGAACGAGGTCGGAGGTGCAGATGATCCAGATACTATCAGTCTCCGTGCGCAGGCGGAGATTAAACTAGCACACGTGTCGGGGCTCGTGGTCCTGGTCAAAATACAGGAGTTGCTTGAAATGAGAAGGCGCAGCCTAGTCTCCCCCGGTGGTGCACTGCCCCCGGACAAGAGCAATGACGGAACATCGACTGACGGCACGGACACCCCAGAACGTCCTGCTAAGGAGGAAAAGGCGACCAAGAAGTCGTCCGGGGCGCGGGCGATGGTCTTCTTTATGCCATCAACCTATATCGCGACCACGCTTCTCAATACTTGCGCTGGTCACATCCTCAAGCTTTCCTTTCGACTCGCTTACGGTATTCGCATGCCTGAAGAGCCCTCGACTGACAAAGTCGACTGGCACGGTCTTCCAATGAGCGTAATTCAAGCGATTCTGCAGACTATCACCACCATCGCGTGCTTCTCCGCTTTGTCCGTCGTGACTTCTAGGAAGAGTACGATAGACAGCACCAGCAAGATCTCGAAGGAGCTCAGTGCTTTCAATGAGATCTCTGAGGCCAGACCGGTCCCAGCTCCTCCGACGCCCGGCTTTGTGTCCGCGCAGGCTACGCGCTTTCTTGCGGCGCAGCTGCTGCGCAAAGACGGCATCCAATCTATGCTGATCGTCATGCTCAAAGGAAACCCCAACAAGGTCTCACTGAGCGCAGAGGGCGATGTAGACTACGCCCCGTCTCAAGCGAAGCTCAATCGCATCTTGGGGCTTCTGCTCTCCCCGCCGAAAGGTGTGGGGATGGACGCATATGCAGATGTCGTCGTTCCGCAGCTCCTCAACATCATCATGTTGTTCTCACCCCTCGACTCTGTATCAAAGCATTCGCCACTCTCGTCCATTCACGGAACAACGGCGACAATGGCGCTAGCAGCCATCGTGGAAGTTGAGCCTGCGGCAGTCAGGCAGCTCATCGCGAGGCGACTTTGCTTCCCTCTCGTGCCGCTCTCACCTGATGCCAACACCATGCCCTTCGGACAAGGCACGGCCGACGATGGCGAAGGCGACGAGCTGCTGGTACCCTTCGATTCTTTATGCACTGCCGTCGGCCTGCTTCTCGCCATTGGCACGCTCGCCGATCCGAACCCCGACTTTCTCCACGTGACGATCGAGCCATACGTCGTGCCTCTGCTCAGCTTGATCGGATTTCTCAGGGAAAAGAACCGACCGAAAATCGTGCCGCATGGAGACATGCTCGATGCTCTTGAGCGCTCAGCGTCGGCTGTCCTGCGCACATGGGGTCGCATGGCCAGCAGCAACGAGCTGGTCGAGAAGCTCGGCTTTGGCCCTCGTGGCCTGTTGCGGGACAACTTGTTCGATGTCAGCCTGCGCGGCGTGCGAGGCAGGTGGCGCTGGCGATGGGACGAGCAGGCACAGCCATGTGTTACTGTCCGTGAGGATGATGACATCCACAGCGACATTCGTCACCTTGTGCAATCGCTGGAAAACTTCTCGATCTGCCCTTCACCAGACGGCCCAGATATTAACCCTAGTAAAGCTGACTCCGTCGACATCTCCAATGGCTTCAATGCAGAGCTGGTCGCGATGGATGCCCTATTGAGCTACTTGGACAACCACGATGCGAGACTCGAGCTCGTGGCTCAGATTCTTGATGAGTATGTACAATTGGAGCGTATGGCCACCGAGCGGACGCCTGCAGAACTCATGAGGTGCGTCCATGGCATTAAAAAACACTCGAAGCATCAAATTGATGGTTTATGTGAACCTTCCAGGAGCTTCTCGCTGCTCTGGGCTGCCATCAAATACCTTCAGAATGCCGACAACGATCTACTGACCCTGTATCCGGAGAAGCTTCTCGCCTTCATCGACCATGCCATCGACGCCGGTGAGGAGGAAACTTTTGGCGGAGAGACAATGGTCCATAGTGTTCCCTTCCGAGCCAGAGCGAGAGGGAAAGACGATGAGGACAGTCGCGATGCAATGCGGCAAGCAGCTGAGATTCTCAAGGGTGGCATGCGCCCGACTGCAGTAAGCCTGCTAGCAAACTTGTTGATGAGTGAGTATCAAGGTCATGGAAGAGAGGGTGATTACAAGCTAATTCGATCGTCTCAACCAGAAAATGAAACCATCACCACAACAAACACTCCTTTACTCCGTTCAATAGCCCACAAGGTCGAGAAACTTGCGAATGGCGAAGATGAAGTCTATCGCAAGCCTTATTCGACACTTCTGCTCTTCCTCGAGGCGAGAGCAAAGTTGGTTGCTGAAAGGGGTCTGACGTCCGCGCCGATGCGAAAACTCGAAATGTCGCCGGAAGAACGAGCTGAAGATCAGTACAAGGAAGCGCTGCAGCTCCTGCAGGACCCCGTCGTTCCTGTCCGGGCGCATGGCATTGTGCTCCTGAAAGAGCTGGTCGCGACCCTCGAGGTCGGCCGCAAGGCGGACAATGACAAGCTCAAGCTTGATCCGAAAAGGCTACCAGCGATCCTCAGCCTCATGCTGCACGCCGTAAGAGATGATGACTCGTACGTTTACCTGAATGCCGTCAAGGGCCTTGCGCAGTTTGGCCTTTTGAACGACACAACGATGCTGCAACGCCTGGTAAAGCTCTACACCACAGGCCAAGATGACGCGTCTGCAGCAGAGCCCTTCACTGCTAGCACCGTCGACAAAAGGCTCCGCATCGGCGAGGCTCTGCAACAGATCATCCAGCAGCTGGGCGAGGCGCTTGCTCCAAAGCGTGAGTTTTGCGTGTACAATTGGAATGCGGACTACGACATGCGAGATCTGACATGGTGAATATGCGTTCGATTGCATGCAGTCGCTTCCGTCGTTCCGCCATTGATGGCCTTCTTGCGCGACGCCCAAGTGCCGGTGCCCCTGCGCGTCTCTGCCATCTCACTACTGGGCACGGCAGTGGAGGCAACATCTGCGGCCATGGCCGCAGCAGGCTATGGCAACCAGCTCGCTTCGACTGTCCTTGATCTACTGGAAGTCGAGGCTTCATCATCCGTATCGAGCGACGAATCGGACAAGGAGATCACCTTACTGGATGATGCCCTTTCGCGCGACAGCAGGCTTCCGGAGCTCCGGCGGGCTGCATTGCTGCTTCTGGCTTTCCTCATTGCTGGCTCTGGCCACCAGCTTTCAACACTCCGCGAAATCCGCGCGAATGATGCGGAAATCACCATCTCGAGCCAGCCGGAGACTCTCCAAGCATTGCGCTTGCCCAATGGCAGCATTTTGCCGTCCATCTCGTCGGTTGAGGTTGGCAAGCCTCGAATCTCGATGATGGACAGCTCCTTGCCAGCCATCCTGCTTGACCAAAGCTTGTTACCGCGCATCAAGACGGTGTGTGCGTACGTTCAGCAAATCGAGGTTGATACAGTATCGCGAACCCAGGCAGGAGAATGCGTGGAAGAGGTGCAAGCACTCGAACTGGAATTTGTCCATGCTGGTGTGCTCCCTCAGGCGAGCAGATAGTGTGCTCTAACCCCAACTCATGAAATCGTGAGCTTTCATGCATAATCAAACAACGGACTCTTCATTCCGCATTTCGAAGCAAGCTGGAATTCAAAGCTTGCTATCTCGTAACGAGGACTCATTCACAGCGTCTTCCGAAGCGTCTACAGCTCTGGAATCGACATTGCTGTCGCGGCCTTCACCCAGCGTCTCGCTCTCATCGATAGGCTGTGGCAGCATGCTGAAGCGTGGCCGGACTCGGCGCTTGCGCGTAGCCAATGGTCCAGTGAAGGCGGAGAGGATCAGCTCGTCCGTACTAGGCTGCCCTAGCGCCAGACGGACGTAGTCTGGCTCTTGGTCGTACGCGAGCATGGCAGCGTGGATGAGAATGTCGCTGCAAGTAAGCGAGAGAGAAGTGAATAATCAGCATCAGGCAAGTACGTGGAAATATGCACAATGAGAGACTCACCTCGTGAGACCCATGACTGGATTACGTGTGTCCCAAAATGTATGCCTGCGGTATCGTCGGCCGAGCCAAAGTGCGTCTCTACAAGTATGCCAGTCCGATATCCCGCTCGCCATGGTGCTTGGCATTCGAGCGAGGTCCTCATTTGACGGTTTGGGTGGGAGGCGCAAATATGCGCGCATCGAGGGTGTTGGATTGTGCTGCAAGAAGCAGGCTAAGGGGAGGGAGAAGACGGAGGAGACTTCCTGTGGATTGAGACGCGGCTGTGGAATGCGCAAGGAGGAAGACGGTTGGATCAGAGCGTGAAGTCGCAACGCTTCCGAATTGCAAAAAATAAACAGTACGCACCTGTATTGTCGGATCTGTGATCAAGACAACCACCGGCGTCACGACTAGCTCATTAGCAGACAAGAATGACCGTAACTCGCAGAGTTTTTGGACGCGAGATGTGTCTATTGGGAGCCCGCACTCTTCCCATGCCTCCCTTCTCTGCGACCAAAAGGGCGGGTGCAGTCATCCGTTTATTAAATGCCCTTCTCAGCTCGTGAAGACATATAGCGAACGGAGTATGCTCACCGCAGTCGCTTCTAAGCTTGGGTCATTCGCTTCAAATCTCCCGCCGGGTAAGGCAGTGTCGCCGGCATGGCTGCGCATACCTGTTGCACGCTGGCTTAGGATGATGTATATGTCTCCGTTCCTGCCTTGAAACAAGCCCATGAGCACCGCAGCGCGCCGATACGCGGGCACAGCATCGGGGCACGGTTCAGGCGGAGGGATGTGCGAGGATAGACGGGAGATGGCGGAGAGCGAAACGGGTGTCCATGGTGCTCGCTCCACTGGCCCAATCGTCGGGAGCGGTCGACGATGGCGATTCGTGGAGAGGGGATTGCGGAAGACCATGTTCAGAACTCTCCGCGACGTTCCACCTGGCAGATCCCTCGTCCATTGACGGCGGAGCGAATGAAGCAAGAACGCATCTACGGACGTCAACCTGCAGCATCAGCCGGCGTTGCGTCTCCTCGCTAGATGACTAGGCCCCCAGGCCCTATGGACGGAGCTCAGCGAGAGGCACCGCAATGCCACATATTCGGTGCAATCACCTTGTCGCGACCGCATTGGAATTTCACGAGTTAAGTGTTCAGCAAGATCCTTTATATGCTGTATCAACACAGCAAATCATCCAGCTCGAGATTCCCTCGCCTATTCCCCGCATAACTAACCTTCGACGGTCGGCTTCCTTACCCTTGGGCAAGCCGCGCATTTCGAACTTGGGGAAAGAGTCAGACGAAGCTATGTCGCTGAACAGCGCAGACTCGACGAAAGCTCAATATGGGACCCCGACCACGACGGGCGACAGTAACAATGTCTATGCCTCTTCCATGCGCGCATCATTGCAAAAGGCAAACTTAGACGCACATTCTCCGTATTGCGCATATGCGCTCTCATCTCTTTGTACGTCTTTAAACGTGAGATGAAATGTCGCAGGTTGAACCGCAGATTGACGGCACTTCAACCTCGCCCATCCTGCACGAGAAGTCGCCTTGTGCGCCCCTTTCTCTTTTGCCAGTGCAGCTTCTTCACAGATAGCGCGAACACATGGCTCATATCCTACGGCTTCGACATCATCAGCGACAGCAACACGCCAAGCTGTGTCTGAAATTTCCCAAGCCGTCTCCTCCGCCGCCGCTTCCTCTTCATCCTCCCCCCCTTCTACAGCGGCACGCGTAGTAACCTCGCAAGGGGCTCGCGCATGCTTCCATGCCCTACCTCCATTCTGGCAACTAGCCGGCTTCTCTGCCGTTTTTGCCGGAGGCGGATATATGATTTCTGCGGGGGATTCGGTGAACGGCAGTGGGACCGTCACGGCATGGTCGTTGATGTACCTCTTCTTTCATGGGTTTTCTGGTCTGCGCGGAGGAGGGGGTGGTGTCGGCGGAAGGGTGCAGCCGCTAGCGCTGCTTCTGAGTGCCGGGACGCTGACGCTGGGCACCCTGGTACACGGAAGCTACTACTTTGATCGAACCAGTTGGAGGGGCGCCGTGCCCGGTATGGTAGATACTTCGAAACGATGATGGGTACACGAATTGCATGTTGTGCTCATCGAATTTACGGTGCATGCCAAGTTGTTGCTGAGTAAGGTTTTTTATTTACAAGTTCTTCGCTTTTCTGTTCTGTCTCAAATCAGCACAGTCCCCTTGATACAAGTGATGGTATCGCCTGCAGCCCAAACATCTGGCAGCCCGCCCTCTTGCTGGGCAGGCCCACTACTGATGTGGACCCGTCCGCGACGACCGAGACAGGTACCTTGGCTGGAGATATATGTGGGTGGCGCGACGTTGGTCTTGATGAGCCATTGGGCAATGCCAAGGCTGCGAAAATTCCAAGTTGGCGTTCAGCAAAGCGGGTCATGCACTGAGGAAGCGAAGGGACGCTTGACTTACTTTAAACTCCCCGTGACTGGGTCTTCCAGAACCCCGCTATCGGGTGCAAAGGCACGAACTTCGAAGAGCGGCTTTTCATCCGTCCCACCCGTCTGGGGATCCGCATCATCGTACATCCCTACAATTCCCCAGTCGAATTCTCTCGCAGGTGCCAGCGCCGCATCATTTATTTTGACATCCAGCACGGCTCGAGCGCCGCCCTTGAGAAGCAGCCCAAACCATTTCGGCCCGTTCTCGAGCCATTGGTGCGCTGCGACATCCTCACGGCCGATCCCCATTGCCTTGCAAGTACGAACGATGATATCTTCTTCCACCGGACCGCTTCGTTTCGGTTGAGGTGCTTGTATTGCTAAGCGGCCCGAGGGCGCCGAAGATGTTGACGGCGAGTCGATTCGAATCGTGATGAGGCCGATATCGCATTCTTGCACGATCGTCTTGCCGGTTGAATCGATGGTCGACGGTGAGTTTTCGCCGCGAGACTCTAGCCATGCATGACAGGACCCAAGGCTTGGATGTCCAGCGAACGGCAGCTCGGCCGTAGGCGTAAAGATGCGCACGCGATAATCGGCTTTGCCCTTGTTGGCATCGGTAGGCGGAAGCAGGAAGGTGGTCTCGCTCAGATTGGTCCAGTTTGCGAAGGCCTGCATCTGTGACGTAGTAAGGCCCGTGCCATCTTTTACGACTGCTACCGGGTTACCGAAGTACGGGATTGCGGTGAACACGTCCACTTGCGCAAACGGCCGCTCACGGGGCACAGAGGCGGGCTGCGTCGTAAGGGGGGTGGACCACTCCTTCATTGTCCTTGGTACTCCTCGATTCGCTCTGCAGAACAAGACGGCAAGATATGGGGAATCTTAGATGAGTGAGTACAATTTGCGACATGAGACGATGAAAATTCCCTTTATATTGCCTGGTTGACCCGTGATCTTGGTGCTCTGGGTGAGATGAATGACTCGACTTGCGATGCATACTGTTTTCAAGTGACGAATCGTGGTCCGTGAACGAGAGTTGAGGGTTGTTGCTCTGACTCTATTTAAGGTTCGGTGCAATTTGAATCTGGATGCTCTCTGGCCCTGCTGCCTCTTGCAAGTCTCCACACTCGGGTCCTAATGCATCGACAAGCCAGAGGGTTGCGCAGTGCATCGACACAACATACGAGAGGGCGAACGCCTGTGCGCATGGTGCAGAGTTGCGAATCGTCGAGAGGGCCTCTACCTACGTCAAACGTTCATTATCGCCTCTTCTCCTCATTACTTCAGGCACGGTGTCAGGTGTTGCGTGGTACAGGACGTTACCACGTGATTCACGTTGCCAGCCTCTGGACAGCTAGAGGACGTGCTGCGATTAGCGACAGTGGGAGACCGGTAGCGAGCTGCAAGTACACAAAGTATTGGCTTTGACAAGCGAGCTGGAGACGCTGCAGACAGAGCGGCCTCCCGCTGCACATTAACAGGTTGTGTGATGGTTGCAGACGATTGTCCTAGGCGTACTCGTCGTACCGCGACATCCCAAGTGGCCGCCAGACATGGACCCACCGCCAGCGTGGCGCAGTGCGGCCGACCAAGATCAGTATCAAGATGGTGTGGCGTCGAATTCGATGCCAGCGGGCGAGGACGACATACCGCCTCCAGACTATCCGTCCTATGACGTTGATCTCCCTTCTACTCTCGGCATCGCTTCCAGCACGTCGAGCAGGGCTGCTGCACTGCCGAACTCAGATTTAATACATGTGAAGGCCGCTCGCGTCGCTGGTCTGTCGCCAGAATCCTTTTTCGACATCGCACCTCGGTCCGACGCAACTTCTTTCCAGGTTGGCTACCTTGGTATGCCAGGGTTCAAGGCATGGATACAAGGAGATGTACTGGTTAAAATTACTCCGAATTCGACCGAGAGGAGGCGCAGGTTCTGGAAATGGTGAGCGAGTAACACGTTGCTGTGCCGCTGAAGGAATCAGAGTGCTGATGAACTTTGACTCTGTTCATGACGCAATTCGCAGCACAATCGATCTGTCTGCTGTTGAATCGATAAATTCTCCAACAACAAGTACGTCGGCGTCTTCTTCATCTTTGTCCCCTGATCCTGCATCTTCAATGCAAATCGAGCTGTTCAGCAGCACTCAGACCCTGTGGGACGCCTCCGCAGCCGCGACCTCGGCCTCTGGGTCCGCAAACGCCAGTCTACCTGCGAGTATGCCTTTCTCATTCGAGTTGACGCCCGATCTACCGCATTGCATTCACCTCAGCAGGTCGCAGCTCGCTTACAAGCTCACTGCCACACTCCATGGTGATTATGCCGAGTCAGTCGATGGCGATGGCCAGGAAGTTGCAGATGCGGTCAAGGTCGTTCCAGTACATCTCACGAGGTACACACCACCAGGGGAGCTGTGGGATCTCTTAGCCGACGACCTTGATGATGATCTCTTGAACTCGCAATCAACTGCGCGGCAGTCCAACGCCTCCTACCTATCCTCCGCGACCCATTCTTTCATGGCGTCCCTTTCACGGGAGTTCTCGCTCTCTCCTTATGCCTGGTCGATTTCGACACCAATTGTTGCACACGTTCAGCTACCACGCGGAACCATCTACCGGCGAGCGCAGCCGATCGACTTGCGCGTTGTAGTGCCACCACCATCTCGAGAAAAACATGTGGGGCTGGACGGATCAGGGCATGGACCAGGCGTGCAACTGAGAGCAGTCGAGGCGGAACTGGTGCGAAGGATATGGGTGTTGCCGCGTGGGAGTACTGAGAGGGACGATCCGCAGCGCGTAGAAATATTACAAGGAATCGTGGCTGACACGGATCAGGAGAAGGAGCGCAAAGCAGTGATGGGCAAAGGCAAGCTTGCCGAAGATGCGAGTTTTGCAGGCCCAACATGGCGCTCTGATTGCGGTACAGACGTGCCCGACTACGCGCACGGGGAAGGACCATCGATGATGTCTATTCCGGCGTATCACTTCCAACAATATCACGATGCCCCGCCACCTTTCGTTGACCATCAAACGCAGACCGAGAGTAGCTCGCACGTATCTCCCCAGGCACAATCGACCCCACCACCACTCCTACCATCCCAGGCAGCTTCACGTCCTACCTCATCGCCGCGAGCGTACGAGTCTATCTTGGCATATTCGGGGAAGCTCTGCCGATTCCACTCTCAGAAGCCGATTATACTGCGTCTGGCACTGCACCCACCATTCGACTCGGTCAATATGCCGCACCCTCACCCCGACCACGACGCTGCAAGTTTGGGGCGCGGCTTTGGGTTTGGGATTGGTGTAGACAGTGGCGGAGGGGTTAGTGGAGGACTAGGAGTGGAAGGGACTAGGGCAAGAACAAGGACAGGGACAGAGGGTTCAGCGGCGGGAGACACAGGCGCTAGCGCCGGTTTCGCTGGTGTCCCAGCTGGCAGCGGTTGCGAAAGCATCTCACAAGAAACCGTTCTTCATCGCGTCGACTTCGAAGTGCGCGTACGGATCGCGTTACAACGTTCAGCGGAAGGACGTTACAATCACGCGGGCGCAGATCCGGCGGCAGGCACACCAGGTTTTGGTCTCGGTACAAGTGCCAGCACAGGGATGAGCGGCTCTCGCAGCGGAGGAGGCAGCGGCCAGAATGCAAGCGAAAGGCGTGACATACGGTTGCACAAACGCGTCTACATCCTCCCTGGCGCAGCAGGTAAAGTAGTACAGTTTGAGAACGGCGAAAATGGCATCAGCGCCAAGCATGGCGAGGGCGCCACAACGGTAGGGTCTATCAATTCGGTGCTTCATCTGGAGCAAGGCGAATCGCTTCTACAGGTACAAGGATTAACGTCCAGCACTCTTGCAGCAGACCCAGCAGATGCGCCATTGGCATCGCCCTGCGCTCCTTCCTGCTCCCCTGCATCATTTTCTGTCTCAGAAGAGAAAAATGGACGTCAAGCTGCTGCCGAGGCAGAGGCGTCGCAGGGGGTCTTCGTGAACTTTGATGCGCAGGAAGAGTTCGACGGGTATGAAGATGTTGCACGGTCCTTTTCGCCTCCACCTCCGCTTGAAGGCTTGGATGAAGAGTCATCTGTCGGCTCACCACACGTTGTGCACTATCTGGCTGCTAATGTCGGCGCTGGTTCAGATGGTGCGACATCTAACGGGCCAGCGACTCTCCTTGGTACGACCGAAGAGGAGCAGGGGCATCACCACAGCCTGAATCTTGAGCAGCTGATGCATTTCCTCGAAGGGGGCCAGATGCTCGGCGGCAGTCAAGAAGAGCTTCCTCCACCCACGCTTCAGGAATCACGCAACGACTTTCAGTTTGAGGTGCCGGTAGAAGGCGTGGGCATGGCTATGCCAAGAGACCTTGTCGACAGAAGTGTACTTGCGTATACAACAGGACACAATTACCAGCATCGTGGTGATGGAGCACATGGTTTGCACCATAACAATGATGACGACGAAGACGTATACGACCCACCGCCGCCCATGTCACCGCTGGCACCAGGCACACCGCATGATGACATCGCCATCCTCGGAGACCACGATGAAGCTATACATGGGCTCGCCTTTGCATTGCCTGCGCTCGATTCATACCCTGAGTCGAATGCGAACCATCTGGCTCTCCTTCCCCTTACAGGCCGCGGGCACCCTTCCGGCATTGCACACACGCATGATGGTGCGCACGCAGCTGTGCATGCTGATGCGGATCCGCCCAGTTTCGGCGATGCAACGGGCCAGCGCGCCCAACACATGGATGGACTCCCAAGCGGCGACGAAGCGGCAAGGGCGATCGTGACGCAGCCGCCGCCATATCGCGGGCGCACGCCAACGCTTCTCGACGGCCATCCCTCCATTCCTGTGCCCTTGCATGGCGCACAGACTCCTGTGCAACCTGCGATGCTATCGCCCGTCGTCAATGGAGTACCTCCGGACCATCACCCGCCTGCTTACGCGCACCAGTCAATAGGCGAAGCAGGCATCGGACCTTCGGAGCTGCCGGACTACGAGGAGCAGGCACGATGATGCACTTCTGTCTCTTTGTTACTTATTTCACCTTCCACGTTGTACAGTCGTAAACCTCAGTACTTTGCTTTCAGTAGCATACTACCGCGCAATCAACTCAAGTGCATCCGACGGGGACTTGACCAGTACACACCCCCACTTACTGAGTCCCTCCAGTGCCCGCGCTGTTGAGTCTGGATTGACGCCCCTCATTGCATCTGTGACGACGATTGTTTCGAAGCCGAACTTGCGCGCATCGACGGCCGTCGCATGGCAGCAATAGTCCGTCGCGAGTCCACAGATGACGACGCGCTCTATGCCCCAACTACCCATTTTTCGCACGAGCGGTGTGAATCCTACATAGTGGTTGAGCGAGAAGGCGCTGTAGCCGTCGAGATTGGCGTGGTCCCCCTTTTGGATGACGACGACGTTTACAGCAGGCGTGTCTACGCTCGCGTTGCTGCCTGGCGCCTTGGCCCTGGTCGCTGCCATCACACGTTCGTGGATCTCTGCGCCGTGTGTGCCCTGCACGCAGTGGTCCGGCCAAAGCATCTGCGGGACGGTCGTGGCTGGCGTGATCGGATGCGGTACCCGCACCTCCTGCAAGGGCTCCTTGCCGTACGTCGAGGCGAACGAGATATGTCCCGGCGGGTGGAAGTCCTGCCGAAAGAGACGTGAGCGGGCGTGCGCGTGCGCCGTCAGCTACGGGCTCAAGCAGGGATTTCTTGTGGTAGTGAAGAGGGGAGCAGCGAGGACAGACCTGACTCAATACGATCGAGCTCCAGCAGTCCGCTTCGATGAGGTGCACGATGGGATCGATGATGCGCTCCGCGCCCTCGACGGCGAGCGAGCCGTCGATAAAGTCGTACTGCACGTCCACAACGATCAGCGCCGTCTTCTTCATTTTGGGAGGGAGCAAAAGCGGAAACGACATGTATTTTGCAGGTCCAACTAATCGCTCTGACAACGCGAGTCGAGCTCCAGTCCTTTTTGGACTCGATGAGCACACATGAAGTGGTGGATGGATTTGTCTGCTAGATCCGAGTGCGTGACGCGTGAGTCAATGACTCGTCGTAATTCGTAGCACATCAGTCACCTCCGGCAGCGAACACACTCAGCGCACTGCGCAACTCCTCGTGAAGGTGCATACGAAAAACACGGATATTGGCAGCATCGGACACGTCCTATGGTTGCCCAAGAGGCATACGCATCTGTGTGGAAGCTCGGCTCCCTCAAGCGTGCTACGCTACGTCTATCTCAAGGCCATCTACTTTATACGGAGTACTCGCTATCATCGAATCTCCTGGCGCCTCTCATATTTATAATGTGCGTGTGCCCCCCGGGGGGGAGTCATCGTCTCTTTCGTGTGCACTTCCATTCCTTCCTAGTGCGCTCGCTTCCCATCAGCGGGCAAAGCTCAAACCTTGACAGAGCCCGCGGCAGCGACGGCCGGACTGAGCGCCTTCTTGGTGAGGTCGAAGACGCGCTCCTTGCTCATGAACAGGATGGCAGCGGTGAGGACGCTCTGGAGGAGCTTGCTCGAGATGCCCCTGTACAGGCCCGCGATGCTGTTTTGCGCGCGCGCAAGGAGGGTGGATATATTGAGGATGAAAGTGGTCAGGACAAGGACGCCTTCCAGCAGACACTCGGACAGAAGGAAATCTCGACGGAAGCCGCTCTGACTCACCCTTCGTGCTGCACGACGTCCGTCATGGCTGTCCAAACGTTGTTGCTCTTTCCCTTTTCGTTGACGCCGCTCTGCTGCCGACTCTTGATGACGATCTGCGGGTAGGTGATGCTGGTCGCGACAAGCTTGCTGAGGGCGCCAAGTACAAAGAAGTCGACGTCGTTTAGCGCGACGTTCTTGGTGCCGGCAGGCGCGCGTGCAAGGCGCGACTTAACGACCCAGTTCTTGAGCTGCTCGAATGCAGTGTATTGTAGGATCGGGTTGATGACCAGCACGAGCGCCGGCCCGATGCCGCGCCACAGCGCCAGGACGCCGTCGGTACGCACAATGTGCTGCATCGTCGCCAGGAAGCCCATCTTGCGCACGACAACCGCCTTCTTGGCGCTGCCGCCTGCCGCAGCTGCGTATGAGCCAGGCTTATTGCGGCTGCTAGAGGAGCCCTCGGCACTGTCGCGCGGCACCTCGGCACGCACCGCCTGGCGCGTGTTGATGACCCAGATAGGATTCGAGAGTATGGAGGTGGCGACGCCCGCGATCAGACCGGCGAGCATCGACTCAGCCGTCGTCAGCACGCCGGCAGCAACAATCGTCGCGCTGGCCGCAGCGACCTTTTGTTTGGACTTGAGGATCGCGTCGCGGCACCGCTCGAAGAAGTAGTAGTAGACACTGCATGCGTGGAGAGGCAGCATTCGCTTTGCTGTTAGATTTCACATGTGCGCTCTGAAAGCGTCTAGGAAAGAGGGAGCTCGTTCACCCCCGACGCACAAGTTTGTCACGCCGATGCCGATGAGGGACGAGTCGAGACCAGCGTACAGCCCTTTGATGCCCTCCTTCGCGATGATCTTGCGTGCTGATGCCAGAAGAGTCTGCCGAGAGGAGAATAATATCAGAGCTCACGACGTGTCCGTCGCACGGTTCGAGTGTTCTGGGTCCAACCCCTACACTGCAAGCTCCAAATAAAAGGGAACCCCGTTTTGGCCCGCACGCACCTCTTCCTTTTTCTTGCTGGCGTCGACGGCTGCGCGCATGGAGATAGTCAAGAGCGGGTAGGTTGACGTCATGGCAATCATGCCGCCAACTCCGCCTGCACAGGCGTGGATGAACGAGTCGTTGGGCATTTTTTTCGATTCGTGGGCCTCTCGTCAAGCGGGGATGAATGGGGGACAATCTGATCAGATGCAAGAGCACTGCAGTGGACAGACAGCTTGCGTAATCGCAAAGAAGTGGCGTGCAGGGTGCAATGGGCCATGCGAACGGCTCTTTGTATGGAGTGTCGAGCATGTGCCTTGCTTAACTCTGGTGCGCTGGACTCTATACCCAACGAGATTGGCTTGTGTCGACGATGACTGAGAGACAATGGATGGTGATGATGATGGTGTTGCCCGCCCGGCCTTCGGTTTCAGCCGGAGCCCGGGCGAGGAACACTTGCTTGTCTGCACCGTCCTCGCTCCGCTGTGAGACTGCTCTACTGCCTCTTCCCCTCTCTGGCGCGGCCTTCTCGCTTCCCGGAGCCCGGCTCGGATCGGGTAGAAGTTTGGAGGGGAGGTTGAGAGAGACGCGGAACACGGAACACCCGGGAAAGAAAGAAGTCACCTGAAAAAGAATCACACTCGATACTCGGCGGCGTTAGTACCACCAGTCAGGTGTTAAGAGCCTCATGGTCCGTCATCTTGACCAGGACTCCTCGCTCTGTGGATTGACCTAAGCTTGTGCACGAGAAACAGGAGACCCGACGATGACAATGGCCACCGGCCGGCCGGCAGGTAGTCAGTCAGTCGGGAGTGCTGCAGCTGTGATGATGGATGATGTGGCCCCGCTTTGCGAACCCGTGCTGACCGGGTGACCTGCCTGCTTCAGTGGCAGCCACGCGCTACGCTCGCAGCTCCCCATGTCGGCTGGCGGTGCTCCCTTTCCAACTTATCTTCACGACATATCCGACGTAGCGACGGGCGCCGGATCGCACCACTCGGACACTGGTGCGGCCGGTCCCATGCCCATAGACCCGGCGATGAGCGCCTCGGTCCCTGTCCCGACCGCCGACCTTGCACATAAAGGCGAAAAGCGCAAGCGCATCCAGAACGTCTCCTGCGACGCGTGCCGCTTTAGAAAGGTAAGTACGTCTCGCCGCGCGCGACATGTCTGCTTCACCGTGTGCATATGCCAGGATAGCGACTGAGGAAGACCTGATTTCGACCGCGTATTCCCCCTCCCACCCCACATCTCTTTGACCATCAATGATGGCTACGGCTGCAGGTCCGCTGCGACCGTCGCGAAGTGATCCAGGCGTATTTTGCACGGACGCATCACGTTTCATCCGCGCCAGTCTCATCCTTCTCCTCCGCCTTGCCGCCGCCGGGCTCGTTGGGAGAGGAGGAGCTGCGCAGGCTGTACCATCAACCCGTCATCTCAGATGTCTCCTGCACCATCTGCAAGGCTCACAAGACTAAGTGCACATACACGCCCAAGCCTGGCGCACCAACAAGGGACGGTAAACGACTGAAGCTGCTGCGTCAATGGACAGACAGCGGCACCGCCGCCTCGCCACTTGGCGATGCGACACCTGGAGCAGGTGGGGGACCCCAGCTCCCCCCTGACCGCGCCACCTTATCGCCCGCACGACTCGACCGCGTGCAGCCTCCGATCGATCCCCAGCTCCAGCCGAAGGGTCCCGAAGCGTGGCATGGCGCCGATGCTTCGCGGCCGCCGGCACATTCGTCCTTGTCCTCCGCCCCTCCGCCCGCTGGTACGACACCGGCAGCGCGGGCGACGACCTCCAGCTCGACATCCTCGGACATCCTAGGTGTACCAGGCCTGACGCGCACCCTGCTCGATTCGTGCTGCAAGGCTTACTTTGACTGGTGCAACCCGATCGAGCCCATCATCAAAGCGGACGAGTTTGTTGTTCGTTACCTTGCGTACTTTAGCCCGCACGCCGACGTTGCGAGGATCCTGGCGCGCATAGGTCAGACGCCGGGCAACAGCAGCACCAGCACCAGCACCGGCACCGGCGTTCGCAATGGACACGGGAACAGCAAGGACACGGGTAAGGGTAAGGGTAAGGGTAAGAGAGCGAGGGAACTGCTCGAGCAAAATCGATTGACCCGGCAGAGTGGCACACACGACCATGGTGAGCTCAACTTTTCCGAGGACGTATCTGCTCAAGAGACGGACCAGCAGTGTGATGGAGACTCTGGAACAGCAGCAGCAAGCAGCGCGCCGCCGCCGCCGTCAGGGACGCGCGACCGCATCATCGGCAGCATCTCCGATCTTCCATCCGGGCAGCCGCTATCCGAGCTGCTGATCCTCGCCGTCGCCACGCTTGGCTCCGGCATGCTCGAGCCCGGCGACAAAGACAATACGGCCGAGGTGGACATGCAGATCAAGTTCGTCTTGCAGGAGTTCCTGGCGAAGCGCTTCTTTGAGCTGCTGGCTGAGGTACCGCTGGCCGAGCGCCTCAAGAGCGAGGGCCTCGACGTCCTCGAGGCCTTGTATGTCATGAAAGCAACGCCGTACGAGCAAGAAGACAAGGGCGTATTTCTCACTATCCCGCCAGTTTCTTGCGAGGGAGTCGTGAGTGTCCGCGCAGCGCGCAGGCCGATGCCTGCCTGTGCAACTGCTCACTGACGAATGCCTCACCTCTCTGTTTTCTTTTGCCACCTTGCAACGTGCAACGTTCCAGCTACGCGTCATGATGCAGATCGGACTGCATCGGCGTGTGGTTCGCGAGATGGATGCGCAAGGACAGTACACCTGGCGCAGTCAGCACGACGACAGCATCCTCAGCGAGCGTGACGTGATGCGGCGCAGCGGCTCCTTCTGGGCGGTCTGGCTAATGGACGTCCTGCGCAACTGGGGGCGCCAGTCGGTCCCACAGCTGCAGGAGGCCGAGTATGACCAGAACTTGCCGATGTGGCGCGCGCGGTGCTCGGGCGACTTTTTCGCCAGCTACGGCTACCTCACCTCGCTTGACGACCTGAAGAGGGCCGGCGTCCCGCCGCCCCGGTACGAGCGCTTCGACGCGCTGTGGCTCGAGATGCTTCTGCGCCTTGGCTTCCTCGTGCGCACCGCGTCTCGCACGCTCGTATCGGAGCGGGCCAAGAGCGTTGGCTGCCCCGTGCATGACGTCGAGCGGCTCCTGGCCGGCCTCAATGCGTGGAGCGCGCACCTGCCCAGCATCCTCGTATGGGAGACGGTCATCGCAGGCTTCCAGGACCGCGCGAGCCTACGCAGGAACAGTGCATGCTTTCGTATGGCGATTAAGTCACATCAGCTCGAAGTCTACTTGCACAGCCAGGTGCTTGTGCTCTGGATGACTGTCAAGGCGCTCGGCCTCTCTGCCGAGGCGAGGGGCGGCCATGCAGCGGCAGCGAGCGAGAAGGCGCGTGGGGAGCGCCAGCTCGAGGTCACCTTTCTGCACACGTTCCAGCGCCTCGTCGTTCTCGCGCAGGACGGTTCGCGGCTGGGCATCATGCGCGGTTCCACCGTCGCGACGGCGCAGGCGATTCGTGGTGCGGCCAACTTCGCCCTCGGCGCCGTCGCCTCAGGCAGCTGGCGGCTGTACCACGCGCTGAGCGGCCAGCGCGTATCAGCGGCTTGCCTGCTCGACGCGGCCGCGCGGCTCATCGAGGCGCTTGCAACATACGACACGGACCGCCGCGTAATGGAGCAGGTGGCAGAGCTGAGGGGCTCGTACCACAGGGTACTGCAGCAAGTCGACGGGCGCGCGGCTGCTGCTGCAAGGGAAGGTCGTGAGGAGGCGATGGTAGCTCTACCCTCTCCTTCAGCACGTATAGGTCAAGGGGTGGCAGCACCGGCAGCTGAGCCGGCTCTGCAATCTCCGCCTCCGCAGAACTTTAGCAACTCTGCCACGACATTTGAATCCGTCACAGCAGCATCGGCGGCGGCGAACTCGAACGGGAAAAGCATGCAACCGCTACCGCGGGTGGCCGACTTGCAGAGCCTCAGCTCACAGCTGCGCGACGACAGCACGGCGGACTGGCTCACGTCGTTCTTGATGGGCCTCCATGGAGGAGGCGGCTCCTCATCCGCGGCAGAGTCCGTGGCGTCGGCGGAATCGGCGTCGTATGCGCTGTTCGAGGCGGCGCGCACACCTGTGCCTGGTTGGAGCACCAGCGGCAGTAGCCATCCGGCGCCAAACCCATCGCTGTCCAGCGTGGACGGGTCGATCAAATTCAGCGGCGATGCCCATGGATGGGCGATTGCGATATGGAACAGTGTCGGAGACGCAGACGCACTGGGAAGCGGTGGTGTACAGCAGTAGCCCAAGGACGGCCTAGCTGTTTTCGCTGCTGGTTCATCGTGATTGTGGCAGTTTCGCTGCGTAACAGCACGTGCTGACTCGTTCATGGTGTTTGTGGCCAATTTGCTCCATGGTGCATACCGCATGTACCCCCACATGCTCGATGCCCATTATTTTGGGGTCCTGCAGAGCGAAATTCGGTGGTACAAGCGGCCGTCGGCCGGCTCATCGTGTGGAAGTGAATACATACATCGTACACGCTGCATCTCTGCGAGCGGACCCTTTGCAGCCCAGGTCTGGCCCTCGTATAAGTGTGCTGTCGCGCCGTGCCGATGAGCCATGTATATGTGCTTAAGGCGTCGAAAGCAAACAACGCGCATGGGAATAATGATTCATGCGAGAAAGCAAGCGTACCTGCTGCTTTGAGGAACGGCAAGTCTCGCTGCTTGCATTCTTCCAAATTGATGCGAGCGAGCACCCGTCGAGCCGACAGCCCGCTGGCGACGCAGACTCCGGAGCCAGCCATGCGCCAACAGGAAGAGAGGATAGAGGGCTGAAAAGTGGAAACAGGGGTATAGCTCATGGAAACGTGTCGAGTGAGCAAGATATAGCTGGCTCCAGAGGAAGATGTTATTGATGTGTGCTCGATTTGAGTGGTGTTGTGTCGTCATCATCATCTCCTTTCCTGAGTCGTTGGTGGAGCGAGGGCACTGCAGCAGTGTATATATAACTATAGATGATAGATATATGTATATACGTAGTGACTCAGACTCAAGACTCGTTCTTCTACAACCAAGGTCACTCTCGACACAGCATGCTCTTACACACCCACGCACGGTAGTAGGTGAAAAGCTTGTCGTTATCGTTGTCGTTGTCGTCATCGGTCCTGCTCCTTGGCCCACCATCGCTTTGGCTGTCAGAACAGGCGACAGGCACAGTCGGCACCAGTCGAGCGCGACCCCTCTCGCAAGCTCACACACATACATCCAGCCAGGTTACGCTCGTCCTACTCAGTGTAGAGCAAGTCAAGGGTGCACAGCGTTGACAGGCGGAGAAGAGCAAGGGAGCAAGCAGCACGAAAAGGCGGTTAGAAAGACAGTCATTGCTGTTTCTTTCCAGCAACACACCGCCGCACTCTTGTCAGCTTGACGTCTTTCCTCCTTTCACACCCTTCAGGCAGCGTCCGCGTACGTCTTCTTCGACCCCTCACACCCCTGTCTCTGCCCTCATCCGCTTGTTATACCCACAGGGCTGCAAAGCAGAGAACGCATCGGCAAGCGGACAGACAACGGGAACGGACCTTGAAGGGCACGCCTGCCATCATGCGTGGTGAGTATCAGGCCTATTCCGCTCTCTAGCTCGTTCCCGTCGTTGCTCACACTGCCTTTCTCGCCAGACCCCGTCCATCCGTGCGTCGAGAAGAAATATGCCGGTGGCTCGCCGCCGCGCGGATGCGTGCCATGCTGACGCCGATGCTCTCCCTTGTTCGACGCGTCCTGTGCCATGCAGAGATGACCCTTCGCTCGACGCAAAGAGCGAGCAGATGACCATTGCGGGCGGAAGCAACACTCACGGGGTGCGTGCAATGTGCCCCCGGGTGTTCTCGTTGCAATCCTGTCCCCTACGCAAATCTTGGCTGACATCTCCCCCCCACCTAAAAATCATCATCATCGCAGAAAGTAAATCAGCACCCAGCATCCTCAACAGACGGGCTCTCCCCCCACGTAGACGGCATACCTGTCGCATCGTCCTGCGGCAGCGCAGCCGATGGGGACAGCGTACCCTCTACCCCGCCATTACCAATGTCGAGATCAATCTCTGCCGTTGCCGGCGGCGAAGATGCGCCGGCGGCCCCGCCACGCAGGATCCCGTTCCGTGTAGGTGTCGCGGAGGACCGGAACAAACGGTGGAGGCGGACAATGGAGGACTCGCACGCGTTCGTGTACAACTTTGGCGGCGTACAGGGCCAGGGCTTTTTTTCCGTCTTTGACGGGCACGCCGGCAAGCACTCAGCAGAGTGGTGCGGGAAGCATTTTCACGAGGTGAGTGCGCTGGCCTTTGATTCGCTCGAGCAGCGGAAGTTTAGGAGGGGCATGGGCATGCGTCGTTGCTTCCCTAGTCCATCGCATCCGTGCACTGTACGCTGAGCTGACGATGCGCTTGTATTGATCCTATCTGCGCGATAGTACTTTCTGCAATGCCTCGCGTCCAGCGGCGGGACACCCGTGCCAGACGTGCTTAACGAGACGTTCCACCAAGTCGACACGGCGCTGTCCAAGGTCGCGCAGGAGCAGGGCACCAGTTCGGGCTGTACGGCCGTCACTGTTTTCCTCCGTCTCGAGGACGACGATGGCGTGCCTGTCACTGGAGCCAAGTCCGGCGGCGTCGTGCCAGATGGCGCAGGCCAGGGCGCCGTCATCGGCGGCGCTTCTGCCGTTGCTACGGTTGGTACGAACGCGAACGTGGGCGGGATTGCAGAGCGTAGCGGCGGCGGGGGCCGGGGCGGTGACAGCAGCAGCAGCAGTGGCCGTGCTGGCGCAGTGGATGTCGAGGCGAAGGAAGGCACTTCAAAAAGCAGCAGCACAAGCAGCAACCGTAGCAGCAGCAGTGGCGGTCTGTTCGGCGCCTTCTCCAAGCGCGCGCGGCAGGCATCGAAAGAAAACCGGGAGGGGAACAGCAACGGCACAAGTGGGGAGGCGCCAAAGAAGAGGCCCGCACTCGTGTCTAACGCTTCCGGCTTGGTCACCGTCACGGGGACCGATGTCAGGCGCGTGCTGTACACAGCCAATGTCGGCGATGCCAGGGCGGTCCTATGGTGAGTCATCTCCCCACTTGCTAACTCTTGTCCCTAGTTTATGCACCTGCTAGCAGCAGAATCGCCGCTGACCACGCACGTCTCTCCCCCCTTCCAGCCGTGGCGGCAAAGCGATCCGGCTGACGTACGACCACAAGGGCTCCGACGCGCAGGAGGCCAAGCGCATCACCGACGCCGGCGGCTTTGTCATGAACAACCGCGTCAACGGCGTGCTCGCCGTCACGCGCTCGCTCGGCGACTCGTCTATGAAGGAGTTTGTCGTCGGCGCTCCGTATACGACCGAGACGAGGCTGACAGAGGAGGACTCGCTGCTGATTGTCGCTTGCGATGGTGTGCGTATGCGCCCCTCTGACGTGCGAACGAGGGCTGCACTTGCTGGTGCAACGTTGCATGCGTGAGCTGACACCTTCCCTTTCCCTATGACCTATCCCCAATGTTGTGCAGCTATGGGACGTTGTCGACGACCAAGACGCTGTCGAGCTGGTCAAGGACGTGCAGGACGCGCAGGAAGCGGCGGACCTCCTACTCAAGCATGCACTGCAGAACTTTAGCACCGACAATACGTCCGTCATGGTCGTCCGCTTTGCCGTTCCCGCCAGTGCTGTCACAGATCCCCGAACGGACTGAACGAAAGAGCGAACGAATGCAACACAACTTCCTCACCTTTTCCTCCAAGCCTTTCTAGTGCACGTGCTTGCATGCTTTTCAATACACCGCTAAACAATAACAAATTACGCATCGCTCTCCATACAGTATTCGAGCCAATAATCCATCAACCAACCTGACGAAGCCGAGACGAGGGGCGTGCTAGGACATTTCTCAGCGCGTTTCTCTTTTCTTCCATCTGGCAAGCCAGGTCCCTTTTTTCTGTCTTTGTCTTTGTCTCTGTCTCTGCCTCTATCTCTTTCTCTCTCTCCCCGCTCGGGCCGCACACGGCTTTGTGCAATGTACAGTAGCTGCATCCTCTCTACACTTAGCTTGTTCCGATGCCGCCTCCCCAGCGTGTGTGCGTGCGCGTGCAACCCAGCATGGCGCTGCCAGTGCCGGCGTTGCGGGTGGGCGGCGCACCAAGAGGGCAATTAGCAGGGGTTCCGAGCGCGCGTGCGTGCAAGTTTCACGCGTCCTTCGCCAGCGCCTTCTTCTCGTCCCTCACGACCTTTCTCGCGAGGCCTTCGCGCCGCTTCTCGCGCGCCTCGACGCCGATGCCGGTAAAGACGATCGCGGTGCCGAGCCACTGCAACGGCGTCAGGCGGTGGTTGTACGTGAAGACGGAGAGAAGCATAGTGAAGAGCTTGCGGGTTACCTGCGAAACGAGCGAGCGAGCGGGGTGGCGCAGTGTCAGAGCGCAGGCTCGTCGGCCCCAGTAGACCAATGGATGCCTCAAGACACTTTACTCACCGTGATGGAGACGAGCGTCAGGCTGCCGAAGCGCTCCAAAGTCTCGAAGATGGCAATCTGGCCGAGCGCGCCCGCTGCAGCGTACGCAAGCACATCGCGCAGGGCCTGGTCGTGCGTGGCCATGAAGTGGATCGCGGAGGCTAGCTGCGTCGTCGAGCTGCTTGTTGCGGCGGCGACCGCTGGCGCATCGGTCGACACCAGGCCGAGTCGAGCGAGCGCGGACGCGAGCAGCGGGATGGCGACAAGCACCTGGTGCATGGGGAGGAGGAGCGCAGAGGCAAATAAGCAAAAGGAGAGACTGTTCATCGCGAGCATCATCTGCGGGCCAGAGATGGTGTAGCGGCTAAACACCTCGTCTTGCGTTGAGTTGGTCGCGCCGTCCAGGGCAAGGTTGGCGGTGAGAAAGACCAATCCAAGGAAAGTATTGCCTTGCACCGCGGCATTGGGCGCTTTTCTGGCGAGCTTCTTCTGCTGCCCGTACAGCATGAACATGCTGATCCCGATCGTGACGAGCGCGACGACTACGTACTTGTAGGGCGCAAATTTGCGGCGGTAGAGGATGACGTTCATGAGCAGCACGGGAACCAGCTTGCACGACTTGGCCAGCGTCATGGTCGGATACGACAGGCCCTGCGCCAAGGCGAGGAAGCCGAGCTGCGATGCGAGGGACTGCGAGAGGGAGATGGACAGGTAACGGGAGAGCAGCGGCGGTAGGAAGGACTTGGAATTTCCATCTGCTGCTACTGTTCCTTTTGCCGCATGCCCATTTGCGGCTACCTTGTCTTTTGCCGAGCCATTTGCGACTGAAGGCACTACTGCCTTGCGCGCTTCCTCGGCGCCAGCGGTCGTGAAAGCGACACGCAGGCCAAGTGCGTCGAGCACAGAGCCGCTTCGGCCGGGTCGCTGGGTCCGCTTGATGGTAATCAGGTAGAGCGCCGCGACGACGGCGCAGAAGAGGCTCTGGAGTGCATTGAGGAAGAGTGGGCTGGAGAACCTGTCGCCAGGCACGGACGAGCCTGCACCGAGCTTGGCGTCGACGGCTGCTGCGGCGCCCGAAGCGAGGAGGGAGGATATCGACGGCGACGAAGCGGAGACGCCGGTGTCAACGCGGCTCAGCGGGTAGAGGTGCGAGGAGAGGCGCTCCTGCAGCAGCCCCCAGAGCAGGAAGAAGGTGTAGATGGCCGAGGCGCAGACGCCCAACGCTGCCAGCGACATGCTTGTCACCAAGATCGATTCCCCGTCCTCTCACCTCTTCGACTGCGGCCCGGTGCAGCAGGGAACTGGGCCCGGATGAAGTGTTTGCCTTGGCTTGTGGTTGTGCGGTGAGTGAGATGAGTCGATGCCGCCAGTCGGAGATATATACTTGATGGTGTCTGAGGGAGATTGACGAACCGCGACGTGGAGTGGAGAACGCTCCGCGTCGCGTTGCGCGTCCGCGGTGTCTCGGCACCAAGAACAAGAGAACAACAAAAAGCACACTGACCACTGCACATCCATCCAAGCGGACGCTGTATAGAAACGAGAGATAACCTGTGTGGATTCAACCCTTCTTGCTACATATCCACAGGCGTGGAGACAGGAGGATCTTTCGGCGCACACAAGGAGATCGATGCGCGAGCTTTCCTTTCCACCACCTAGCACCTGCCGGCTCCTTTACATCTTTGGCTCTGCTGTACACACATGCAGCTTGCACCACGGTGATGTTCATTAAGACCGCTTCACATGACGAGACGCCGATAGGAAATGTTCATCTACAGAATCGCGCACTTGGCATGTTCAGAGCAGCTTGCTCATCCAGATGAGCAGCGGGGATGGTCTCAATTCTCGCTCGTGCAGGAGACGGTAGACCCGTCAGCAAGGCGACACTTTGCACGGACCATGCGAACATGGGCGCGGGATTGCCTGTCGTAATTGGTGAATTGCAGTCGGCCAGTTTGCGTGAGACAGGACATTTGAGGGGGTGAAAGAAATGCTTTCTGGCTCTGCGACGAGACGCTGTTGCGCCTTCATCGTCGAGGCACAAGGTGGCGCGGCCGCATCGCGCCCCGCCGCGGCTCCGCCTCGGCAGCATCAACATGTGGCAAAGGGTGCATTAAACGATGCTCCACGGCGCCATCACCTTGGCCCTGGGGTGGTGTCGCCGGGCGGGGCAGGGATGCAGCGGAGCGCTTTTGACTTGCAAACCAGCACCTGTAGTTGCTTTCTCGTCGGTACCGTTCTGCACGTGGAACACAGAGCGTCTGGCGGCGGTTGAAGACGACTGCTGCTCCAACAGCTCTGAGCCGGGGCGGGCGGCCGATGTACCCCGAGCCTAAATGCGGTGAGAGGTCATCCACGCTGCCGCTCCATTTGCATGGTTTGCCCAATGTGGCGTGCGTGTAGCACAATGGCTCTTCGCTGCCCACTGACGGGGAAAGGGGGGAGCACGCGGATGTGAAAAGAGTCTGTGTGTGTGGGACTGGACCGCGGGTAGATGTGAGCGAGATGATGTGTGGTGTAGTGCCGTGTGGTGGGATCATTGAATAGACGAGTGCAGCCGCGGGTTAACTGTTGGAAAGAGCTGAATGGTCTAGTGCCATGAACTGCAGTACAGCGGCGGGGAGGGATGGCTGCACTGCGGCCTAGTGCTTGCTGGCACACCACACCGCACATCTACCACCGCGTGTCGCTCGTATCAACAACAAACCCCATAAACGGCTGGCGGCGGGGATAATCCAACCTCCTTTTTTCCAATGAAACAAGAGCAGCCGGACAAGGTAATTCTTGGTGGTTGCCTCTTTGCGTCGTGCGATGGCATCGATCAACCAACCAACATCTTTCTACCCCTTCCCACTGCAACCTCACCCTTCCCACCTATTCGGATGACAGTCCCTACGACTAGTGGCCAAGACAGAGAAATCCAACCGCCAGAAAAGTCTGCGGTGGCGAGCCTTGGCGAACCAAGCTCGCGCTGCTCAGTCGCGTCGCTACCACTTCTCCACCTATACCCTGTCCCTGCCCTGCCCTCCCGGTGCTTCACCCACAACGACAATCGCTGCCAAAGTAGAAGCGTCGCTCCCGGTAGCACCGTTAGCCTCGCTATCCACCAAGATAGTCGAGACGGCGGGCGAGCAGCATCACCGAGGCTTTCCTTGTGAGCCTGTCGCCACACGCCGTTTCCAAATTGCCATATCTCTCTGCGCCAGTTGGATCTTCGTACACGCGCCGAGCATTTACGACCGCTTTATATACCGTCTTTGCGCCCTACCGAACCGTCGCATCTACCCTGTCTACTGTAGACTACCCATCTACAGCACCGGTCCCGGCTGCACGCGCACCCACCGAGCATCCGGTAAAATTTGTCGCCGTGGCAGCAGCAGCGACAGCCGCACTTGGCACGGGCCAGCAGGGAACGTGGACACGGACGCGTGCACGTGCACACTCCACCACCACCGCGTCATCCTCCCCCTCCGCATCCACATTCATCCCTAGCAGTAACCCGATTTCTGGTTCACCTGCGGAGCACGATGCTCCTCAACATCTCGCATGCCGCGCGCAGCATGCCTGAGCCCTCCTCGCCCTCCTACAACCGCACACACACACGCACAGCACCAGCCGCTGACGATGAACTGGACAATCGTCACTCTCGTACAGCCACCAACGGCAAGGCTCCCCGTCGTAACGTGAGTATAGACCATGGCATATACCACTATACTCTCTCGCTTGTCGCTTGTACCACATCAAATGTCGTCCTCTCCCTATATTATATTCCACACTTGCATCCTAACCACACAGGCCGAGGTCCATTGTGCTCGAGCACAACCTGTGCACACGCATGCGTACCATTGTCATCCGAGCGAGCGCTGACCCGTTGCTCTCTTCGACTTTCCTGTACATCCGCGCCACCAACATACCGACTTGCAACTACCTGCACGGATACCGCTCGCTCACACGACCATGCGCAACGCAACAAAGTCGTGGCATTTCAAAGACACGCCGCCGCCCATGCCCGAGTGCTGGGGACACCGTGGCGTAAGTTGGTGCTCATTGCCCTATGTGTGTGTGCGCGTCTCTGTTCATCGCGAAGCTGACACCACTGCCGCCTTGTCTCTTACACCCTTCGTACGCTCGCAGGCCTCCGGCGCGTTCCCTGAGAACACTCTCGCCTCCTTTGAGCGCGCTGTCGCCGATGGCGCCGAAGGCATCGAAAGCGGTTAGTAGTCGATCTATGGCTGCACCATCTCCCTCCCCACCCCCTCCTTTTGTCTTTCCTCCCCCCTTTTTGCCCGGTCTTCCCTCTTTTGTGCGAGGCTGATCGATCGACTGGGTTCGGAGGCGCATTGGGTTAGCAATTTGGTCGGCGGGGAAGGCATGGTGTCGAAATAACACCGTACATTCCGGATTTGGGACAGTATGGGGCAGCTTGGGTCACCCCTTTAATAGAGAGTGGGAGCAAGGGGTACGCTTGGAGGGTACGGATGATGCGAGCGGGCTGGCTGCACCATGTTACCCCGGAGGGGTGTAAAGCTCATGCGCTCGTCTTTCTCTCACATGGCCAACTCGCCTCGACCTCCTTACGCGAACCTGTCGCGCACATCACCGCCGCAGACGTCCACATCACCTCGGATGACGTGATCGTCATGTTCCACGACCCTTCCTTAGAGCGCACCACCAACGGCTCGGGCCTTATCCGGGACCAGCCGTACCATGGCAACATTGAGAACATCCGCACGACCAAGACGCCCGTCCAGAAGATTCCGACGTTTCATGAGCTGTGCGACTTCCTCATGCGTCCAGAGTGCATGCATGTCAAGGTCAACGTGAGCCCTTTGCGCATGCGTAAGAGAGGCGTGGGAAGGTGTTCGTTTGCTGACCTCTTCCCCTCTTTATTTACTGGCCACAGATCGACATCAAGCCTGACAACGACCCAGACAGGCTGTTTTGTCTGATGAGGGAGATCGTCAACCGATATTCAGACTGCGAGACGGCGCTGTCGCCGCGCATCATCCTCGGGCTGTGGCACCCCAAGTTTCTGCACGCGGCGCTGAAGCATGTCCCACTGCTGCGCCGCATCCACATTGGCGGCTCCCCCTCGCTGGCGCGGCAGTACTTTTGGAAGCATTGTGACGGCTTCAGTATGTGGTTCGCTGGTCTGGTCGGCGCCGAGGGCCAGGCGTTCCTGCGCGAGGCGCAAGGCGCAGGGAAGGACGTGTACGTCTGGACCGTCAACCGCCCAGACGAGATGATCGAGGCGACGCGCTGGGGCGTCAAGGCCGTCCTGACAGACAAGACGGAAATTTTCCGCGACCTGCGCGTCGCCATGGCCAAGGACTTTGCCGCGACGCGCAAGGATCAGGTCGGCCTCTTTTTCCGCTGGGCGTCGTGGCGGTACTGGATGCTCCCCCAGTTCGTCATCCAGACCATGTGGGTCGCCAACCTCGAGAAGCGCGCTGGCGAGTCGTTCAAAGCGGCAGACGACCGCGCTCTGCGTGAAGCCGCAGCCAAGGTTGTCACCGCCGCCGCCGCGCCGCATGAAGATACAAGCGGGGCCACGACGGTCATCGGCTCGCCCGACGCGCTCAAGCCATCGCCGACCGACAACGCCGCCGTACCCCCGATTACGGCCAGCCTGGCTTCTCCGGCAGCATAGATGCTTCGCTACCGCAACTGCACATACATTAGCACGGCTCTTTAATCTCTGTTTTCCCGTGTCAGTCTATCCTGGCCAAAACCAGGAACCTGCATTCCACGGGAACCCACCTCATCAGCAGCAGTCTTCGTCTCGTGTCATCCGCCCTCATTCATCGATCAGTGTTCACTGCCCGGACGCTCTGCATCACTCCTTCATTTTTCCCAAGCATGCCGCGTTACAGGTTCCCGCCGCGGAGAAGGAGGGGTAGACCAATGGACATTTCTTCATCCAACCCATTGCCCCAGGTACCATTATGACGTCGTCGCTCGCCTGATCTGCGCGCCTCGCCTCAGAGCCAAGTCGACCATCCCAATCTACTCGACCTTCTTCGGCTCCTTCCCACCTCTTCTGCCCGATCCATTTAGCCCACTGTACAACCACCGAGCGAGCTCTCGTCTCATCGGTGCTGCGCCATCGCAATCATATTTTTCTCTCTGCTTGCGGGTCTCTTTCACACGGGTGACCGAACCATCGACAGCAAGGAGGCACACAGCCAACTTTTAGTTTTGTGTGTGTGTGTGTATGTTTTCGTGATCACTTTCGCCTCGTTAACGTCAGATGTGTACATGCACAGCGGGCTCTCATGCTGATGCGTCAACGATCCCTGACGCTTTCCCTGCAGTGTTTCAAAGATGGCATTGCGACGAAGTGATGGCATGTCAGTCCACATTGCTTTGTCGCTGGTCTGAGATCCAAAGGAGTCGGGAGACCTCAACTCACCTCCATTGACCATCTTGTCCGTCTGTGGCGCTCCCACGCTAGGTGTAGTTGTGTCGTGCTCGGCAGCACTTGAAGAGCCATTCGCCTGCTGTTGCAATGTAGCGGCAGCCGCTACGACGTCGCGTTCCGTGGCCAGCGCCTCACCCCAGCCCTCCTCGAAGAGGCCCGGGTCGACGGATGGATCGGCGATGCTGTCCGCGAGGATGGCTTGCTTGGTGCGCTTGGACGACGCCAGACTCGCCTTCCAGAGCTTGACCAGCTCGGGCACGCGCGAAGGGGCGTAGGTGCGCGCGAACAGCGCCGCTTCCGATATCCGGCCGGTCGCTTCAAGCAGTTCGATGCACGCACCCGAGTCGCCGAGCTGCAGGTGTGCCGCGAAGGCGAGGTTCGTCTGGCCCTTTGCCGTCGCTGCTTCGGCGACCTTGCGCAGGATGCTGCGGTCGCCTTTGGCGACGCCGAGCAGGAGCAGCGCGTTCAGGTCGCCGGCCTTGTCGAAGCACTCGTGCGCCGAGCTGACGTCCCAGCGCTCGAGCGCCTTGTCGCCCAGCGTCCGCCAGCGCATCTCCGATCCTGACTGTGGGCCCGAGCGCGTGATCTCTAGTGCGGTGTCAACGTCGTCCAGCGCGATGGCTAGGTCAAACTTGTGATCTGGGTCAGTGGACACCTGCAGCGCCAGCTCCTTCTGGTCCTGGCTCTCGAGGAATCGCGCGACGCGGTTCAGCTGATCCTGCGGCACGATTGCGAGGATTTCCTTGGCTGCGTCCAGATCCTGGCGCAGGATGGCGGTCTGGTATTGCACGACGGCGAGGGAGAGGGCGTAGCTGTATAGGTTCACGTCCTTGTCGACCGCGTAGACGCGCCCATGCCGCGGAATGTAGCCGAGCAGGTACAACTCCTGGTCGGTGTGGTTGATGGTGTGCGTCTGCTCGCCGACGAGATACTGCAGCTTGTTGCTTGCGGTCGTGTAGATCAGGCACTCGTCAGTCCACTTGGCCGTGCGGATCTGGTCCGCGACGTCGACGATGACCTCGAACGCATCTTCAACGCCCTCGTCGTCTACGGGCGCGCCACTCTCGAGATAGTCCTGGTAGGCCCCGTGGTCGAATCGCAGCACGTAGAACGAATCGTCCGTCACGATAGCGACCAGTTCGCCCGAGCCAGACCAGAGGATGTCCTTTGCGTCGACGTCGATCCGCCGGACGAGTGCACCGGTGTCCCAGCTGTAGAAGCAGACAAAGCCAGCGCCAAGGACACCGAGCAACGCACCGCCCTTGACGTTCTCGACCGAATAGTTGACGTTGAGCAGGCCAGAGCGCTCCTTGAAGTTGCGATCGAACACTTTGACCTTGGAGTTGGTCTCCTTGACGGCGTAGCCGTTGCTGTCAAGCGACCAGGCAAATCCAGTGCCCTGCCCGAAGGCCTTGTTGCGCCACGCGAGCGCCGTGTAGATGATGTACTCACCATCGCCGCAGACGGTGACGAAGCGGCCGTTCGGCGAGTGCTGGAGCAGCTGCGCGTAGACCTCTGTGTTGCCCATCTCACGCGTGGGGATCGCGATGCGCTGGCCGTCGACGAGCGCTGCGGCGCCAACGTCGTCGGCGAGCGTTGCGAGGTTGGCGCTGAGGACCTCCGAGTTGCGTGCGTAGATAACCTTTCCGGAGCCATCCATGCTGACACTTGGCTCCTCTTTGCCGAGCTTGACGACGACGAGGCCATCGTCGTAGCCGAGCGCGATGTCATTCCCATTCTTGCGGTAGGCGGCGCACCAGCAGCGTTCGAGACCGTAGTCGAGCGTGTTCTCGAGCCGGTAGGTGTTCGAGTGCCACAGCTTGACCGTCCCGTCCTCGGAGCCGGAAATGATGAGTGGAAGGGATGGGTGGAAGACAGCAAAGGAGACGTTGGAGACATGCCCCTCGAGCGTCTGGATACAGGACTTGGAGAAGTAGTCCCATACCTTGATCGTCTTGTCGTCGCCGCAAGTGATGATGTACGGCTTGTCTCCGCCGTGGTAGTACTCGACGTAGTTGACGCCTTTGTCGTGTGCTTCGAGCGTGTAATTGGGCGCCGAAACTCCAGACGATCCAAAGCCCGAGCCGCTGATGGTCCACACCTTGACGGTGCGGTCGATGGAGGCAGAGGCAAAGGTGTTGGAGTCTTTCGGGTTAAATGCCAGGTGCATGATGAAGTGTGTATGCCCTTCGAATGTCTGTGCAGAGGAGATGAGACCGGATGGGTTAATGCGACGACGAAAGGTCTCGAGACAAAGCTGGATTGGCACGGACCTGAACATGCTTCCAGTTCTTGTCCCAGTCCCACAGTTTGATGGTCATGTCATCACTGGCAGTGAGGACCAGGCTCAGTGTCGGATGGACAGCGAGGCATCGGATGTAGTCTGGATGCGCCTCGACCTGGCTGACCTTCTCGCTGGTGTTGTAGTTGTAGCAGCGCAGCTGGAAGTCGTCGCTGCCGGCAATGAACCAATTCTTGCGCGCAACGAAGCGGACGGCCCGCACGGGCACCTGCGCGACTTCGAACGTCTTGACGAGGGCCCCGGTGGTGTAGTTGTAGATCTGGACCGAGCCGCTGTACAGGCCAGCGATGACCCATGGCTCCGAAGGGTGGAAGTCGACGGATTTGATGCGGTCGGTGCGCGCAAAGAGCTTGCGCTGGATGTCGAGGAGCATCGGCATGGCTGCGACAGGTGCGGGTGATGTCTGCGTTTGGGATTCCTGTGCCTATGTCTATGCCTATGCCTGTGCCCTCGTCCCTTGTTCTTCGCGTCCAGACGAGGCGGCTTTGCTAGGATGTATGCATGCTCCCCAGGTGAGGTCTTCGCTATACTGTTATGCAACATGGGAGTCAAGTGGAGGACTCTTCTGTGATGTGGTGGCGCGGGCACTCCCTCCCGCTTCTGCGACACCAGGCAAAGTAGGGTTGATGCCCTGCCCGCACGTCGCGTCGCTCCCCCGCGGACGGCCAACCAACACTTTTCGACGCCACCTTCCCTTTTTCGTCATCGCTTCCTCCATTGCGTACAGTCAACTGAGATGTGGGCCCATCCGGTTCCCCATTGCTCACCATCTATCCATCCATCCATTGCACAGGATACGACTAGGCAGCCGGACAGCGGACACTGGCACAAATGGCGTCTTGAAACGGCGTCATAGCCAGAAACACCCGCCGTCACAAGGCGCTGATGCCTCCCAGGGTGCCAGAAGAAAGGTTGACATAGAACCTACATTCATACACCACGCTCACCTCGATCGCCTTCCCCATCCAGCATCCATCCGGGGCACCTACAGCCGCAAGCTCCGGGGGCGGATCGAGTCTCCACGCACACTCCCCTGCCTTGCACACATCCCGCCATCTACACAACTGTATTTTGGCTGCAGGAGCACGCGTTGAAGAAAGAGGACTCTGTAGCCACGCAATTGACGTCTGCCTGGCCAGAGTACAGACGTTCAAACTACGGGCCATCATGGACATCGATCCGTGCCAGCGTTTGCAGCAGCAAACATCAAACGTAACACAAGGTCAAAACCAAGGTTATGCACCACTGAAGTCCGTAGTGAGCAGTGTGCACCTAGCAGCATCAGCATTAGCATCATCAACAGCAGCGGCGGCGGCGGCGGAACAAATTACCGTCGACGACGACGCCCACGGCTGGGATCCATCGTTCTTTTCCCCCGGCCCGGCAGGCGCCTCCTTCCCTCCGATGCCACCCGCTGACTTCGAATGGCTTCAGCAGAACTTTGGAGGTGCTACCGCTGCTGTACCTGCGCTGCCTTCGCAGCAACAACAGCAGCATGACATATACACCGGTGGAGATGCATCGGAAGCAGCGCCGACATCGGTATCTGGGCCTGCCACCGTTTCTGCTCTCAACCCTACGCGGGCCCCGGTAGACGTTAGCTGTACCACGGAGCTCATCCCTCCGCCACCTACAGCAGTACCAGCAAACTATGCCGAGAACGATGCATACATCAACGACGAACTGCATCCTGATAATTTGCACAGCTGCAGCGCAAGGCGGTCCATCCTTGTAGCGGAAGAAGAGCAGTATGACCCTACGCGCTCACGGACGCCATCGCCAATCCTGGGCGCAACGCATCTCGATCTGGACGAGGACACGACCGAATTTGGCCACCTTGCTTTCCCTGCGCTCGGCCCGTCAACGGAGGAGATCCGGCAGTTCACATGTGACCCGCCTGAGCTGGCTTCGTTCGCACGGAACGAAGACCTTCTGCCCGAGGTTGAGGTGCGGAAGCTCGAGCTGCGGCTGAGGGAGAGCTTGCATCTGCTCGATGCGCCGTCCGTTGCCTCCTCCTCGTCGTCGTCCAGCGCACAGACGGCGGAAGCTGTGTCGTCGACTGCCGCCCGCAGCAAGGAGGAGATCGAGAAGCTTGTCAAGCACGTGCGGGCGCGCGAAGAGCAAGCGAACCTGTTGCAGAGCCAGCTGAGCAAGGTGCGCCTCTCAGCTCTCAGCGCGCTCAGCGCGAGCACGATGCATGGGCACCGCGCGCTGCACGCCGAGCGCGCGATACGCGCGCGCGTCGAGGCAGAGATGCACGGCGTGCGCCAGAACGCACAGATGCTCGCGCAGATGCTGCTGCGCGCCGAGCAGCGCTTCGAGCGCCTGTTGCATGAGCGCAAGGAGGGCATCATCGACGAAGTCACCGGCTGGGGCGGCCTCGTGGGTTATTCTGGTGGCTCGGGCGCTCTACACCAACGGCAGCAGCAGCAGACAGCAGCATTCTCATCATTGTCGTCGGCGCAGGGCAGGAATAAGTCGGTTTCTTCGCACTCTCGTGCGCAGCAGCAAGCTGAGGAACTGCAGCAACACCAGCAGGAAACACGACGGGAAAGCATCTGCGAAGCTGACGGAGTGAGCACATCGGCAGCCACCAGTGCAAAAGTCCCCGAGCAATCTGTCCAAGACGCTGCACGGGTAGCATTGGCGAGCGAGCAACAGCAGAAAGAGCAACAATGCAACGCGGCAGAAAGCGCACGCAGTGCCGTGGAGGGCGTGTCAGGAGGGAATGACTCATTACCTTTGCTGGTAGACCAGCAGCAGGAACAACAGTCGACTAGCAGTCCCGACATTGGAAGAGCGGCCAGAGAGGATGATGGCACTGCAGCCGGGCAGACGGATGGAAGGAGGAGTGCAATGCTGAATAACATTGATGCTTCCTTTGTGAGTCTCTTGAACTAATAGGGTATTCGATACGAATTCAACATTAGAAACCTTGACGCACTGACTCGCACTTGACCCATTCATCGATATTTAGGACATGGGAGGGCCAAATTCGCCGCTACCGGCCATCGTCAAGGAGCGCAACAAGCTGCTGGCCGATAAGCGCTACCTCAAAGCGCGCGTTAAGGACGCGGAGGCGCAGCTGGGCCGCCTGGAGCACGAGCTGCAGATGCTGCGCGGCTTCCTCGTCCGCAGTGAGGGTAAGCGCATCACCGGTGGCGGCGGCGCGGCCGTCGCACTTTGGAACGCTGCCGCGATTGCCGATGGCCCTGCGGGCTCGCGCCACCGCGCGCGCGAGAAGGCGCGCAAGAAGAAGGTCGCTGTAATGGGCGACGCCGAAGCGGAGCACCTGCTTCTCGCGGCCAAGACGCTGAGGGAGAAGGAGCGTCGGCAGGCCAAGGAGGCTGCTGCTACTGCGGCGGCGGAGGAGGAGGAGATCCGCCGTGCCGTCGCGGCCGCTGCGCTTCCGCCTCTACCCGTCAAGCCTCGGGGGTCCAGAGCGAAACAGCAGCAGCAACAACAGCACCAACAACAGCGGATAGTCGCGGATAGGCCTCCGAAGGAGAGGATCGACATGTCAGCGCTCGTGAGCGCGCTTCCGCGAAATGGCAGCGGCATCGGCGATGCTGGGCCTTCCATACCTGCTGCTGCTGCCGAAAGCCCGGCGGGTACGACGGACGTGCTTCGCCCGCCTCAGACGCCCGAGCTCCCATCCTCAGCCGCATCGGCGTCTGCGTCACTCAAGCTTGGTTCCGCGACGCCGCGCACGCCGCGCTCCGCGCACCTGCTCGCTTGTATCACAGGTGCTGTGACGCCAGGAAGTGCCGCGACGGCCCGGCGGCGGCAGAACATCAGCTCCGCGCGCGACGATGAGCATGAATGCATAGGCACGCCTGGCGGCGCCAGCAGCAGTGCTAGCGCCTACGCTTCTTCTGGCATCGATGGCCTCCTGCAGGCCGCACAGCTCGTCACGCCCGGGGGCACACGCGTGTCCAATCCGCCGCCGAGGTCGATGCACCCGCCTCATATCCGACCCGAGGAGGACGAGTACTACCCGAAGGGCGCACGGTCTGGCTTTGGAGGTATGGCGCTCGACGAGACCGTCCTTGGGATCCGCGGCACCCCCAAGCGTCGCCGTGTCGCGTCTGGCGAGGCAGAGCTGAGAGCTACCGATGATTATGCGGAAGGAAGCAACAGTCTTGGCCACAACAACGTCAATGGCAGCAACCGCAGGCTAAGGACGAGCACAGCGCCCGAAAGTCTACTTGCGTTCAGTGGCGCCGGCAGCGTCGCGAGCGCCGGTGAAGACGGCGCATGCCCCGCGTCGCAGCTCAGCGCGCTCGATTTGCTTGCGGATCAAGCGGCTGCGAGCCAGCATCCAAGCCAGAATTCCGACTGGTCCAATTCGAGTGCAGAAGACGACGAGGCACGCAACGCCATGCAGCTTGATGTGAAGCAGGAAGTAGACGAGCAGCAGCTGCAGCAGCAAGACGACGGGAGCGGTGCGCTCGATGGCAACAATGGACAAGCTGGTGTTCAAACTTCACCCGCGCGTGGTCACATCAAAGCCAAGCTCAAGCGCGGTCCAGAGATTCCAAAGGAGAAGCGCGTGCCGTACATTCGTTGGACGGACCCGGAGGATAGAAAGTTGCGTGCTGCTATCAAGGAGTACGGCCAAAGGTGCGTTAAGGGACTCGCGGATGCTTCAATGACTCGGAGTGATGAACTGTGCAACTGACTCTGGTGTTTGCATGGTTCATGGTCACAGATGGGAACTGATCTCACGTGCCGTCGGCACGCGCTCGTATCATCAATGCCGCCAGCGCTACCTGCTCATGCGCCGCAAAGAAGCCGCGCAACAAGGGCACTCGCTCGCGAACCATCCGCGCCTGGATGCTGATCGTGTCGGACCACACTATGAGGAGCCGCAGTACGAGCACTACTTTGATGGGGAAGGCGAGGGCGACGATGACGACGACGATGATGATGATGATGGACTTGAGCTTGCTGAGGACGAAGCGGACGAGCGCGGCGCTAGACGTGGAGCTCGCGGAGAAGATGGCGAAGACGACAAATGCGACATCATTGACCACGGTGTTAAAGGAACGGATGTTGGCGATACCACTGTGCGTCGAGCAGGCGGCAGTGGCAGCGGCGCTCCTGCTGCTACTGCTGCGCTTGACGACGAAGAGGACGAGCTCGCTTTCGACGAGGAGCAACTTAATCATCTCCCGTTCCAATCGGCCGCCGTACCGGCGCATCACCGCCATCGTAGTCTCTCGCTTGCAACAGCTTTGATGGCAGGTGCAGCGGACGAGTGATGTGGAAGATAGCGTGCGGAACCCGCTCATCTTGTAGCCCCATCGTTAGGTACCTGCCATAGACACTCAGTCATATTTTCGATTGCATTTGGATTTGTAGTTTGCTGCACCTTTTTGCATATTTGCTGTAGTCACGTCTCACTCGTATGTGCACAAAAAGATCGTCCCCCACCCCTTGCCTACGGACGGCGCTGCTATCTTTAGGAACAGCTGATACGATGGAACACTGTGTGGTTATGTGATCTATCAATTCGTGCAACATAGTGATACAAGACACGGACTACCCAATAAGAATTCGGAAAGCCCTCGCGCATCACACTCGCGCGCCTCTCATCCTTCAGGGCTTGGTGGCAAGAGTGCAGGCTAGCATATCGGTATCTATCCGCGTAAAAGCGATGTGCTGCGCTGCGCGACTTTTTTACCCCCTCCTCAGCAGCTTTATACCCGGACTGTCGTCTTCTTGCTCGCCTGGAGCAGCTTCCTGGTCCAAATCTCAAAGTAGTCTCTGAAGTAGAAGAGCAGCGCCTGTGCAAGAACCGCTTTGGTGATCTGCGCTTGCATGCCCTGGTACCAACCGGCGATTCCGCGCTCTTTTGCGATCTTGGTGAGCACATCGATCGCACCGGTGTACGGCGTGTTGCGCGCCTGCAGCCGAATCTTGGAGAGAATGTACGGGAAGGTGACGACTGTCGCGAGTGTCTTGGAGAGCGCGCCGATCAGGAATGACTTGCCCGGCGTCATCTTTGCGTCGCCTGAGGCGGTCAACACCATATTCTTGACACCTGCAAGAAAGGAAGCAGAAGAGTGGCACGAAAAGCCACGCGCGAACCTGTCAGCAATCCCAGCATTCGATGACTCAAGTGCAGAGTCTGCTATAGAAAGTAACTGCCTGCTGCACTCACGTTCGAAGACGCCGTAAGTGATTGCTGGGTTGATAGTGAGCACGAGCGAAGGCTTCAGACCGCGCCAAAAGCCGGTGATACCATCCTGCTGGTAAACGTCCTTTGCAACGCTGAGGAAGCTGTCCTCATCGTCCAACACCTTCTTTGCGACAGTGTTGGCCTTGTCGGAAGCTCTCTTCTCGTCTGCAACGGAATCTTTGAGGCTCTCCTTGTCTGCCGATTCGCCTGATGATGACGCAGGAGCGGAGCCGATCTGCTGCCGTGTTGCAATGACGCTGACGGGAATGGTGAAGATCTGCGCAAGCGTGCCTGCCAAAGCACCAAGGAGCAGCTCTACGGCTGTGCTGATACCTGGTGGCTTGCTACTCTTCGGCAAACGCAGAACACGCGTGATGTACAATGTTCGGACGACAGTGTACCAGTAAAAGTAGGCGAATTCTGCCAAGGGGCGAGGGGGCGGACCGAATGCGGAGGCCGATCCAGCATCACCGTCGGAATGAAATGTCAGCTTAAAAAATCATGGTATGCAGATAATCTTCGATTAGCACTCACGTGTGGAGAAAGTATTCACCATGCTGGCCCCGAACCCCTTGTACAAGCTAAGAGGGCCCTCCTTGCTCCTGGCGATGGCCAGGACACCCTCAAATAGGCCAACATCCTTACGGACTGTCACAGCTTTGGGATCCCTTGCTGCTTTTGCCGCTGGGCTCGCACCGACTACAGATGAGCTTCCGGCTTGAATGCGGGTCTTGACGCTGCTTCGCGAAAAACAGAAATGTGAGTAGAGGAAACGAAGCATGTTCCGGGAGAAACGCAGACAGATGAGAAAGGGGAGATTAATGGTCAGATGATGCGTCGGCGACTGCCAGCAAAGAGAAATCTGGTTCACCCACGTGTCAAGAGGGTAGCATACTGCGTTCGAGAATACGCCTCCGAGTGCGCCGGCAAGGGCATTTCCGAAGGGGGTAAGCGGTTCTTGCGCCATCCTGTCTCCGCCTTTTGGATCCCTATCAGCTATTGCTCCTTTGCTTTTATCTGCTAGAAGTCTGACTCTGCTCGGATGTCGCCGTGCGCTCGCCGCTGACCAGTCTACCTTTGCTGCTCTAGGTCCTTTCGAGTTTGACTTGACAATAATTAACTGGGTCGATAGGATGTTTCAGTGTAATGGACAAGAGAAGAGGTGGATTAGATGATGGTGGTGGCTGACTCTTTTCTGGACTGGATGCTGATGGAGACTGAGATCCAAACTAGAGCGTTGCAACCTGAAGATGATTGTGCAATCGGCCATCGGAGGGGCCCAGTCTGCGGTAAGTGAAAATACTGGTGAAAAAGCATGGATTGTGCATTAACAACAGGGAGTAGACCCGGATTCTAGGCCTTAGAATACCGGATATGCAGTTGCCGCCGGCTACCGGGCAAGGGGAGATGAACGGTTTCCGCTATTTACCGGCTCACATCGAACCGGCCCCTCGCCCCAAGTGCCCCCGCGCCTGGTACGGCAACAAGAGGTTCTCACTAAACTTGACTGAGGCAGGTGTGTACATTTAGGAGGCCCAGGTCACCACGCGCTTCTTCGAGTTTGCACAGCTTGGCGCTCGTCGATTACTGCTTGCTTACTGTCTCTGCGGCCGTCGCAAGGTGGGCTCGTGGCTATTTATCTGGTGGTGTAGACTCATGACGAAGACGGTGTGGTGGGTCGGCCAGCACAGGTATGCACAGGGTGTGAAAGCCGCGAAGCCCGGAAATCATGGTCTGCGAAGGTCAGCGCGAGAGTGAAGGATTAGGGTTTACGTAATCGGATTTTGGCCGTTGCGCCGCATACAAAGAATGATCTACTTTCGACTCGTAAACTTAACTATACGCTAATTGCACCTGGGAGCTTGAAGATCTACGGCATCTTATGGGCCATGCCTGGTGGAGGACTGTGCGACCAGGTAACTGCCGAGTTCCAGTCTCGTAGCGTCGGCTCGCAATGAGCATGCTGCAGGACCCGCTGGCGGATGGTGGGTCCACCTCGTCCTTCTCACCTATAACTCCCCGTGCGTTCTCCGTGGGCCAGCGGATCTCACATCACCATTCGCGCGGCACCGTGCGCTTCGTTGGTGCTCTGGGTGCCTCTTCAAATGGTGGTCGTGTTCCTTCGGGTACTTGGCTCGGCGTCGAATGGGACGACCGGAGGCGAGGGAAGCATTGGGGAGAGTATGGCGGTTGGAGCTACTTCGAGTGCCTGTACCACTGTCAAACGTGTGATTCTGAGGGCAAGGACGCTTCTGGAGATCGGCAGAAAGAGAGAGCTTCAAAAATTACAAGCTCCCCAGCAGCGGCAGCGACCAGCACAGCACACACATTTGGGCCAGCATCATTTTTACGGCCCACCGCTTCAGGTCTGATCACTGGCGCGTCTGTCCTTCAAGCCCTGCGCGACAAGTATGCACCCAACCCGAAGGAACGTTCCACCACTCTTTCCCCTAGCGAAAGGCAGAATGCGCAGTACAGCCGCAAGAATCTTGCTGAGATCGAGATCGAGATTCCCTATCTGGACAAGGTTGTGCGCAAAGTGGGCAGGCTGGATAGACTGCGTAACGTCGCGCTACAAGGAAAGATTGAGCACTTTCCCGAGGCTGAAGGTGGAGCTCAGTCTGGGAGTTTCCCTGTGGAAGCCCCTGGCAACGACGAGACGGAGGAAGAAGAGCGTCTGCTTGTCTCTTGCGCTTTTGATCAGCTCACAGGAGAAAATGAAGGTGATATCCAGAAGGCATGTCCAAGTGAGCCGGTTCTGTTTTGTTTTGCAAGTAGTACAGATGCGCGGTTCGAAGGACTGAAACCTGGTTCGCACCTTTCGCCGTGATTCACGCCACGTAGACATCACTGTCCTGGACCTTTCCAACAACCTTCTTTCGACATGGCAGGACGTCTCTGCAATCTGGGCAGAGCTTCCCCTGTTGGAAAGTTTCATCCTGGCCGGCAACCGATTAACCCGTCTTCCCACCCTACCTACTGCACCAGCGCTCACACTGGCGCCGAAGCTGAAAGAGCTCAATCTAGACTGCACCCTCGTGGATTGGCCAGACGTCGTGCGGGTCGTGACGAGCAGCATGCCTGCGCTTGAAGAGCTTAGCTTCGCAGGCAACAAAGCACGGCGGCTCAGTCTCGATTCGTGCAGCGCCACAAGAAACACATCTGCTGGGTCGGTGATATCACCACACACCAAGCTGCGCACGATCAACCTAGCTGGAAACGAGCTGAGCGATTGGGCCGGTGATATCGTCACGTTCATCGCGACCGTATTTCCAAGGCTTGTGCGCCTAAACCTCTCGCACAACAGGCTGGCGGCGATCGTGCCTCCGCCACAGCATCTTCAACAACAGATCAGTAAGCTGCCGGAGGCAGATACCAACACACCTGGCGATCAAAGAACACCACCCTTACCTGCATCGCTGCTGGCGCATGTGAACATTTCAAATAACCCGGGTTTGCACACATGGGCCGACCTGGAAGCGCTGGATGAGTGGGTGCGCGTCGCAAATACAGACGGGAAGCTGGAAGACCAGGAGGGTGAGTATCTACAAGGAGCGACACGTGGCGCGCCATCAGGCATAAAAACCTTGGTGCTTGACCTTGGCTCGGAGGTCACTCGACTTTCTTTGGATTCGGATGCGCAGCCTCATGGCACCTCCGCCAGCTCTGCGGTAAGCAAAGAGGCGGACGAGGACGAACTCCACCCGATCACGACAGCACAGTCATGGCGCACGCTCCATCCAGGAGACGCGACGATCGCACTAATTGCACGTCTGCCTGCGCTGTCGACGCTGAACGGCGGCATGATCCGCCCAGAGCAAAGGCGTGATGCGGAGGTGTACGTCCTTTCCAAATACGTGGAAGCGTCCACGGTATCGACATGGGCAGCGGCGTCGACGAATGCGGCGGTGCCACTCCCAAGATTCGCGGACCTGGCCGCCAAGTACAGAGACTCAAACGCTACTATGTCTGCGTCTGCTGCTCCGGATCGCGCAGCAGGCGTCCAGAGACCAGCAAAGGCGACACTGAAGAGCAAGCTGCTCGATTTGCACATCATTTTTCTCTCTCAACCACCGTCATCCGCGGGTCACGTCGCTGGCTCCGCCGGTGGCGATGGCGCGCGAGAAGCAGCACTGCGCATCGTGCATGACTCCTCGCTCAAACTCCTGCTCTCGACACCCCTGCGCATGGTACGTGCTAAGCTTGCGCGGCTCGCACCGCCGCCGCCACTTGCCGTGTCCGAAGCTGGAGTACACAGAAGATCGGTCGTGGCTGGCAGTAGCTTGCAAATGTGGGCTTTGCTTGGATCCGGAGTCGAGGATCAGCCTGAAGGATCAGCCGACGGCAGTCGCAAGCGCGAGAAGGACAACGACGAGAACGAGCAGCGTGAAGCAGCGGAACGTGCGCTGGTCAAGGGGCTTGGCGAGCTGCCGCTCATGCCGCTCGATGACGATCACCAACCATTAGACCACTTTGGCGTCAGCCAGCACGATTGTATCCTAGTATATCATACACCGCATCCCTAGCCGCCCTTCCTGTGCCAACGTACCTCAACAAATTGATGATCGCTGCTTACCTGCTCCAATCTCCCACTCCACAGAAAACGAGCATCTGTCAAAGTGTCACTAGCTTCCGAGCGACCCCGTTGCTGCTGCTGCTGATGATGATGCTTGTTCAAATGTATTGGATGCTTACAAATACAACAAAGGCCGATGTTGCTAACATACGCTCGGGATAGCGATGGGTGCAAGTGGGACTACGTGTGCGCGCAGTGCTAAAATGACCGATGCGAAATCAACACGTCGTAACTCGACAAATAGCAAACGGGCGATTTGCAAAAAAAAATGGATTAGGTGCGAGCATCTCTGTGCACGTTCGCGGCCGTTGAACAGCCTCCGTCTTGCAGTCTTGTGTGCCCGGCCGTCTTACGTTCATGGAAAGTGAAAGCAAGGATGAAAAGCGAGCGCGGCGCAGGGGTGTGGGGGGAAAGTTGGACACAATGCGTTGACTGGCGTTCACTTCGAGCGAGAAGCAATTCACATCGGCGCTTGCCCATGTAAGGTAGGTGGAGAGAAGCCTCCGACGATATGCTTGATGGGCGTCATGCTGCCGTTGACGTGCGCTCCACCAGGGCTGTGCGACGAGGAAACGAAGCCTGCTGCTCGCACGCCTCCGCCCACCACGTACGACCCCGACGCCGCTGACGCATGCGATGGCGAGTGATTGTCCGTGTCGCCGCTCCGAAGCGCAAATCCCGCCGCCGCAGCTGCTGCGTCGTCGGCAACAGAGCTCTCGTCGATGCGCTCGCCGCCCGTGAAGCGGCGCTCGCCGCCCGTGAAGCGGCGCTGCACCTGCATCTGTTGTGCAAGCATGCTGCTGCATTCGACGGGCGTCTGCTGCGGCGTATTAGCCGGCGCAGGGACGAAGCCGTTGCTGCTGGGCGGCCCGGCGCCGAAGGAGGAGGCGGACACGTGAGAACACGAACTCGGCGAGCCGGCTCCTCCCCCTCCGCCGTTGCCATACGCCAGTAGACCGGCCATGAGGGCGCCTCCTGACCCCATCGAGGCTGACCGAGCGCCGTTCTGCGCTTCGTACGATATGGTCATCGGGCTTCCAGCTGGCCAAAAGCTCGCTGAACCCGAGCCGCCTGAGCTGGGGCTCCCGGCGCCGCCCGCGCCGCTGCTGCTGAAACCGGTCTGCCGCACTGGTAGCTGCACGGGCATGGGATATGCGCTGGATGAAGTTAATGAGGATGGCGGTGCCGCTGCCGTCGCCGCTGCTGGCGACACGCTCATCGCCATCGAGTCTGCTGCTGCCGCTGCCACTGCCGCCGAGGATACGAGATGACCATGCCCATTGATTGCGATGCTCCCATTTGTCGAGGTATTTGCGCCGGCTCTGCGCCCTGTGCTCCCCTGCCCATGCCCATAGCCGCCAGTTGAGGAGCCTGAGCGTCTATTCGCACTGCTGCTGAATGCGGAGTGGTGCATCTGCGTAGTGTACGCGCGAGGCTGCACTCCAACGCTCGTGGGTGGGCCCATCGCCTGCGGACCCAAGCTGTGCAGCAGCGATGCGCGTACTTCGTTGAGTTCGTGCCCGCGCTCGCCGGCAGCAAAGTTGTGCTGCATCGAGCCGATGAGGTCGTCAATGTTAAGCGCCATAGTTGCTGCGCTCTCGGTCTGCTCCCTGTTACCGTCTTGCCGGGAGGTAGATGTGCACTGTATGCGCCGCGCCTACAACGGAAGGCTTGGACCTGGCTGCGTGAAAGCGCCAGACGTGGTGTTCCCGTTCTAAGCCCGCCGTGGATGAAGTATGAAATGGGAAGCCGACAAGAGGTGGGTAAAGTGAAGCGGCAGCCGGCTGCGAAGCACGTCTCTCCGCTCTGCGTGGCTGTTTCAAGCAACACTGGCAGCACAATGAGCTGTGTACAAGTTCGAGGCAACTGGTATTTGACAGGCAAGTTGTAATGCTGCTATTTGAGAAATGCCTCGAGAAAGGAATTGCATACCAGGAAGTCGCGAAATCGACTATCTACGACTACGCCAAACCCGGAGTAAGCCGGTGGAATGCGATTGGTGTCAGAACTGTGCTGGCGCTTTCAGCTTGTGCTAAGTCCGTGACTGGGTGTGTTCTTGTCTCGTCGGGGGCGTCGGTTGCGCTTCTGTCGACGTGCATCAGCAATTGAACGTGAAGACAAGGAAGGCGAGGGAGCGATGCGCGGGGTAGAGGGGTTAACAAGGACCTTCGATAGAGAGCAAGACAACATTGAGTTCAGTCTGGGCCAAAAAAACACCTCCGAGCGTGCAGGATAGAGGGGCTGGGTGGGATTTAGGCACCGGAGGAAGGGTCAAAGCTGCTCGCTCTCAACAGAGAGACCACCGATTGCTCCCCGAAGTAACACACGGGTATGTCTACCAGGACCCCAGAGTGTTCGAACTGAATGGCCCTAGCAACAGATGACATGGCCAGGACCTTTATACAATGTCGAAGGCAAGCTACCTAAAGACAGTCCGCGCTACATGTCATGTGCCCTACCGGATACCCGACTTGGTCTCCTCAGTGTCTAGGGTGATCGGCACTCCCCTCTGCGCTCTGGCTCTCTCTTATGGGGTAGCCGGGGGCTCTATCGCGATTCGCGGAGCGTGTGAAATTTGCCTGGACTGCGATCCGGCTCTGGCGGCAGTCGAAGTCTAATGCGAACATGGATGCCATAATACGGTCAAGACTTGACTGCAGTACTGCGGAGGGGGAGAGAGCAACATGGACTAACATGGACAGAAACCCCTGGGCCCTAGAGGCCCGCAGTATGTATCTCTACAAGTCGTGAACGCGAGAGTGTGAGAAACGAGTGTGGGCAACCCATTGCACTCCTACATGACAAGCACTCTGCGCCACAATTTCCAGCCATGCTCTGTAAGCTGTGGGCGAAGGAAGTGCAGAGTGTGGTGTGCGCTGGGCGCCAATGCGTACCTATACGTCGCGAGCCCCATAAAGTGTCCTTGTTGCATGTTCTCATCAATATTCAATTCTCACCGGTGCTGGACGAGAGTCTCGCCTATGTGGGTGTATAGCGTTGTTCACCAATCAGACCCTCCCGATTCCCTGGGGCCCCTGGCTGGGCGGCTCCAGGCGTGATGCCCGTCCATGATGGCCCGCACTCACAAGACAGCAGCAAGCGTCTGTTATGTAGCGGGCATTTTGATCTCAGCAGGTGCAGGCTGGAAGATCTTCCGGAGTGCTCTGGCAATGATGGCTAGAATGTGTGCCCACAACAATAGCCCAGCAGCAGCAGAGAACTGGTCTTGATCTTTGGGCTGGGCTCTCACTATAGTATAAAGATGAGTCCAAGTGCCGGCTGCTAGACACTTCGTATTCAAGCACAATGAGTCGAGGGGAGACTCCCGGGCCTCACGTCGCCCCATCCATCGCACATAGGCAGGGACGCAGGAGCACCACGTACCTCACGCTGTCCAACGTGTATGCAGCTCGTTCGGTCGGCAGCCGGGCGAGGATTACTGGTGCTCCCAAGCGTGCGTCACTGTTCCTCGCATTCACACAGACGAATCTCTTCTCCTGGCCGCAGTCCCTCGGGCACGAACAAACGAACGAACTGCCGACTGACCGCACGCAGGAGCAGATATTTATCTCTGAAGAACCGCATCAGGTGAGGCACGCCGTGGCGACCGGATCCCTCAGAGACGCCACCCGCCACAAGCAGGCCTTAGACGACCCCCGTCCGTTTCGTCCTTTGTTTTGTAGTATCGCAAGCACGCGAAGCCAAAGCTTTCGAAGCAGTTGCCACCTGCGCCCGTGTTTGGGTGGTACGACGTGAGGCCGGTACGCCGCATCGGTACATCCAGCCCCGTGCTCAATCAGCCCAAGCATGGTATTCACGCATCGCGTCGCACTGCAGACCAGCAAAATGTGATGAAACAAGTTCGGGATAGCACAGTTACATACACTACACTTCGGGCACTGAATGGACCGCGCGGTGCGCTCGGCGCTGCGCGTCTGGTGTCTCCAAAGAATTGAGCGGGAAATTTGGGAAGCGCCATGCAAGCTCCTCGAAGAAAAGAAGAGAACGGGGTGAAAGATACTGGACAACACGACGGCAGTGTTGAAACAAGAGACGGATGGATGAAAGAACGAAAAAGGCGTAGAGATCCGTCATGCGAAGAACGCGTAGGGAAGATCCGAATCGAAAGAAAGAAAAGGAAAAAGGTCGGGGGTTCAAAGAAGTTGAGAGGCGAATGAAGAGAAAAAAGCGGCATAGTCATACAATTCTTTCGGGCCGGCTCATGGCGGGTAGTTTTGCGTTGACGTGGCGAGCAGGTTGGCAACAGAGGAGGATGGAGCAGCAGCAGCAAGGATCACGGCAAGCGAGCCATGCGGGAGGAGCGGCGGGGTATAGAAAGGCCGATCGCTTGTCTGCTTGTCGTTGCCGCTCCAGAGCGTGCTTGATCGTCCGCGTCCGCGTCGCCATCCGGAAGAAAACGCTTGAATCACCCAATGCGCTCGGCCTTGGTGGCGCGCGAGCCGGTTCCGGCGCGACCAGAGCCCTTGGTCTGCAGGTGTTGGTCCCTGCCGACCTGATCGCGGCTGTCGCTGTCGTCGGCGTCGTCAAAGGCGGTGTTGAGGTGATGCTTGGGGTTGTTGCTCTCGTCGTCCATGTTGAAGCTGATCCCAGCGGGCAGGCCTGCGGCCTGCAGCGCCTGCAGCGTCGGATTCTTGTCCGCCATTGCCTGCGCGGCCGCCTTGCCGGCACGCTCAGCCTCGGCGGCTGCCTCGGCGGGCGGGACGCCGCGCGCCTGTGCAGATTCGTACACGCGGCGCGCCTCTTCATACCGCAGTTTGTCTTGATCGGCTTTGGCGAGGAATGGCTGCTTCTCCGTGTCGCTCAGCTCGCGCCACTTGGCAGCGGCGAGGACGCTCTGCTTGGTCGTCTCGCCCTCCTTTCCGAAGACGTCGTCAGTCATCTTAGGATCTGAGCGGATGGCCTGCACGAATGCAAGAGCGGAAAAAGAGCCAAGCAATCGTCAGCATAGCACTTTCACGGTTGCAAAAAACGCAAAAGTAACGAGTGTGTCAACGCAACTCACCCTCAAGAAGAGGAAGTATGCCGATAACGGCTTCTTGGGTGCGTGCGGGTCCTTGAGGTTGCTCTTCCTGCTCTTGCCGGCCTTGCGCTGCTGCGTGCGGTACGCGTTTTCGAGCTTGATGTCCTCGGGGCTGAGGCTTTCCTTCCAGGCTTGCATATCCCTCTCCCATTGCGCCTTGAGCCTCAGGCTTTCCTTGTGGTACTTGGCCTTCTCCGAGTCAGGTAGCATGTTGTAGCGCTCGCCAGCGCCCTTGGCGACGTGTGCGACGTTGAGGCGCTCCTCAGGCTTCTGCGCTTTGAGCTTGGAAAGCTCCTCGGCAAAGAAGAGCTGCCACGCAGAGGGCGCTTGCTTGGGCTGCTTGAGGTGCGAACGAATGACCTTCTTCTGCTCTTTCTCGGGCTTTTTCCGGGCGTCGACTTTGCCCGCCTTGCCCTTGCCGCTCACGGCGAGAGCTGGGTTCATCGCAAGCATGCCGGGCATGCCGGCGGCTGCGGCGGCAACCGCAGCAGCGGCAGCGTTGACCTGAGCAGCGTTCTTGGCGTTGGCGGCGCCTTCCTTGATCTTCTTGGGCCTGCCTGTCTTGGCGCTGAGCTTCTTGGACGCGCCGGCGTTACCAACGTGGCCACCGGCCGCGGGGAGGGCGGATCCGTGCGGGAAACCTTGCACCTGCAAGCTGGCAGGTTGACCGTGGTGCTGGCCGGCTTGCTGACCGTGCTGCTGGCCGGGCTGCAGTTGGCCGTGTTGCATCACACCGGGCATCATGCCGGGTTGGGCGAAGTAGTGATGCTGACCGGGGCCAAAATGCATGTAGTGCTGACTGGCAGCGTTCGAGTCGTTGGCACCGCCCTGGCTGCCGGCCGCGGCAGCATGTCCAGCCGGGGCGCTGCCGGCAGCAGACGCGCTCTGGCTGCCGGTGCCCATGGAGGCCGGGTTGACCATTGTCGGCGGGAAGCCGTACATGCTGGGGTGATAGTACGCCATGCCAACGTGTCCGTGTGGGTAACCGGGGGGCAAGTTGTTGTAGCTGCTACCGCCGCTGTATCCTCCTTGATGATGAGCTGAAGGCAAAACGCGTTGGTTAGATATTTACTTCACTCGAAACACTTTCGGACACGCGACCTTGCTCACCAGAATCGTAGACACCTCCTACACCGTGCTGATCGTGTCCTTGAAGCTGTGCGTTGTTGTGAGCAGAATCGCCGCCGAACTGGCCGTGCTGCATGTGAGAGTAAGAGTTGGAATCTTCCATTTTACCCTGCATGGGCTCCAATCACCTCACGCGTGGGTTCTGCAAGAAGGACAAGACGCATTTGTCAGTTCGACGCGTCCCAAAGTCAAGAAGGACAAGTTCAAATCAACAACACGCGTCGATGTAGCATGTTTAAAAGGGGTTGCTGTCTCTCATGAGTCAAAGCGGATGAAGACACGCACAATGACACGCGTTCACCGACGTCGTTGACGGTCACGATGGCACGACGCGCTTTGCCGTGTCGCCTGCGACTCGCTGTACCCTACGAAAGGGGATAGATCCAATGCGCCAGACGGACACGACGGTGGCAGATGTCTAGCTATGTGGTTGCACTGACTGCGTGACGCGTCGGGGATGGAAGGGAGCGGTGGTACGGACGCGTGGTACTCACCAAGGCGATTGGGGATGGCGGCGGTGTGGTCTTGGTGGATGGGGAGGATGATCTTGTGTTAATCTAGGTCGCGGTTGTGACGCGACCTTGGGTGTCGTGGGTGGGACTGGGAAGAGCGAGCGAGAGCACAGCTTGCACTGGGCTGGGCTGGGATGGGATGGGTTGGTCGTACAGCTGTGTTTAGCTAGAAAGCTGCTCCGGTGCGATGGACGATGGGAAGGAGGCAGATGGGCAGACCAACAGACCCAGGCGGATGTGCTGCTGCTGCGGTGCTCTCTTGGTTTGCAAGCAGAAACGCCGTCAGTGTCGAAAAGCTTTCGAGGTGCCCTATCGCAAGCAGGGTGTGTGCGGGCGGGCAGCGCGAGAGAGAGGCGAAGGAGAGACAGTGACAGAAATGGGGATGAATTGAAACTGTGTGACTGTGTGGGCCTGGCTGACTGGCCGACTGGCGGACTGGCGTTGGTCCTGTTGACGGACAGTGCGTTTTGGAGTGTGCTGGGGTTTGCCGTTTGTGCTGCGGAGCTGTGGTTGTGGCGGTACTGGAGGAAGGAAAGGGGAAGATGGGCGATGGGAGCGACGGTCACAGTGCGCAAACAAGGCAGTTCACCCCTTTTCCTGCAGAGAGAGCGAGAGAGGGAGGACAAAATTTCATCTCGAGGGGCGAAGAGAGGCTCGCGGCGCTGTTATGCGTTTCCGTTGCTTTGCTGGCACCTGGTGCGCGCGGCGGGCATCCGATGGGCAGCATCATCCCCCAAGGCCCCAAGGCGGCCCCAGTGGCTCGCTCACAATAAGCACCACTGGCAGGGCGGTGCCGTGTGCCCGCCCATCTCCAGTTCCGCCCCCGGCCGGCCAGATCAAAACAAGCCAGTGAGGAGCGAGCCAGCCCTGTTTGTGTGCGCTCGCTCGCAAGCGACGGGTCTGGCTGGCGCGGCACACAATGTATGTACACACACTCGCACTTACGCATACATAGAAGCGCGGGTCACAAGAAAAAAAGAGTCACGGGATCCAACCTATGAGCCTCCGCCTGCGCACTGTGGCATGCGGGCAGAGACCTGCACAGGGGCCTTGAGGGGGAGAGGAACTCTGTGGTCCTGGTCACTCGGCCAGGTCCTGAGGTCACTTGGCGCGATGGTGGCTAAGTGGGTGGCACCTGGGGGCCTGGTGGGCCCAATCAGCAATGTGGGCTGGACATCCTTACCGAGTCCTCGCTTTCCGTGACTTGTCCGGGTCACCTACACAAGCACTTACTGGACGTCCAGTTGACGTCACGTGCCTTTGCGCAATAACTCAACCGGCGCGAGAACCAGAGAAACCGAGGAGCAGGGTAACAGAACTTCACGTGCAAATCGTCAGACTTTCTCATATATGTTCATGAGGATGCTCGTGGACTGGAAATAGAACATTTGGGACCGCCTTGACGGCCTTCAGGCCCGCGCGCTTGAGTGAATCGTCATGCTTGATGCATGAGATGAGTGGCAAACAGTCAATGTGTGTTCCAAGCTGCCTCAAGAGGCCAAGACGGCTGCCCCATACTGTCAAAAGCCCAACAATGCCCGCTATCCGGGTAGTGCACTATGCAGGGTCGCACACATGCTAGAATTTGACCTAAAAGCTGTGTGGGCCTCTCGCTAAAACCCCCGGAATACCGATGGCTTCTTTTCCCCTTCCCCGGGATCTTACCGGGCCCCTGAAAAGGCCCCGGAAAGTCTTCAGGTATAAGCCACTGGCCTAACCGCCCAAGGGGTTTCCGGGTGCAGGAAACTGCCCTCGAGACCCCCGGATTCGTGCTCTGGAGGCATAGTGCAAGCAGATCTAACAGATTCTCCATCTTAATAGCAAAACATTTGGTCATCATTTAAATTATTTCCGGCTAGTTTAGGATTCTGGGACGAGTATTTGCCAGGTAATCCAGGCTGACCCTAAAACACACACCTAAATCTTGGGCCCCTTATGTAGGCTCATGTAGCTGGGATAGCCATGTGGTTTCGTGCACAACGGAGTCAGGATTAGCGCACCATCACGCTTGTGAAGTTCGGGGATTTGTTCGGGTGTTTGAACTAACTTGTTGCCGCAGCGAGCCCGATTCTGAAGTCTGAATTTTTGGAGCTTGGGCTAAAACTCCGTAGACTGCGATTATGCATAGGATGCTTCTTGGAGTCAGAGAGAAAGAGTCTGCGAGTAGACAGGCTGGCACCAATGGTGCGCGCTATGCGATCTTGCGATCCACTTCAATCCGCAGTGACAGTTGCTTCCACTGTGGGATACAACGAAAGAAGTATGCGCCTGCCATATGTGACTAGGTGAACAGCACCACTGAAGTGCTAATAGCGCCAGCTGAGCTCGCTTTTATATACTGAGGGACTACAAAAACATTGATGCGTGTTAGCAGAAAGTAACCCCTCTCAGCAGGGCAGGCAGAAGGTGCAGCATGTGCTGTGCTTCCGTCCGGCAGAAGGACAAAGCTGAAACGCCAAAAAGGGAATGGTTGTTCATGACCGGTACTGTCGCAAGGACACGAAACGCTGCATTTTGCATACATGACATGCGGGAGCCGGTGCAATGCGGCACCAGTGCATACGGCATCTACGGTTGAGCATCACCCTTCCGAGGAAGCAGGAGGACTTGTGTTCAGCCATTCTTGCGGGAAATCGCGGATGCTGGCCGCACGGCGCCGCGCAAAACCCTTGCGTTTGTGCTCTCGCATCTCTTCGGAGCGCGAATAGAGCGGTACGTTCGCGAAGAATGGCTCGCGCTGAGCGCATGCGTAAGAGAGAGACCAGGGCATGACGAGTTCAGTCTTCAAGCATCCAGATCGAAAGAAAGCGCTAAGGGGGTTGAACGCAGGTCGGCCGGAACTCACGTTGGCGTGAAAAATCATTTTGTCAAGCACATCACTGCACCACTTCATGTTCTGCCGCTCGTTCGGGAATGTCTCGCAGCTGATTTTGAGTGAGCCCTGTCCCCTCTCTAGAACCTCCTCCTCGTCCGCCAAGGGGTACTTCTCGTGCTGTCGCCCATCTGCTGCCCGCCGCTGCTGTTCTTCGCCGATGCTCTTGTCCCCGAGCTGAACAACGCGCACATCCTTCGTCGGGTCCCACCGTTCGCCGGCGAGGAGCAAGAACTTGCGGCGCGCCTGCTTGCTCTGCAAGGCACCTGATGCGAACAGGGACGGAATGGAGACGTCGAGAACGACCTTGCGCGCGACAGGATGCGGCTCGCCTTGATAGTGCTGGAAGCGAAAGCGCAGGATGGAAGACTCGCTTGGCGGAGTGTACGGCTTTGTGAACTCTTATTGTAGTTGAAAAGCCGGAGGCAGGCAGTAGGTGTCAGGCAAGCGGAATCACGCGCAGAGCAAACCCGCTGTCATTGCAGCCTCACGCACCCTTCAGCTTTGGTACCTCCCACTCCCCCACCCGCGCATACTTGAGCATCTCCCTGTTGTATTTAAGGGCTTCATGTCCGAGCACAGGGACATCATCGAATTGGAATTTGCCCATGTTCTTGAGCGCGAGAGGGTCATCGGATTGCCGTGCCCTTCGCGGCTTGGCATGCGCGATAGAGGATGTCGAGAATGGTGTGCGCCGTCCAGAGAAAAGAGAAGACGGAGACGAGGCAAGTAACGGCGATGAGGGGGAGGAAGCAGGCGCAGATGCTCTCGAGGAGGAAGCAAGGCACAGCGAGCAGGCGGCGATACCGCTGTTGCTACCGCCGCGGGCGGCCAGCTGCCGCAGGGTGGTCGTAGAAGCCGCCATTACGTTTCCACTCCTACTCTGTCGATCGATCGCAGCTACTCGCAGGATCAACCAGGCTGTTGAGAGGTATCAGAGCCTGTACTTTCTTGGCCGTAGCGACGGAGACTGCTGTATTTCATGTTACAACGTGGACGATGGCGACAGGAAGAATGTTGGTTGGATGAACCAAAGCCCTTTTTCCCTCGTCGAGCACGAACCCTACTTTTAACCAGGCTGCCCTTTGTTGGCACTTAGTGGGCGGTGCGGAATCTGGTGGTGTAACATTCAGCTTCGAACAGTGCAAACGAGCAACAGCATTTACACAAAAATAGCAAGTGACACGAAGCAAGGGAATAGGCATCTGATGCCAACTTCACACTCTCCTTGTTTACAAGAGGAAGCGTTTCTTTTCTATTCTTTCTTTGTGGATACAATAATAACTTTTCCAACTTATTGCTTCGAAATTCAACCTCCTTCTCTCGACCTGATATCCTCAAAAGTAGTGAGGACAGTTAGCAGGAACAGGGCCGAAGCGCAATAGCCCTATCTATAACATGGTGCATGGCGGGCTAGCGGCGTCAGGCGCGTGGCGAGGACAGACACCATATAGGAGAGAAGACAACTGGCAGATTTGCATTAAGGTCCCGCCCTCAGTGCGGCCGTACCGCATACCGTCCTTTCCACTGTACTGCTTTCTCACAGCCATGGCGAAACAAAAAATGTGCTGTGCATGTCAAAAATGGATGCTGATTGGTGAAAGTTGAACCCGTTCTGTGTTTGCTATACATGCCGCTGCGGCCGAACGCTTCGACAGCCGCCCCTGGCGACGACGGGCAGCTGACTGTTGATGCAAAACGGATGTCGGATGGGCTCCCCGCGAGGAAGCTTACCTCTCCAATTGCTTCCAATTGGGCCATGATCGAGTCCTGGCGGCGAACAAAATCTGACATCACCAGCATGCTATCCGCACATGCCAAGCAACCGGGCAGATGCTCAGTTCTACTTTGCTGAAGGGGCTGGCAGCGCACTAGCGCCCTTGGCCCTAAATCAAGTCGATCCCACTCAAGGGGCATTTGGGAGAGGGCATTGGAAGACGTCATTGGTCGCGAAGAATTGACAGATAAATATGCGTTGTTGATAATGGGTACGATAGGGAGAAGTTGTAGAGGAAATGGGATGAGAATGAATAATACGAGCGCATGCGAATCACCTGTGAAGCATACGCCGTAGTGCTTCAGAAGAAGCTGAACCGGCTGGACGGATGCCGCGCAAACTGAGGCCAAGACGGTATAAAAACAGGGGGCAAGGCGTGATCTATACCCAAACGCAACCAGCTTGCCATCAGAGCCTTCCTAAAGCGAAAGCTTTTCAGGGCCCGTTGTGAACGATTGCAAATGTTTCGTAACTGAGTGTAATGCTTGCGATCCGAGTGAAGCCTGGCCTTGATGGTGGTGGTTGATGCCGCCCGCGTAGGTCATATGTCTAGGGATAACCTTTTTCCCGCGAATCGGCTCACAATGGCCCTGGAGGCCCAACTTCTAGGATGGCGCCGCTTTCTTACCGAACGTTTTGGGAGTCCTTGAAGCGGATCCAATGTTCATGAAAATGCGTCAAAGCGCTGGATGAATCAATAGCGCTCTTTGAACGCTATCCAATGGTGTAGTCAGCATTGACCGATCACCTGCCATCTTCCATGCGCCACCTGCTCGGACCTCCAGCTCGGCCATCTCCTAGCTTCGCGTGAGGTGGAGCGCATGTATAGCCAGCCGTCCACATCATGTGATTCTGAAACATTTGGTGCAGTTTTCGCTGTCAAAAACTCCAGGGTTGCCCCCTCAATCGTGTAAATCTAATTAATTGTATTCGTTCAGAACATGCGCTGCCCACATCTGCTTGAAGGGGGCACAGCTACAGTGCCTGATAGCTGATCGAACTCCCACGGGACGCGGGACGCGTCTTTCTCGGCTCATACGTTTGATGAGGATAACATGCAACATTTTTACCCTTAGTAGAGAAGTCAGGAGAAAGGGCCAAAATAAGTCCGTGCCTGGTCGCTGCCGTCAAAATGTCGTAAGGGGGGGCCGGCAGGATGGGACCGCTGGGATGTGGGACAATCGTACATAGTTGCATCCGCTTACAAAGTGGATGAACATTACGTAAGTGCACACAATTTTTTTCCCCCTTGGCGACGTTTTCGATGACACGCGATGAACTACCCATGTGCGTTGGTAGTGTGGCAGCTGCTCTCTCTGGTCGCTGGTGCGCTGCCTCGCATGCAAGCTACATAGAATATTTTTGGCAACCAAGACGAAGGAGATCCGGTGGACACTCTGACTGGGGCCGCCGTGAGAGGAGGAAGCGGGAATTCCAGCACACGGATCCTGCTACAGTCTAGAGCTGGCAAATCTTGCCCACCACGGGTCGTCGTGGGGATGATGTCGACGATCACATTCATGCTGTCGATATCTATTGCATTTGTAAGGGAGAAAAGCACCTCATCCACCTTCCTGTTTAGACAGCGTATGTTGCCGAAAATTGCCCTGCTTGCCACGCGGAAACAGCCGTCCAGCTCGATTCTTCCATTGAATGCGCTGCACGAGGTCAATCAGCCAGCAACATCTCACACCAGACCTCACAGACATTCAGCAGTAGGCACGATGATCCCTCGGAATCATATCTGAGAAAGCTGTGCCATCGTTCGATCGGCGCTCAGAGTGGTATCGAGTCTCCTCGAAACACCTGGAAGGCGGTGGTACTCTTGTTCTGCTTCACCGTCTCCACCAATCACCGGAGTATCTAATATTAACCGAAGACACCTCCGACATTTCGGGCGGTAGACTGAGCATCGTGCAGATAGACACTGCAAGTATCTTATTGGAGCATCTAGGTATAAGACTAGCATGCCTCGCAACACTTTCAATTCACGGGCAACAGCCACTTTCTACGGCCAAGGCAGCTCTTTCAACGCCAGTTCGTCTCATCCAGGATCGACAAGCTCCAAGCCCGTCGTAGTGTCGGAGGACAGTCAAACGGAGACTGGCGATGATGAAGATGAAGTTGCTATTACCGGGACGCGCCAACTGGGTAGTCCTACGAAACAACAAAAATCATCACATTATAAAGACTCGTCCAGCGAGCTGTCATCTGATGAAGACGATGCAGCTCTTCAGCCATCCTCGTCAACCCGCAAAGGTAAGAAGAAAGCTACGGAGAAGAGCCCAAGGAAGCGGAGATCAAAGTTCCATGCAAGTACAGCCTCCGATTCGAGTGATGAGGAAGGAAGCGACGATGATGACGAGGACGAGGCGATCCGCTTGGCGATCAACGAGGCCGGTGACGGCGACTCGCTACTCGGCTCCGAAAGTCAAAACGAGCTCAGCCAAGACGACGCAGACAGCGACTCTCAGGAAGAGCTGCACGCCCACGCGTATGCCAACGCTCAGCGTGCAGCTGGCCTCCTGGGGAAAGAGGACAACTCGGATAGCGACTCCGACGGCATCCTAGCCGAGGAGGAGGCGCGCATCATCGCAGACGAGGAAGCTCGCCAACAGCGAAAGAAGCGCAGGTCAGCCGATAAGCGCCGCTTCTGCAGGCATCTCTATACAGGAGACGACACCGACAGCGGCGGCGATGGCGATGGCGATGCGAGCAGTCGACACTTCAGCCAGGTTGAGGATGCAGAGCGTAACACCGATAGTCTACGTGGACAGCCTACTTCCGTCTCACCGTCCACCCTTCGTGCTCTCGGACTCAGTAGTCTGGGATATGGCGACGTGCTTTTTGAGCAGCAAACAGACTTTCACACCGACTCAGAGCCCTCCTTCACCGATTTCTTCAACGGCGAGGCGTCCAGCTCTTCCGGTTCAGACTCTGAATCAGGCGCAGGGACCGACAGCGAGGGTACAGATTCAGACAATGAGAGTGACCTCGATGCGCTTACGACTGACGACGACACGGACTCGAATCTCAGCGCACTCGAAGCGGCCATTCTAGCCGGAGAGCCGCTGGTCTTTGGCCGCGCAAACCTTGATGGAAGCGCCAATCCAGATTCCTCCCTCACCGGTCTTGTCGAGGGCTTGCTGGCAGGCGCAGATGCCAACACGGCCCATGCCATCCATGGTGGCGTCGGTAACCGGGACACGCCAGATGATGATGATCAATTCAACAGCGCCGAGAATGTTGCGGCGCGCGCGCTGGCCGCCGAGGAGGCGAGACGATGCGCCGAGATGCCATTGCTCGTCATTGAAGACCTGGACGGCCGGCTGATTTATGCACGGGCCGGGAACGGGGAGGCGGTCTTTGGCAGCGATGGAGAGTTCGAGTACATCGGTGGAGAAGAGGAGACGGAATCGGACGAGGATGACCCGTACGAGTATTGGAGCGACATTGACGAGGGGTTGCTTGCCGCTCTGGGTCCCGGCGCTGATGCCGTTATGAGTGGAGGCGGCAATCATGGAGCTGATCCTAGCGCTAAAGCGCTCGGTAAGAGGCGTGCACGAGACGTAGAGGAAACCGAAGACGACGGCGAGACTACGGACGAGCTGCCAGAGGATGATCTGCAATTCAGCAGATTGCTCGTCGGCTCCATCGAGCCGCATGGCGGGCGCCAATCGCGCAGGCGCCGAGCGCTTGCCCTCAAGAGTCGCAAGCTGTCTCCTGCAAATTTCAACACGACGTCCAAGGGCACTCATGCATCCGCGGCTACGGCTGCGAAGCTGGCAAGCTCAAGCCACAGCCGAGCTGACAGCGGTACCTTGTCGATATCGGATGTCGCATCCGACTCGGCGCCCATCACTCTGCCTGAAGAGATGCAAGTGTCTGCTAACGACGCGAAGGATTCCGTCGCTTCTGCATCCAACGGCCAGAAGGCATTACAGGATGCACTGCAACAAGCTGCACACGCGACGGCTGTAGCTGCAGCTACAGAGGGGCAGAGGGATGCGGCTGGCTCAAGCTCAGGGCTGGCAAAGGAAGTGGTGACGGCATGCATTGCCCCGGCGACGCCTGTAGCCAAGCCACTCATGGGGAGCTTCGTGCCTTCGTCCAATGCCAAACATCGTGCTGTCATCGATGGCCAGCGGCCGGTTCCTTCGCCGTTCTCGTTGCACAATCGTGTGCGCAACAAGGGACTCGGTTTGCAAGGGAAGCGAAAGAGGGGAAGAGATGTGAGCGCATTCAGATACTACTGTCGCCACACTTAATACTGATCGAGAATTTCCTCACCTCGCAGGCCGGCTTGGATCCGTCGCAAAAACGCCAGCGCCGTTTCTCTATCGACGACATCATCGGGCGACCACTTGTCGAGGCGGAAAGCGCACAGGGATACATGTCTACGCCGGAGGACAATGGTGAAGATATTCAGCTGGTCGATCTGGACGATGTGGTCGATGCCTCGATGCTGTGGCGCCCCGGTCCAGGCGCTGCGTCACCTGATATCGAAAGTAACGAAGATGCAGACAAGAAGGGGCGCAAGAGGCAGCTCGGATTCAACGTGAACGCTTTTGCGCGATGGAACAAAGTCCCCATGCAAAGTTTCCGTGACGGGCAACAGCAGCAGCAGCAGCAACCGCAGGAAAGTGCATCGTCTATGCAATTCGGCAACTCACGCTTTGCTCGCGAGCTGCGAAAAGGCTTGGATCGAGGCCCGCGACAGAGAACAGACTCTTCTCCCTTTCGCGGCCGTGCTGCCGAACGCGCTCGGCTGGGTACTGACCGCGCGGGGATGGACGCAATGCTCACACCCACCTCGCTCACAGGACCAGCAAATGGCATCTTGGCGATCAGCCCAGTCCTCTTCCCTCAGAGCGATGCCCAGCCACAATTCGAAGGAAACTCACATGGCCTTTCATCGGGGTCTTTACAGGCGACCGCGCTCGCCGAAGTGCCGCCGTTCGATCTACAGTCGGATGGGTGTCGCAAGATCACACGGAGAGAAAAGCGCGAGAAGAAAGCGCGGAAGACTGCTCTGCGCATAGCACTGCAGGCAGGCGAAGCTCCGACCTCCGCTTTCGAGCGGTCAAATTCGCCGAGCCTTCAACAGCATCGCAGCGCATCCGTGCCGGCCTCGCCTGGTGTGTTCACGGGGACCATGCCACAATTTGCGGTCTCTGCGCCATCGCCACTCAGCCTGTCCGCAATTTCACCTGGCGCCACTGGTCGGGAAGTGCCGCGCAGCCCGCTGGCCAATCGATCACGGTCTCCTTCGGCGGACAAGGGCAAGCAGACATTGAACCTTTCACTTCCGGGCCTGGAGGCCAATGACAACGGCAGCAATGACCAGAGCGATAAGGGCAACCCTACGGGCCTAGATCCCTCTGCGGTGTCCGCGCGAGCCCCGCCTACGTCCCTGCCCCCGTCGAGTGCGATCCGTGCGCCTCTGTACTCTCCCCTGTTCGGAGGCATCGCACCGCCTGCTGGACTCATCGATGACTTGGACGAGCAGCCGGTAGAGACGCTCATGATCTAGCGTCCTATACATAATAATCTCCTACGCAGTAGACATGGTTGCGACACATCAGCTTTATCTGAAAGCCCAGCTGTAACCTACACGTTGATTGCCATTGCACAACGCTTAAAAAAAAGAAAGTGAGCAGCGATACTACATTCATTGCCTGCTGAGCCAGCGAGTGGCGAGTCTGTCGTGCTTGATAAGGGGCAGCACATTACGCTTGACGTCTTCGTTGTGTTTGTGCAGCCAGCCGACTTCGTCTTTCGACAGCAGGCTAAAGTCGACTAGACGGCGATCGACTGTGCACGCAAATCAAATGACATTCAGTCTTCAGATATGCGGCGATTCCAGGAGATTGGCAGTACTCACTCGGCACCTGCGTGATCCTCTCGAAGCCGTACCACTTTGTCCCTCCAAAGTTGCGCCTCGTGTCGACCTCCTTAACGCAGATGATGCTCTCCGTGCGGATACCGTAGTGGCCTTCTTCGTAGAAGCCAGGCTCGTTGCTGAGCATCATACCCGGCTGCAAAGCAACGGGGACCTTGCTGCCACCGGAGCTGGTGGAGAAGCCATGCGGACCCTCGTGGACGCCGAGGTAGGCGCCGATGCCGTGTCCGGTACCATGCGAGTAGTTCATGCCGTCCTGCCAGAGCGCCTTGCGTGCGAGCACGTCGAGCATCGCGCCCGTGCTACCCGCGGGAAAGACAGCGCGGTCGATGGCAATGTGGCCCTGCAGGACGCGCGTAAAGGCGCGCGTATGCTCCTTCGACGGCCGCTGCCCAAAAAATACGGTGCGTGTCGTGTCGATCGTGCCGTCCAGGTATTGCGCGCCGTAGTCACATAGGTACGGCGTGGTGGTATTGATGACATCCGAACCGGTCGCGGGTGTCTCGTAGTGCGGCAGTGCGGCATTCTGGCCCGTTGCGCTGAAAGGGATCGAGGAAAGCTAGATAAGTAAACACGTTGCACATTTCATACCGCATGAAACCCATTCCGGACTGAACCGACAGCTCACCTGATCGGCTCGTACGATTCACCAGCATAGTACTTAAGCGGCTGCCTCTCTTTGTCGAGCCTGACGGCGGCGGTCCACTCGTCGACCTGCTTGCCGCGGCAGCGAATATCGTGATCGAGGTGCGCAGCCCAAATACACCAAGCGGCTCCGTCGCGCAGGTATGCATTGCGGAAACCCTGGATCTCGACGTCGTTCTTGACCGCCTTGGCCATCGCGCTGGGTGACTGCGGGCCGAGAACGCACATGTTCTCCTCGCCGCCTGCAAAGGCTTCGACAATGGCCCAGCTGACTTTTTCCGTCGCGACCAGTATGTTGTCACCGATGGCGCTGATGGAGATGGTGGTGGTGGTGGCGGAAGTGCTTGCTGAAAGGGAGCTCCAGATGGCGTCGTGCTCGAGGATGCGTACGCCGAGGGAACTGATGTAGTGGTACACATCGCTTCCATGCGGGACAAGGTCGGAGGAGATGTAGAGCGTTGTGAACGGATGCTGCTCACCAGGTAGAGAAGTGATCGTGAGATAAGCGGGGAAGACGGGGTTGTTTGGGATGGCATCGCCGCGCAGGTTGAGTGTCCATGCGACCTCGTCCAGCGCGGAGATCAAGTAGGTGATGCCACGCTGGTCCGCGGCCGGCTGCGCCTGGTTCCATTTGTGCAGATCAGCGAGCTTTTCGCTGGCGTGCTTGCCGCTGAACTTGAGCGGGTGCTCGTGGACAGGCACAAGTTTGGGCTCTGGCCGATCGGGCCAGGCTGCGTCAACAAGGTTGCGCGTCGGCAGGCTGACCTCCGCACCGGCCTGCTTCAGCGCCGCGATGAGCGCTTTGGCAGGCTTGTATGAGATGGTCTTGGCGTCGAAGCCGACCTTATCGCCGGGCTTGACGGCCTTGAGGAGGAAGGCATCCCAGTTGTCCGTGCCGCTCATGCCGACCTTGTGCAGGGTCCAGTTGCAGTCAAGCTGCTGCTCGGCCTGCACCCAGTACCTGCCGTCCGCAAAGGCGTGTGCCTCGTCCGTGCCGACGATCGCCGTGCCAGCTGAGGCGGTGAAGCCGGTGATGAAGGCGCGGCGCTGATCGGGCGGCGCGGTGTACTCGGACGCATGCTCGTCATCGCTGGAGACAATGTACCATGCCAGGCCGCCCTCCTTGTGCATCTCATCGCGCAGCACGCTGAGCTGCTTCGTCGTCGGTGTCGGGGCAAAGCGGCCGCGTGCATCGCCACAAGGGCGTACAGCAGACGCCTTCTCATCTTGCCTGGCGTCATCGACGTGGCCGACGAGCGTCGAGGCACTCTGCATGGATGAGGCGTCAGACGCCACGTCCAGCTTAGACAAGCGGCGAAGAAACGAGAAGCAGGACATCCTGGGCGGTTCCAGTATTCAGTGTGTTGCAGATGAGAAGGGACCTGCCGAGACGGGCGCTGTGATGGATAGGGGAGATCAGAAAACAGATGGGAGCTGGATGAAATTGCGCCACGCAACACGGCGTGCCCTTGGTCTTTATGCCGTGAAGCGACACGCGTGAGCAGGTACAAGGCTGTGTATCTGGTACGTATCACTGAACGCAATACACAATCCACATGGCCTGCAACAGCTACGCCCATCGAGCCTGCTATGCACATGAATCGCCAGGTTGGTACACTCTTTTAGCTTATCTGTCCTAGGCAACTGTGGAGTAAACCTAAGCGCGCTGTTTGTTGACTGGTATCATTCGTACACGCGCACTGCAACAAGGGCAGCGCGTGACGACCCGGCGTTCCGCTCTCTGCCTGCCGCCTGCGGTGCTGCACGGACCACCATCCACCCCGCCGGCAAGAGAGAGAGAGAGAGAGAGAGAGAGGCGAGTCGACAGCCATAACCGAGTAAAGTCGTTTGATGCGACTGCGGGGAGAAGTGGACGGATGGGCACAGGAGGGGAGACACTCTTACACCGGCAGCGCGAATAGCTAGATTCACACGAGTCAGGGCACCCGTACACGTGCATGTAAAATCTAGCTATCATACACTCGGTCAAACACCGAAGCCCCCCTACAACCTGGTCAAGGCCCCTCGCGTATTTTTGGATCCAGTAGCAAGCACACACTGGATAGCATCCTGTCTCGCGAGCCCCTCGAGACCTAGAACAGCGATTCGCATCTAAGCACCCGCCGAGATGTCCTACCCGGGCCAAGGTTACCATCACGGTCATCACCCCGGAGGCGGAAGCTATGGAGGCGGCTACGGCGGCTCCCCTCCTCAGCAACAGTATGGCGGCGGCGGATATGGGCCACCACCACCGCAAGCGTATGGCGGCTACGGCCCGCCTCCTGGGCAGTACTACCCCCCGCCCAGTGGCGGCCCCAGTAATGGCCTCGGAGGAGGCTTTGCTGCTGGCCCGCCCCAGCATATGTTCTCTGGAGGCCCGCCGATGGGGTACGGCCGTCCCGAGTGAGTTTGCTCCCAGAATGTCCACGCTTGAGACCGGATGAAGTCGCTCATCCCTCTCGAGCCTCTTCCCTCCCTGTTCTGCCATCGCGCAGAGGCCCCGTCGGTCCGTCCGAGTACCAAAACGGCCCGGTGAGGTACGAACGTCCGACGAACATGACGATGGACAATGGCATGCACTACGAGTACTCTGCCATGAATGGAAAGCGGAAAGCGCTTCTGATCGGCATCAACTATGTCGGCACCAGCTCGGCGCTGCGAGGATGCTGGAACGACGTTGATAACATGAAGCAGTTCATCATACAGCGCGCCGGGTACAAGCCCGAGGACATGGTCATACTTTCAGATCGCGAGCAGGATCCGCGCTCCATCCCCACGAGGGCAAACATGACCGCCGCGATGCAGTGGCTCGTCCGAGGCGCACAGCCGGGCGACGCACTATTCTTGTGAGTGCACGTGCATCGCGTGCGACCCTCTTCGCTTGCCCGCCGCTGCTTGCCCGCTGACATTTCTTGGTTCACTTACCCTACGTCAGCCACTACTCTGGTATGTTAGGGACAGACGCAAGTGTGAGGAGCGCACGCATTCAGGCTGACTTTCTCCTACCTGCCTCGGGTCTGCCTAGGGCACGGCGGCCAGGCGAAAGCGACGCAAGGCGATGAGGCGGATGGAATGTGAGCGTCCTTGAACCGCGCAAGGCGCCACATCGCAACCTCATGCTGATTCCCTTTCGATGTGCAGGAACGAGACGATTATCCCTCTTGACTATGAGCAAGTAGGACAGATGGAGGACGACGAGCTGCACGAGCTGCTTGTGCGACCATTGCCCATTGGGTGCCGTCTGACCGGTGAGTATCTGTCAGTAGCGAGAGGCATTTGGAGTCGGCGATGCTGACACTCCTACTGCCTTGCTGCCCCCCCCCCTTGCGCTTAGCCCTCTTCGATAGCTGTCACTCTGGAACAGGTGAGAAGCAAGCTTGACATGACGCTCTGCCCCTGATTGTCGAAGCGTGGACATGGCTGACGCTTGATCTCGGTTCTTGTTCGTCGGAACAGCGCTGGACCTGCCTTATGTATACGCGACGAGCGGCAAGATCAAGGAGCCGAACGTGTTCACCGACGTCGGCAAGGGTATCCTCGGTGCTGCGATGGAATACGCACGCGGCGACGTGATGGGGATGGCCAAGGGCCTCTTCTCGACCTTCAATACGGCGCGCAACACCAACTCGGCCGAGGATATCACCAAGCAGACCAAGTCGTCTGGCGCAGACGTCGTCATGCTCTCCGGGTGCAAGGACAGCCAGACCTCCGCCGACACCGTCGAGGCGCACAAGGCGACCGGCGCCATGAGCTGGGCGTTCATCAAAGTGCTCACAACCTACCCGCAGCTTACGTACCTCCAGCTGCTCAACTGCACCCGAGACGAGCTCGCAGCCAAGTACTCGCAGAAACCTCAAATGAGCAGTTCGCATCCGTTGGGTGAGTGCGTCCGCTCAGTCAAGGCACAATAGCTTTGCTTTGCTACGGCCGGGGAAACGATCTGACAATGCACTCCTTCTATTGGCAGATCTGAACCTTTTGTTTGTAATTTGAAGCTTGCGAACATCTCATTCGTGCAAATGGAACACGCGGCTGCACGCGTGCTGCTGCTCGCTGCCAGCCACTAAGGTTTGCAGCTACCTCGCTTTTGAACGTTGACATTGCTTGATCTGTTGCTTGTCCAAAGGATGCTAGCAGAGACTACAATACACAATGGGGTAGGCGAGAACCTTTCGGGAGATGATGCTGCCTGCCACATATCGGGCTGACGACACGACGAGGCGCCCTGCTCAGTACGACATGGACTTCTCGAGAATTCGCGAAATGTGCTCGGCGCCATCGTCCGGTGCTTGTGCGATTCCCGGCGCCAAGACGGTGACTCTCTGCAGAGGGATGACATGTACGAGTCAGTGCTGGCGACTACCAGCAAGCGTCGCCACTCGCATCGGGAAGCAAGTGCCCAGTGGCGACGCGGCGCGGATGCTCACCTTTTGCGGCAACGTGCCCTGTACGAGATCCGGGATGTGTTCGCTCTTGTACCCAATCTCTGCCAGCCCGCGCGGGACGCCGAGGCGCGCAAGGAACTCGGCGAGGCGGTCGTACACGACCTTGCCCACCTCGCTGTCCGGCAGGCGCTGCACGGCGCTGTCCTCGCTGATGGCGTCGTGGCCTTTGAAGATCGCTGCGATCTCCCGGTGCCGGTCCGGGCTCGACGGCGCGGTGAACTCGAACACGGCGGGGATTGTCAGAGCGACGCTGATCCCGTGTGGGACGATGGGGTGTGTGACTTCGTAGCCAGGGTGTTGGTACTTGGCGAATCTGTGCGCCGAAGCGAAGGAGATGAAGAGAAAATGGAGAACAAGAACAGTGAGAGCGCGCTGTGAGGAAAACAACAATGAAGAAGGGAACGCAAACGCCGAGCCACGGCGAAACGCACTTCTTATTCAACCCGGAGATTGGGTAGCTCATCCCGTGGCAAAGATGTACGCCGGCATTTCCGAACCCGATACCGGCAAACGTGGCCGCGAGGAGCATCTGCCCGCGCGCCTCGACGTCGGTGCGGTCCTTAGCGATGCGTGGCAAGTACTTGACTACCTGCTTCAGCGCCCAGAGCGAGAAGACGTCTGAGATGGGATTCGAGCCTTGGTACGAGGGGCGCAGGATCGGGTTTGATGGGCGCGGTACACGTTCGTTGTATCTGCAGGAGAGAGAGGCAGGGCGAGTGATTGACATTGCGTCAGCGACATAACTCGATTTGGAATGTGTGCCTCATCATCACGCACGGCAAAGCAGTGTACGACTCGAGGCTGTGACCGAGTACGTCGAGACCAGCGCTGATGTGCACCGCAGTGGGGCACGTCTCGGTGTTGAGCGGGTCAACAATCCCGAGAAGCGGCCGAAGCGCGCGGCTGGCGATGCCCGTTTTCGCCTGCAAGCTAGCGATGTCGGTGATGGCCGTTCCGGTCGTTTCGGACCCGGTACCGGCGGTGGTCGGCACGGCGATTAAAGGCCGAAGCACCTTGTCAATCGGCTGGCCTTTGCCGATCGGCGCGTTGATAAAGTCGAGCAGGTCGGCTTGCGGGTAGCACGTAAACAGGTTGGCCACCTTGCACGTGTCCATCACGCTGCCACCTCCAACGGCGAGGACTGCAGACCAGCAAAGCGAAGATGAATTCCATCGCCGCCGGAATCTCTAGGGAAAAGGATGGGAATGGAAGTTACTCACAATGGCTGAAATCTTCCTTGCGTGCATAGTCGATCGCCTCATACCAGGAAAGGTCGTTTGGCTCCACGCGGACCTTGTCGTAAATCTCATACCTGACAGCAGCGCGCTCGAGCGATTCAATTGCCTGCTTCATTGGCGTCAGATTTCGCACGGTTGAGTCGGTGAAGACGCCAACTTTGGTCGCGCCGAGGTTTTTGAAGTCCATGCCGACCTCCTGCGTGACACCCTCGCCGTAGCGGATATTGCTCGCGGCTAGCTCGAACGCGTACTCCTTTTGCAACGTATGGTCCACCGGAGTGGCGTAGTGCCTGCCGGCGCTTGGGGAGACATTGTGCTTGCCGATCATGTTGAGGCCCGCGCGCGCGATCGCAGCAACGTTCGCTGGGTTGCGCATGGAGGCGCAGCCGTGACAGGGGCAGGCGGGGTTATGAGCATGGCGCATCACATTAACTACACGTAGTCAGAAGTTCCAAAAGGGAAGGCGTGTGATGCATGCAGAGAGCGAGCGAGGTCGTCAGTCAGTCGGCATTTGATGTGAATTCGATTGACCGTGTGTCGCTTGGCACTTACAGATGGAGGAGCGAGTGGCTGCTTTGGACATGTTGGGCAAAGGAAATGTGGTGGTGCGCAATGGTCACAAGGGCAAGTCCTTCAATCAAAGTGGCGCCGTCTGGAATTCTGAAAGATGATCGAGGCACCTGAAGGGATCCGGGGTAAGGAGGAAACTTGCTTGCTTCCCCGCTGGTCGTCTAACATCGAGGCTGGAGGTGGAGAGAGGAGGGACGTAAGCATCCTTTCCCCACAGTCTGCCGCAACGGATGACGACGGGAGGGGGAGAGACTTTCTTTCTTTTTTCAAAAGAAAGAACCCTTCCGTTATTGCCGCCCCCCCCCCGCGTGCGGGTGGGCGCGCCCAGCCAACTCTGAGCTCGTACGCAGTACATGCGTTCTGCATATAAAGGTCACCCAACAATTCCTGGATGTTCCCGATCAAGATCTGGCATAAATGGATTAGGGCATCGTACAATGACTTGGTTCACAGGCCAGCTACGTCGCCCCCACCGGAGGAGGAACCCAAGCATCGACTGCGCGCTGGCTCGCGCACAGCCAGTACGGACCCCAGCCCGCGAGGTAGGCTGCAGACCGTAAACCTTGCCCACCTTCAGTTCCTCACATCATATCACTCGCCGTTCACATATTTGTCGCATCTTTTCTCTGCGCCTTTACAGCCGATACATATTATGGAAGGGTAACCGCAACAGAATTTCGAGATGCAGACACTGACCAACTCTTCTCCTATCGCTTTGCCAGTGTGTCATACGCGTCTTCCCCTCCCCCGCGCTGAAGGAGCGACTCTGGAAGACTGAGCCTCGGAAACCGACTTTCCAGCTCCCCATCCTCTGACCAGATGTTCCGACGACGGTATCTTTTCCAATTCCATAAAAAACTCCGACTTCTCATATCAGGGTTCGGACTCCAAAACCACGCATTCCGATTCTATGCGGATGGAATGACGTATGAACGTTTCCACCACGAGGTTCACAGCTAAACTCCTACGGACTTGCAGATGCCCTGGGTCCTGACGCACTGCGCACATTACCACCGTTCATGACAGAGGTCTGCTTGTATGTAAACATATGAATACCGGCGAAGGACGCGCCTGTGCTAATCGAAGGCTGACCGGTGGTGTTCTGCATCCGTGCATCGCGTGCTCCTGCCCCTGCACCAGGGCGTGGACAAGCGCCTGCAGGATCTAACGCTTTATCTGCTAATGTGGCGTGCGTACATCACATCTGCTGGTACTCTCCACCACTCCTCAAGTCGAAGCTGGCAACTCAAAAGAAAGTGTCTGCTGCAATGCGGCTCCGCGCTCGTCGATTCCCTTGAAGACCCTTCCGAGCTGATTGCGCACGTCGGGACGGTAAATGGCGGCCCATTGTCTTCGTTCCGGTCTCTTATCTTCTGAACGGTTTCGGATACGTTGCACAGGAGGAGCATTTTGATGGGGACCCTGGCGGCACGGCGGGCCATTTGTGCGCTCGACGAGAACGCGGTCTGCGCGCGTGGAGGGACGGTAGCAAATAGGACAGGAGCCTTACCAGTTATTCTTTACTCTGACCCCTTGCTCTTGACACGCCCGAATTGGGTTCTGCGACCAACGTCTGGTGCTCGAATGGACCGTCGATAACACTAGGACTTTCAGCAGTGGTTCCATACCCCTCTGGTGTGTATTTGATTCCTGCGCCACCAGTTACTACCCTTTTCGAAAAGACCTATTGAACTCGCTACTTCTCAGAGGCTCGTCCGCCTGCGCACTTTCATGCCATGAGTGCCCAGACCGTACGCACTACACATACACCCACTTCATTGGTTCCCGCTTCTTACCTACCTTGCTTCTGTTTAGATTGTCAGTTGATGCACGACTACGCCTTCTCAAATATCATTACCACCATGTCCGCCGCGTCTTTCTGCAATTCAACGCCACTGCTCTGCTTCCGAATCACGTCCACGAGATCGGCAATGCCCGACTGGACGAGCTCTGCGTGCTGCTTCTACCCCAATCGATGGAGAGGGAGCGCAAGCGAGGGAATATCGCAGCTCTGCATAATGTGCCGGCAGAGAACTTTGTTCATGTCATACCGCTCATGCCGATGCATATTTTCCATGCCGCGTTCGATGGAAAGGAGGGAAATAGCTTCTTTTCGCAGCGGAGATCCGAAAAGGTTATTGAAGGCGGTCTCGAGCAGTGGTGCTAAAAGGATGACATTTAATACATCATGTGAGCTCCCTGGAATTGGCCACTCTCACTGACGATGGTGGTGGTGCTCACATCTCGCAAATCCCGTGCCGAATAGAGGTGAAACGCGCGATGAAGTGAGTCAAGCCCGGTTTTGCGCTGGTCCGCTTGCAATAAGACATGGCTGACACGCTGCAACCCGCGCATTGCGATCCAGGAGAAAGTCTATCGCGTCATGAATGCGCCTCGGGGCCCTGACCTGCACGCCGAACGTCGTCGCCAACTTACAACTTATTACGTGCATTCCTATCTACTAACCACTCCGCCAGTTCGAGCCTGGTAACATGGCAAGCAGACTGGCCTTGGGAGGGGTGACTGTTCTCAGTTACTCCTACTTGCTGACGCACGCATATCTGCTGCAGCCCAAGGAGGCGACGGAGGCGCTTACAGCCACGTATCCGCCCTTGCACCAGTCGCAGACGTCGCAACCGTGCGCAAGCGATCCGACCAAATCATGGCCAATAGCCAGATATATGCTCCCCAGAGAATGCTGCTGATAGACCTACTCCGTGGATCCTCCCCCCCCCCCCGGCCACCAACAAGGAAAAACAGCGTCAACACCACAGCGGAGCCCGGGACAACGGCTCATCCTACACTATCGCATCGACTCTCATTCCCCCGTCGCCAACGGGCGTCCCAGGTTGGATGGGCGTCTCGCACGGCTCGGACAGCACGGCGTGGTGGTATAGGGAACGTCATGCGCGTAGAAAGTGGCGCGCGGAGGACCTGCCGTCGTTGCGCGAGCGTTGGCTGGCCCCTTTCATCTTCATCTACAATGATAAAATTGCACAAGTGGGGAAGGAGTGGTACGAAGGCGCTGATCCTGTGGAGAAGTTGTGAGAGGACGCTGATGAGAAGTATACAAGATCGGGTTCATCCGTGTCTTGTCGAGCGACTGTAAGATTGAAGTTCAACAAAACGAGCTAGCAAGCACCGTATCACCCGCGTCATGATGAGGGCTCGGGAGCGTGCAAGGCAATACGACGACTATTCATAAGGCAGCGTCATGGCATGAGAGCAAAGGCACGCAGGGTTCCCGTGAAGAGTCGGTCTATGCACACGGCTTGCCTTGAGGGAATTGGATGTGTTCAATCTACACCATCAATGCTAACGCGCATACATCTGCGCGGTGTTTTGAAGGAGAAGAAAAAATGGTAGTGCCTCAGACGTCACAGGGAGCGATCAGAGACGCTTGCAGATCTCCTCTGTGAATGCGCGCGTGCCAAGCTTGCCGCCGAGGTCGCCTGTTCGCTGGCCTTGTGCAATCGCCTTGAAGACGGCCGATTCGATCTTGTCTGCCTTGTCGAAGAGAGACATGTGTCGGAGCACTGAGTAAAGAGGGATAGAAGGAGCAAGAGAGATCGGTCATTGTCAGCTCGTCGCCGGGCTCGACACGTGCATGAGGGTGGACGCACTCATGATGGAAGAGAGGAGGAGCGCAGTAGGGTTCGCCTTGTCCTGACCAGCGATGTCCGGAGCCGAGCCGTGTACAGCCTCGAAGATGCTCGCGTCCTTTCCGATGTTGCCTGAAGGCGTCAGGCCAAGACCGCCGATGAGGCCGGCGCACATGTCGGACAAGATGTCTCCGTACAGGTTCGGCATAACCATCACCCTGTCCGCGTACGGCGCCGGGTCCTGGACGATGCGAAGGCATGCGCGGTCTAGCAGGTCCTCGTCGTACTGGATGTCCGGGAACTCCTTGGCGACTTGTCGGCAGGCGTGCAGGAACATGCCATCCGACATTTTCCTGCAAAAAGGGAGAAAGGGCAGGTTTTAATAAACCCGCAAGCCATTAGAAGATGGAGAAACGAGCAACGCACATGATGTTGGCCTTGTGCACGGCAGTGACCTTGTTGCGGCCGTTCTGCTGGGCGTGGTGGAAAGCGTAGCGAGCGACGCGCTCCGAAGCCTCCAGAGTGATCAGCTTGATGGACTGGACAACGCCGTCGACGACCTCGTGCTCAATGCCCGAGTACTCTCCCTCGGTGTTCTCGCGGATCAAGACAGTGTCCACGTTGTCGTACGCCGTCTTGAAGCCTTCGATGGACCGGCACGGCCTGACGTTGGCAAAGAGGCTGAACGTGCGGCGAAGCGTCAGGTTGAGCGAGACGTGGCCCTTGCCGATGGGCGTCGCGAGCGGTCCCTTGAGCGCGACAGTGTTCTTTTTGATGCTGGCGACTGCGTCCTCGGGGATGGTGGATTTCCCTTGAGCGTTGATGAACGGCGTCACCGAGACCTCCTCCCACTTGATAGGTACATCTGCCTTGCGGTAGATCTCCTTGACGGCCTCCGAGACTTCTGGACCGATGCCGTCACCGGGGATCAGGGTGACGGTGTACTTGCCGTCCGAGCCCTTCTCCTTTGCGAACGCCGAAGTCGGCGCGCTCGAGACGGGCATGGCAAGCCCGCGCTTTGTAGCAGGCACAGCGGGCTGGGCGAGAAGCGCCCGGCGCCCGGTGGCCTGCAGAGTGGATCGAAGGGGCGAGGCGATCATGGCGAAGCGACTCTGAGCAAGGGGGCTGCGGCAGCGGAAGCTTGGAACGAGGGGACAAAGCACACACAAAAACCGCCAGTGTCAAGCTCGAGGAGTATACACAGGATGAGGGAAGGACTTCCAAATGTAAGTCGCAAAGCTGTCCACTTGCTGTGGCTCTCAGGTGCTGTCTGCCACACAATTCAAAGCAACACACTCTCCCCTTTTCTTCTGGCGCTGCCCGTCCGCCAGCAGCCTTCGGGGAGGCGCCTTCCAATCTTCGCGGCAACCCGCGGGCCAGACCGGCAACATGGAAAAATTACACAGAAACGTGGGGAAAAAGTGCGTACTCGGACCGAATATACCCGGATAAAATGTTTTCGCAGGACAACGACACTTCTCCCACGCCGACAGTGAAGAAACAGAGCCCGCTGCTACCTGCCTGCATGCCTGTAAGCCTTTGGTCGCCACGCACCACAATCAGAATCTCCATCTTGCAGCAATCGATTCCCCTCTCTTCTTCTCGTACGCTTACATCTTGCAAGGATATCCTCTATCTCACCTTCTCGACTTGCTCGACCGCCGTGCTGCAACATCCCTTCGCCCTGGCGTTGCAGAGTTTATTTCATACAGGCACCATGGCTGCTCTGAGAAGTGCATTCAAGACCGCCGGCGTCACGGCAAACGCCGCTGCTTCCGTCCTCCGCCCTGCCGCACCGGTACGTGTGTTGTTCCTCCAATGCATTGTAGCTACACGTGGCGTCGCATGCAGACATTGCTACAAGTCGCGGGTGATACTGGATTAGGAAAATACATATTTACTGACACTTTTCGTTGGCCTGTTTATTGATCCGCGCTGGTTTCGTACAATCCTTGTAGCAAGTCCTGCGCCCAGCCAGCACACTCGCAGCCGCACGTTCATCTCGGCCTGCAACCACAAAATATGGCGGCGTCTCCGTGGTCACGCTGTGCCCCGGTGACGGTATCGGCGTCGAGCTGACCGACTCGGTCAAGGAGATCTTCGAGTCGCTCAATGTCCCGGTCGAGTGGGAGGAGTTCAATGTCAGCGGAGAGACACACGGCAGCGAGGCGCTCTTCAAGGAGGCCATGGAGTCGTTGCGAAGGAACAAGGTTGGCTTGAAGGGTGCGTCTGTCGCAGATGAGAATCATCCATCATGAGGTGCTATTGCTGATTGAATCGTTGTTACAATGCGCTGTACAGGCATCTTCTTCACACCTATCGAGACTGGCTCACACAACTCATGGAACGTCGCCATGCGCCAGCAGCTCGACATCTACGCGTCGCTCGTCATCTGCAAGACCCTGCCGGGCTACCCGACAAGGCATAAGGACGTCGACTTTGCCATCATCCGCGAGAACACGGAAGGCGAGTACTCGGGTCTCGAGCACCAATCCTACCCAGGCGTCGTTGAGTCGCTCAAGGTATCGACAAAAGCCAAGGCGGAACGGATCACGCGCTTCGCGTTCGACTTTGCGCTGAAGAACGGCAGGAAGAAGGTGACATGCGTGCACAAGGCCAACATCATGAAGCTTGGCGACGGCCTCTTCCTCAACACCTTCCGCGAGGTCGCAAAGGAGTACGAGAGCAGCGGGATTGCGAGCAACGACATGATTGTTGACAACACGTCCATGCAGCTCGTCTCCAAGCCGCAGCAGTTCGACGTTATGGTCATGCCCAACCTTTACGGCAACATCGTCTCAAACATCGGCGCCGCGCTCGTCGGTGGCCCCGGTATCGTTCCTGGCTGCAACATCGGCCGCGAGTACGCCCTGTACGAGCCGGGATGCCGCCACGTCGCCAAGGACATCATGGGAACTGGCAAGGCCAACCCGGCCGCCATGATCCTCTCCTCCACCATGATGCTCAGGCACCTCGGCCTTGACACACAGGCCAACCAGATCGCAGAGAGCGTCTACAAGGTCATCCAGGAGGGTAAGGTCCGCACCGCAGATATGGGCGGCAACGCCAAGACACAGGACTTCACCGCCGCCGTCATCTCGCACCTCTGAGCATGGCACGACCAAAAATCTGGAAGTCCATTCACCTGCGCTCGCCTGATCTTCTGGCTCTGAACGTCTAGCGTTAGCCTTGCGCATCGCAAGACCACCACCTAGCATTGGCGATTGCCGCATCGTTGATGACGGCTCGTTCATATTTTTGCATGTAGATACACTCTAGAACCACATTGACACGGAGAAACTCTACTTGTAAAGATGAAATAGCGACAATGGCCCGATAAGCGGGAGCCTCCTAGACGGCTACCTCTCAAGCGACTCACCCTGCTTAAACTGCGCATAGCGTGCCACCAGCCTGGCGGCATGAACAGCAGATCGCCAGGCTCGAGGATCGCGTGCATCGCACGGGGCTCCACGTGGTTCTTGAACGCTGGCGGGTATGTGACCTCTTGTGCGTCTCCTTCGACATGGAAAACATCCACGCGCGACGTATTGGTCATCAGGGCCGCCGCTCCATCGTCGCCTTCGTCTACATCGTCGCTTGGGTCTGCTTTGGAGATGTGGCCCATCGGCGATGCATGTGCGGCGCGCTCGGTTTCGCTACCAGACGCTATTCGTGCCGACGATGAACCGAACGTCTGCATGCCGCCTTGCTCGTCGCTGTCTGGAGGCGCTAGCCAGATCGCTTTCCGCCCTACCACTTGAACTGGACATAAAGGGAGATGCTCGTCGGTATCGAGGCTCCTCACGCGTGCAGTGGCTGTTGCCAACACTCACTGTAGCAATTGTAATACGGGTCGGTGTGCGCAGGGCTGTTTGTGCCCTCCGGGCCAATCCAGACATTCGTCAAGTGATCCGCATTACCGTCCGCATCCAGCGGAGGCTGGTAACCTGGCATCCATGGTGGCTTTGCAAGCTCCATGTGCACAATGTCGGGGGTGATGATGTCCCTCAAGAGAGACGGGAACTGCTGGACGAGCTGATGCTGTGCAAGGTAAAGCTGTTTACCAGCGTGTTTTTGGTGATGTCCTCGTGTTGATACTGGGTGGTGGCCATGTGTAAGATGCCACCCCGATGACTCGAGAAACGTCTCCCAGCCTACAATGCCTTGTGACCAATCCTCGGCTGTGTAGCTTCCGCCGACCTCAACAGGCACGACGCGCCCCGGTCCAGCAATCCGGCCGAGGTAATCACCGTCGGCCCATCGCCCTACCCGTGAGCTCCCTTCGTGGTCGGGAATACTGGCCGGCCAGTCCTCTGCAAATCCGCGCACGATGAACGGCCGCAAGCGGCGAGGGTCATCGCCAGAGAGCCACGGTAGAGCTGAAACCTCCGGTACCGCTTTGGCTGCACGGCATCGCACAGAGGATGCCAATGTCTTTGATGTGTCCTCATCAACTCTGCGCTTTTTGCTGGGCCGCTGCGGGACATCGCGCGCCTGCGACCCGATGTCTTGAAGGAGCGCACACCGCTGTAGGCCACGGATTGTGTCTTGTATGCATGCTTTGACATCTGTGCCCGGTGCGCCAGCGACGATGATAGCCAAGTCGAGCTTCTGGACGGCTGCGAGCACTTCCTCTGTGTGCACATTTGCGCTGCGGAGCAGGGTCAGGCTCAAGTGCGTGACGGCTACCAGCGTTGTACAAGCGCTGAGCAGTGAAGCAGCGGTGTAAAGTGCGCGCCAGCATCTCGGGACCTCGTTGTAAGGGTACACCTTGAACTTGTCGTTGCAAACGGCAATCAAGTCGTTGCAGCTCTTATGCAAACGCCTGTGGAGGCCGGTCTCGAGCAATTGTCTGACCTCGCTTGAAGAAGTGAGTCTCGCTACTATGCTTGCACACTTGTTCAAATCTTCAATGTATACTTGATCGCAATTCCCGAGTCCTAGGAAGCAAGGTAGAGTCGCAAGTCAGACTTCAAGCTGCTGGTTGCCTTTACCTAACACCGATGCAGCCAGAATTCAAATTCTGCGTTGCAAAAATGGTCTGGCGACCCCAAAAGGCTCACCTGCATCGTTCTCCAGCTGATGCAGGCTCTTCTGGAACGACGTCACGATATGGAGAGTGGGCGTGGCCGACAGGACTGCCATCGTCCACGTTAAACGCGTGCCGCCAGCTTGTGTCTCACCACCAGTCCTGCACCCGTCCTTCGAGCTCCTTCACGGTGCCGGACGAGGCAAGGCAGGGCTCTGAAGCCTGTGAAGTCCGCTTATGGCAGGAATCTGAAAATGAAGGCGTGCGCAGTGCCCTCCACGCGTGGTCGGGAAAGGAACATGTATATATCGACCATTGCCAACATATTACGATTAGAACTACATGCGTTCGCGACTGCGCACCACGTTTGCGAAGGCAGCCCAAGAAGCTGCTAAGGGATAGGCGCTACCTATGCATTCGTATGCTCAATCCCCGTCCGCGCCCTGTTGCAACTTGATCTTGATGGCCTCCTCTGCGAAATCTAAGCGAGCCTTCAACGAACCCCTGAAGTTGTGGACGTCCCGCTTCTTGCAGGCATTCCACCAATTCTGCAGGCGGATGTACGTGAACGGCAGGTCGACGTCCGACAGCGCCTTCCAGTCGATTTCGGTGTCGTCGATCAGGTTGCGACTCGCTTGTTGGGCTTTCATGCTGCGGAGGCAATATGCGCCGTTTCAGTATGCCAGAAAAAACCAACAAGAACCCCCCCCCCAAAAGACATGTGCAACTGAGTTGCGACAAAGTCGTAAGCCTGACGCCGATGCTTGCAAGCACCACTCACCGCTGTAGCAAGAGGAGCCCATCGTCCAAACCAAACCTGCGCGTGCTCGACTGCACGCCGTTGGAAGGGTGTGTCATGAGCCTGTAGACAAGCAGCAAGAACGAAAGAAGAGAAAGAGGGAAGAAGGGCCAGCATGCGGTCAGCGCAACTGCTCTGTCCTGCGCTTGCAGTACCAGACAGCCCTTGAAGTTGAACTCACCAGCGCTTCATGCACTGATGGCCAGTGACATCCCCAAGCTCTTTTTGCAAGCGCGTCGCGATGACCTTCCAGCCAATTCGATCAGTCGCGGGGTTGGCATCGTTCTCCTGGCACCACTCGTCCACAGCGTGCGCCAGCAGATCATCCTGCGGGTTTGCCCATTTGCGCCTTGGCTTGCTGGGCGTACCGGCAGCGCTGGAGCCAGAAGCAGCAGCTTCGCCAGTCTGGCTCGTCTCGCCGCTTACACGGGCTTGAGTGGAAGGACCGGCGTCGCTGGGCATGTTCGGGTTCGTGCGCCAGCGCGCCTTGCAATCAACCATACTCCTACCAATGCGCTCGGACACCTTCGTCCATTTGCCGACTCCAAACTCCTGCACAGCTTTGGCGAGGGCAATCTGCTCCTCAACGGACCAGGGCCCTTTCGCCATACCCGGGCGGAGCTTCTCGCGGACGTGCCGGCGGACCGCGACAGACGCACGGCCCGGCGCGGCGCGCGTCGCGATGGACCACATGTCGTCCTCGAGGTCCTTCCTGGTGCGCTTGGCCGACGCAGACTCCTTGAACAGCTGGTCGAGCAGCTCCTGCTCCGACAACCCGCGGCCCTTGCGCCACTTATCGATCGCCTCCATGATGGCGTCCGATTCGATTTTCGTGAAGCGGCCCCGGATCCACTGCAGGCCGTACGCGTCAGCGAGCCAGTATAGCTCGTTGTCCGCGTACATTTTGTCTGCAAGCATCTCTTCGTGCGTCAAGCCTCTTGCGTTATCGACGACGTGTTGCTGCCGAGCAGACCGTGCTGCTGCATCGGGGTCTGCCGCAGAGACGCCACCGCCACCACTCTGGCCGTTCGACGTGGCGACGGATTCATCTCCCTTCGCCGCGGACTTGCGATACTGCAGTTCTGATGCCACCTTTCTCGCCGCCACGAGTTTGGCGCTGGAAGTGGCACCGAGCCGAATGGCAGAGACCGGCGTTGGGTCAATGTTCCCCTTTTCTTTACCTTTGGGCGTCACACGGGCCTTGCTGCTCGTGCTGCAGCTCCCCTGGTCTGCGCTCTGTTGCACCGACGGCTTGTTCCGATCACGCTTCTGGCCATTCTGGACAAGCTGTGCCTGCGACGGGGCTGTGGTGTTTAGCTCTTCGGGGCCAACAGATGCACTCTGTGCGTCTGCGCAGCTTGCGGGCGCCTCTGAAGAGTCGACAGCGTCTGTTGCTGTCGTTGGCGCCGGAGGCGGCGGCGGAGGGACTCTACTGGGACCATGATCGGGTTGCTGCAGATCCGAATCCTGCAGCGCGCGATCGAGCCACAGTAGGGAGGCCAAGGCCTCTGAGGAGTCAAGATTCGATTCGGTTTGAGCTTGAATGTCGTTCCGGGATGACTGGATCTGATAGGTGGATGTCGTACCCTCGACCGCTGCCGCGGCGGTCGCCGCGGCTTTATGCTCTGCCTTTTCACGCCTTTTCACTGCTTTGCGTGCTGCTTTACGCGCAGCCTTGCGCTCTGCCTTCTGCAGGGCTTTCCCATTGGTGTCGGCGGCGCTCACGCTCGCTTGCACGTCGTCTTTGCTGGAGCGATGTTTCATGCGCTTCTTGGCGATCGGCTGCGCAGATGCAGCGTGGCTGAATGCATCCTGTGACTGCTCGGGGCCGTCTTGGTGAGGCTGGTGGGCCGATGCAGATGACGTGCCACCGGGCTGCTGCAGAATGCGCAGCGCGTCTTCGATGGATGTGAGCTGCTCGAATTCGGTTCGTCGCCTCTTGGCCCCTGTGTGGGTTCCTGCTGTTATGCACGGAGAGGCCCGTCAGCAGGTGGAGCCGTCAGAGGAAGCGTGAACGATGGGTATCATCGATGGCACGAGCGGCTCACCTGTTGTGGGTTGGGGATCGGGCGGCGGATCGAAGCGAACGTGCGGCATGGCTGGTAGGCAGGCAAGACGCGAGAGTTCGGCGTGTGTAGGTTGCTGGCTGGATACAGCAATTGATGGGATGGGGAGCGGGCAAGATCAACCGTAGGCAAACGGGGAGGTGTTGGTTGTGTTGGTCTGCCTGTGGGGTCTACGCTACCAACCAGGATTGACTAAGGGGAGTCCAGGAAAGGCGCAACGGGGGTCGAAGCGCCTGGAGAGAGAGGGAAGAGGACAGCGCTGGTTAAAGGCGACATGCCATGCGGGTCAAGAAAGCGTAGGGGAAGGGATAGCATCAAACCGATCCCCGCACTGCGCGAGACTCTCGTAATTAGAAAATGAAAGAGGGCGGAACAGCTGTTACGTCCCCGATGCGGACTGCAACGCAAGAGTGGAGGAGGATACAACCAACACGTCGATACCCCCTTCCTGGGTGTCTATTCGTATGGAGGCTGCCGGCTGCTGTGCAAACATATATTTGGCATTGTCGGTGGTTCTGACGGATGTCTGACACACCACGTGTGTATGAGAAGACTCTGACTCTAGGCCCGAGCTTGGATCACACGATGGACAGAGTTGCGTTGCCCTTGGTGCCAGCCCTGTAGTTGCATCCTTTACGCTGCCAACATCTCCCTCCGCCAGCCACAGTCAGAGGCGCGCGCCGCCCGAGACGCATATGGACATCGAATGCATATATATATTTATGTATGTATGTTTGCAAGTTATCCACAGGCAGAGGCGCGCGTGTCTGTGTGTTCAGTGTGTTGGTTTACTATGAAATATAATACTACCAACCACTACGCATCCAGCCAGCCAGTGAGGCGCAGCCTTTCTTGACCATCCAACCTGCACCCAATCCCCATACTATTCTCACAGGCGGCATACATCGCTCTCCTGCTGCTCAAAACGAGGCGTCTAGCAGCAGACGCCACGCCACTCCACCCCAGAGTTGGGCGTATCTTGTGGACGACGTCTTACCCGGAACGCCGCCACGGCTGCAGTCGCGCCTTGTGATCCAGCTCTTTGCACCAAACAAGCGGACGCGGACCACATCCGCCGCCAAGCAGCCGGCCAAAGCGCCAAAGGGTAGAGAACGTAGCGTTGTTCAACACGGCACATGCTTAGCAGTTCGGCCAGTTCACCGCCGCGGGGTCGATCATGAACGACAACGGCCACGCTACACATCTCTCCTCGCCCGACCCGTCGCCGATGGCCTCGCGCTCCGAGTCGCCCAGCGGCGCCGAGTCGGGTATGTTGCCCATCGTCGCGCATCCCGCTGACGCAGGCCATGCTCCCAGCAGATCGGGCTCAGGGCCGAGCAGCCAGCAGCCATTCCACGGCGCATCTGCCTCCATATCCTCATCTGCACTAGAGCTCGCGATGCCGCCTCCGCCGCTCGTCGAAGCGAGCCACAGTCACAGCTCGGGCTTGGTTCCGTCGCCGCAGCCGCCGACAGCCAGCAGCAGCGCCTCGTCGTCCCGCCAAGACTTCTTCCCGCGCGGGTCGGCGCGCAGCAGCCATCACCTGCCTCCCTCGCCGTCGAACACGTCGCAGTCGGAGGATGGCGAAGACGACGAGGATGACGAGGACGATGACGACATGCCCTCGTCCAGCTACATTTTCGCAAATGCTGGCGCGGACACGGAGGCGGCACGCTTCCTCGAGGACAAGAATCAGCTCGAGCGGAGGAACACGATAACCGCGCGCGGCGGCGGCGGCGCCGCCATCTGCGCGGGGCAAGACGTCGCAGAGAATGGCTCGCGCGCCAGCCTCCCTCCCCGCTCGATAGGCACGCCCGTCACACCTGGCAGCGTGACCATGAGCGAAGGTGAAGGCTGGGGCAACGCAGGTTATGTGCAGTCGCGCGGCGCCGCGCACTTGCCACACGAGATCATGCTGCACATCTTCAAGTATGTCATCGCGTATCCAGGCGAGCTCAGGAACTGCCTCCAAGTCTGCAAGACATGGTGCCTGGGCGGCGTGGAGCTGCTGTGGCACCGGCCGACGTTTCACAAAGCGTCGAGCTTCTACAAGATGACATACACGCTCAGCGTCCCATCCGCGACGTTCGACTATGCGATGTTCATCCGCCGCTTGAATTTCAGCCTGCTGGGCGAGGAGCTGGACAATGCGACGTTCGAGCGCATGGCAGCGTGCGTCCGCCTCGAGCGCCTAACGCTTGCGGGCTGCCGAGCGCTGTCGGATGAGAAGCTCAGCGCGGTCTTGGAGAACACCAAGGAGCTCGTTGCAATCGACCTTACCGACGTTACGCAGCTGTCGGACCGCACGATCAACACGCTCGCCATGACGTGCTCGCGCTTGCAGGGGATCAACCTGACCGGCTGCACGCTCATCTCGTCAGCCAGCGTCGCGAACCTGGCGAGGAACTGCAAGCTGCTGCGGCGCATCAAGCTGTGCGGCTGCAAGAACATCGCCGACGACGCCATCGAGGCGCTCGCGCTCAACTGCCCGTTCCTGCTCGAAGTCGACCTGACAGTCAAACCGACGGACGTGAGCAAGGTGACCGATGCGGGTCTGGCCAAGCTGTGGGAGCATAGCACGCATCTGCGTGAGTTCCGCCTCAGCAGGGTCGGCGCGCACCTCACCGACCGTGCCTTCCCCAGCCCGGCGAGCGGGCAGGCCAGGGACAAGGGTGCGCACGTGCTCTCCAACGGCGTCATCCTCGCGCCGATGCACAACGGGAGGCGTGCGCACACGCATGCGGGAGAGAGCGCGTCATCGTATGCAACGGCCGCGTCGATGGCGGCGCTGCACCGAAATCATAATGGCGCGCTCGACGGCGACGACGAGGCGCACGCACCGCTGCTCGTCGGCGTCAGGCCCCCAAGGATGTTCGACCATCTGCGTATACTGGATCTGATGCATTGCAGCAGCATCACTGACGCGGCTATTGAAGGCGTCATCAACAACGCGCCCAAGCTGCGCAACCTCATTCTGTCCAAGTGCTCCAGCCTGACGGACGACGCGCTCTACTCGATCAGCCGGCTCGGCAAGAACCTCCATTATCTGCATCTTGGGCGGGTGGATCAGTGCGTAGAATACCAGCGCTGGGCAAAACGCAGGTGTAATTTGGCTCGTGGCTGAATCGTCCCTTTGCTCTCTTTCTCTCTCGCCCTACAGGATCACCGATCAGGCGGTCATATACCTGGCCAAGTCGTGCACGCGCCTGCGCTACGTCGATCTGGCGTACTGTCCGAACCTGACGGACGCGAGCGTTAAAGAGCTAGCGTTGAATCTGCCCAAGCTGCGCAGGATCGGACTGGTAAAGGTGCGTGTTGTGGATGCGCGAGCATGCACCCGAGCCAGCATAACATGACGGAGGCTGATTCTTGCTGGTATTGGTTTGTACTGGTGGTTGGCAGGTGCAAAGACTGACGGACGCCGCGATCTATGCGCTGGTTGAGCGCTACACCAGCTTGGAGCGTATCCACTTGTCGTACTGCGACAATATCAGCGTCCCCGCCGTCTTTTGGCTACTGCAACGTTTGGACCGCCTGACGCATCTCAGTCTGACCGGCGTGCCCGCTTTCCGGCGTGAAGAGTTGCAAGCGATGTGCCGCAAGCCGCCAGAGGAGTTCAATGAGCATCAACGCAGCGCGTTCTGCGTTTACAGTGGCAAGGGCGTCAATCAGCTGCGGGGGTTCTTGAGAGACGTCTATTCGGACCAGGCGCGCGCAGAGCAGTTTGGGGAGCTACCGCCGGAGATCGTGCAGCAGCTTACGGACATGGCTGAGCAGGAGCAGCGGCATCGGCAGCATTGCAGCCGTCGCTCGCATCACCCCAATGGTCATAGCCACGGCCACACGGGGCATTACGCTCAAGGCCACCAAGCCAGTGTTGGCAGCGGTGACCATCACCACTTCCAGCATCAGCAGCAGTCGCACTCCCCGGCTGGCGAGCGTTCAGCCGCCGAGTTGGCACATCTTCGGAACCAGCAGCACTTTGAGCAGCTCATCGGCTCGCAGCAGCATGCGCAGGGGCACCACTTGCACCAGTACTATCACTACCATCAAGGGCGCGGCAACGCTGGCAGCGGCGTACCGCACCTGCGACGGGCGAGCGATGGCGAACAGTTGCACATGCATCTGCATCCTCCGGCGCCAGCGCACTATGCCGCAATCGCGAGGGAGCGCGAGGCGGGAGGGCACGCCATCCCCGGCGCGTACATCTGGGATTCACCGTTTGGCAACGCATCCGCCTCTGGCTTGGGCCAGTCTGCTAGTCCCAATGCAAATCCCGCCGCGGAGGGAAATCCTCCTTCGACGCCGAATGTGCAGCAGGTTTACCATCATCCACAACAGCAGCAGCATCGGCACGATCGACAACATCAGCTGCTTGTAACCCCGCACCAACCCGCGAGCGAACCGAACACTGTTGAAAGCGGCGCAAATGGCGGCGGTGCTAGAGTGCCGATGGACGAGGCATGATTGGCGCAACAGTAGTTTACGGCGTGCTGCTGCTGCCGGGAAACGGCGCACTCCTTGGTCTTCTGTTCTCTTACATTATCATTACAGAGCACACTCGACTGGAGCTTCACCCACTCTCTGGCCGCGTGACTCTTGCAGCACTCATCTTGTATGCAGATTTGTGCAATCTCCAACAATGTAACCCCATGTCCAATCGGCCTTCCGTTCTTCATAATCAAACAGCAGGTGAACCCCGCTCGACGCTCGCACATATACACACATACAAACGTCTTCGACGCCCGCCAGTGTTTCATCGGGCTGGCTGTGCACTGGATGAAAGCATGTCCGTGAGCCAACGTCGTGTATGTATTTGCCGAGGATGGAGAGCATGATCGAGTCCTTTTCATTCTCAGTATCAGCATTACGCTATTAAGCAACAGGCAACCACGCGTAGCACACCATGATCAGTGGCAAATACGAGGGGCTTCTGCGGGAGTTCGTGCTACATATCTTGCGGGATGTTTCGATCATATTCTTTTTCACATATCCGTGGTGGATCCATGATTACGTGCTGGTAGATGTCGGAAGATGACGAGGAATATCATGAGAGTATATTCTCGCGTGCAGAATGGCTGCCACATGCATCCAATGTTCCAATTCCTAAATTTGTGTGCGCATGTATGACTGCAACTGGACTGCTGGACACTGGATGACAGGACAGTCACAGACACTGCTGGACACTAGACAGGATCCTACGACCTGTGTACACCCTAGTACGGCACATGTACATGGAGGATGGGAGCTGGGTTGTGGATACTACAGACTTGTCGAAGAGACCTGGCCGCATGGCCCTGGCCCTAGACAGGATGACGGCCCGAGACCTAGAGTTGATATAGGTATATCATGTTACATGTGCCATCTGGATGTCAATGTGACGGATTGGCTGTAGTCTTCCTGTGGATGAGAATGAGAAGTGTGGACCACGGAGCCACCAAAGGAATCAACAGCAGGGTCTATACATACACTTGTCGAGCCTTGCTCATGGTCGGTCACATCGTAGATTTTAGCTTCGGTGGTCCACTCTCCGAACAGTTCTAACGGGGGCGACATCTGCGGCCTGGATGAAGGCGGCACTCTTGGAACATAACTAAATAGCCTAAGGCTCGCGTCCAAAAAGACTTTTCACTTAATAATATCGCCAGTAACATGTACCGCACCTGATCGCCCTGGTCAGATAAGCATGGGCGTTTTTTAGAATCTAGACCACCTTCCACACACATAAATCTCCGCCATGTCTCGCAAGCTCAACTTTAACATCATCGCCATCGACTGAGAGTCAGAAGCGTCGGATGGAGCAATCCATAGTTGCACGGTTGCTTGTGGCGGAGAGCAGAAGGACTCGAGTATGTACGTACGTTATGTATTGTCGTTCGTACATATGTACTAGCCACAGGAAAATAAAAGTGAGTGGTGGATTGAGTGAGACAGTTCAAGCCTTATCACATTGGTGAAATCATCTCAAATAATAGGGGACAGATGGAGAACTAATCAATGTTATAGGTCCCGCTCCGTCCCGTCCCGTCCAGAGGTCTCACGTGGTTTTAGTGTTGCTTTTAGCGTATCTTGGCATCTTCATTGCAACCATGTGTCGCGCGACAGAACACGCGACGCGAGTCAAATCCGCCCACTTGCATTTGCCTAATGTACCGATTGCATTCGACTTGATAGTGGCTCGATGCCGCTCTGGGATCATTGCAACGTTCTTGTCGAGATGAAATGAGGGTATGGTCATCTCCACGCGCGTCGCAGCTTTCACCCATGCGGAGTGAAGGTGGCCAAGATGCACGGGGAGGATGTCACACCACGCTAGTAGCACGATTCCCATGGGATGCTGGCGTACACCGGACAGAGTCACCTCACCAAACGCTGCTTATCATGGTCTTCCCATCGAGTTCATTGGCTATCTGGTGCCGTGACGGTTCGAAGCCAATTGAAGGATACTCGCTTTCATTGCGTACATGCGCATAACTACTAGCGTGGGAGCGTGCAGTGTAGAGACCATGCTGTCGCAAAAGGCGCACAGCATGGAAAGGACATCCTGGGGACAATCCTGTTCAACGAAGATGCAGCTTATACCAACCCATCATCAGGACGGCATATAAAGGGCGGTCTTCATCCATTCGAACGTCTTTCTGATCCTTTTGTCCTTATCCCCGCCTACATTCATCTCCTCTACACATGCCTGGCGCTTGCACGTCGCCCACACCCACTGCCCTGCTCAAGCCCTTCCTGCCATCCCTCCCTTCCCTAATTCCAACATACGCTGATCAAAATGGTCCGCTTCACCATCATCGCCTCCATTTTTGCGGTTGCCATCGCATCCGCCAGCGCGGCTAGCACAGAGGGCCTCGCCCCGACCCGCAAGTGCGGCACGACCCATACTCTCTCGCCCGAGCGCGAAGCAGAGGCCCAGCGCTTCATCGCCGCGTACCACAATGCAAACAACACACTCAAGAACGGTCGCGTCGACGCCGCTTCTACCAAGAGCGTCGGCATCCACTGGCACATTATTACCTCTGGCAGCACCGGCAGCCTCGCTAGCTCCCAGATCAAGAAGCAGATATCCGTCTTGAACGACGACTACGCGCCCTCGGGCTTCTCCTTCCACCTTATCTCCACCGACGTGAATATATGCTGCTCACGCGCTCGGTAATCATTGACAGATTGCTAACTACCGCTATTGCCTTTCTCCCTCAGACCACAAACAATCCAAACTGGTACTCGAAAGTTGACTCCGGAAACAGCTACGAGAGAGAGATGAAGAATGCGCTGCACAAGGGTTCGGCTAACGCTCTGAATGTCTACACGGTCGGCTTCAACAATGGCCTCCTCGGCTTTGCCACCTTCCCGAGCGATTACTCCTCCTCACCCAACCTCGACGGTATCGTGATCGATGGCCGCTCGCTGCCTGGTGGCTCACTCTCACCGTACAACCTCGGCAAGACCGCCACACACGAGGTTGGCCACTGGCTGGGCCTCTACCACACCTTCCAGGGCGGCTGCTCCGGCTCGGGCGACTACGTCTCCGACACCCCCCCTCAGTCCAAGGCGTCGTCCGGATGCCCCGTCGGCCAGGACTCGTGCTCTGGCGGTGGCAGTGACGACGTGCACAACTACATGGACTAGTGAGTAGGAAACTGCCTTCCCCCCTCCCCCCCCCACTTCTCATCCTGCGTATCTCTCATTCCCCCATTTCTCTTCCTTTTCCTGTGCAGTTCCGATGATAGCTGCATGAACCACTTCACCTCAGGTCAGAATACACGAATGGTATCTCTCACCTCTCAATACAGAGGACTCTAGACAACACGGTTCATTGATACCACCACTGGAGAGAAAAGCATACGTTCCGTGGCTCATTGAAGCGCCCTTCGCCCCGAATGACCGACGGTAGATTCCGCTCTCAACCCTGCTTTGCTGTGCAAAGAGGTGATGACGATGCTTGGGATGACCTCGGTAGGGCTCGTCAGGCCTCGCCACGCGCTTGTAACGATCACATAGGCAGATGTACATATACGACACGGATGACATTATTTTACGTATACACTAAATTCTTGGAATGGTCGTGCCCACGTCTCCGGCTCCCGTTGAGGTCGTTGATATCCAATTGCGGCGCGGTGCTGCCCTGACCACGCCCGATAATACCCATGCGCGTATGCGCACATACCATGCTTTGCCCACAGGTCACACGGCGTCGCCAAGAAGATCTGCACTCCGTCTCCGCCTTCACCATTTCACCAGACTCTCGCAGCAAGATCTCGAGCCCGCTCGAGGTGATTGGGTTCGACAGCTTAAAGCTTGAAGTTTGTGACGCTTGACAGCTTGGAAAGTATGGAGCGAATACTTCAATTGTCAGCAGACCCGGGCTATATGAAAGTAACTCGGTCGATGGGCCTAAGGCTGTGCATGTTTGAAGCCGGCTGCTTGGCTGTAGTCAGATTAGCAATTCTCGCAAACCTCAGGGGGGATGAATGCGGGGAACACAGCGTCTCCCTCTGGGATTGTGGATAATTCCTGATTTCTGACTGGATTGGAGGCAAACGTGCCGGTGGTTTGAGCCGTTTTGAGTGCAAGACTTTTTAGATCGGATGCGACAATGCCAAGATCCGATCGATGTGTGGCCCCACAAAGCTTGATATGATTTTAGACCAACATCTATGACAATTTAAGGCAGATGTGGTGGGCGCCTGAGCGGGGTAAGGCACTGGTGACACCATGAAGGGGACTCATGGGGAATTGCGGGTGTCTTGGGCGTTGCGTTCTCAAGCAAAGCTCGGTGGGCCTGCTTTAAGCTTTCGTCTTTCATCGTTCAGTTTTGGCCATCTAGCTTGTTAAGTATGTGTGGACGAATGCTTCATCCTCGCCCATATCAGAGGCGCTCTGGGGAACCGCCAACCAGACCTTTCAGTGAGAAAAGCAGGCTTCACAAGTCTTGATGTCAATTCTTTCTTGTGGTGCTTGAACTCTCAATCTGGGGCATCAAAAACAGATTCATGCCGCCATTGCCGTCATCCATAAAATGTGCTCGGACCAATGTGCACGACTGTGCGTGTGCACGTGTGCCCCAAAAGGTGCACGGTATTCAACTTTTTCTTAGTCCATGGCGTCTAGGCCACTTCAGTGTCTCTTTACACTTTACAGCGAGTAGTTACCCAGACACTGAAGGAGCAGAGGGCACGGGTTTCAGCAGCGAATCGCCGTATGTTCTTTGGAACGACCTGGAAGCCAGACAGGGGCGCTTCAACCTCATCGAAGTCGAAATCAGACACACTTTATCTGACCCCTCCGGCTGGGCTGTCTCTTTCCCCGGTTTAACCACCGAGAATCTTGAACGGACACCAAAGCACCACCGACCTGCTGTGAGTCACGTGCTCGTACGTCGTGATACTCTCTTCTCATTCCAATCAATCACAGAAGCTCTACGGGCTAACGGTCGCTTAGTTGCACACTTCACCGGGCACGGTGTGTGCTATCAAAGGACTAAATGTGAAAACTCGGAGTGTTACGCAAGCTTGCTATAAGGTGCCTTCAAAGAGAGTCG